ACATTGCCAGTTAGGTATTGCATTCAGATGGCGCATCTCTTCAATTTACTAAGATAGATGTACTGGTATATCCTCTTACAGCGACACAAAGTGCATACAGCAGCAGTCTCCAGTTAGTTCATGTACTTGGAATCGCGGGAGAAGCGACAAGTGTATTCCGGAAAGACGCGATCTGTCACGGTCGCGTGCTTAGCGTGACCGGCCTTCAAGTCATTCTCCGAATCTACCATACTTGGGCGTCCGGCTTCTACGGAGCAACGTCTTTGCTATTGCGCCCCCGCGTAAACATGACCAAATATTACCTTTTCGAGAAGAATATCATGTGACCTCCGACCCCTCCGGCCGCGTCACTAAAAATAACTGGACCCAGCCGTATTAAGTAAACGCCAATTACATTGCCATGATATATTTTTAATGTGTAAGATATGCATCGCTTCTTTAGTGTAGTGGTTATGCGGCGTGCATTCAGCACTGGACGTCTAGAGTTCAATTCCTACTGTGCACATTTTTTGATTTGTGCTTTTAGGGTTAGGGTTTATTAACTTTCCTTACTGTTGACTTTTATATCTACCTTGTCAGCCACATGTATCACAGCTATATAGATTTCAATGAAAATTTATTTCGCCCCATCTATATGACCCTCTTAGTCCAGACTTGAAGATACTCTAACTGGCCGGACACGCGCGCGGCGGGAAGCCCGCGTTTGCCGGCATCACGTGATATTCTTCTGGATATGGTATATTTGTACGTGTTTGCACGGGGGCGCAGTAAAGCTACCTACGGAGCAACTTCAATTCAACTTGCTCCGCAACCATGTCTTCATCCACCAAACGCCCGCTGACGGAGAACGTCCGAGATAGTCTTGAAGCATCAAATATCCCTCACAATGATATGTGAGTATTACAATATGATGCGTCACCCTGGTCTCAAACGCCCGTTGTCGGACTATCCGATTGCGGACTTAGTCCTGACGACGTCTTTGCTCGTCTACGAAATGTAGGCTCGAGGGTTCGAAAAAGTAGGCAAATGCGGCAGTAGGGTCGGTGCGAACGCGCCCAGCGCGTCGTCTCATCTATACCTGACAGGCGTTACTGAGGGCTACAATACACACCGTTACACGGGCCTCGGGACGCCACCTATCGATGCATCACCTGCTGGCTCGACTTTGATGAGGGAGACAAGTGGCCCCATCTTTACCTCTTCCAATGCGGCGTTACATCAAGTCTTCGGCGCGGCCGGCCATCCGCCGGCCCCTGTGCCGTCGACCCTCAAGCGCGCCCGATCGTTTATGGAAGATGGACGGCTTGCCGTAGAAACCGAGGACCGAGATGGCGACGTCACAATGTTGAGCGAATCTCAGGTAGCAGACGGCGGAACTTCTTCGACAAATGAGAGGATTATCAAACCACTGCGACGAAACAGGGGATTCAAACATGCCCAGTCCCTACCTGAAGGATTATTGGGCCTCGGTAGTTCCAGGCAGATCGGCGGGCCGACTCAGAGTTCAGTTACAACAATTGAAGAGGATTGGAGCGAAGAGGGTTTCAAGGCACCGGCCATTATGACCATGCCCGCCATGCCTAACCAAGTGTAGCGTGCCGAAAGTTCTTGGCTAGCGACCTTGTATTATTAGGTGAGTACGGATGAATCACATTAGGTGCTAACTTGACGAGATCCTGATCTGCTGCGGTTCGATGCAGTTTATGTCTGTTATTTCTTGTGTAGCTGTTCGATTCGTGTGAGACCGGTATATTTCGCTCCGAGAAGCATCCTTATTTGTAGATAGTCGTCACAGGGAGGTAGCTGACGCTTACTCATAGAGAAGAGATGCTACAAAACTATCCAATGATGTCTCACTCCGCATATGCCATACGGAACATCACAAAGCTCCAGCTCCGGCTACCTGAACAAAGTACAGTGAAATGGCTGCTGCACGCGGCCGCCAGCGGTTCCAATTTCTGCTGGCAGCCCGGTGTTCGATAGGCGCCAATATCCCTATGCAATGAGGCGAACACTGCAGGCTTGCACGTGTTAGGCTAGGAAGTTCGGTTCTGTCTCAAGTCCAGACATGTTAACATCGATTGTGGGCGCACTCGTCCACGCTCAACTCCCACGACTTTCGGAGGGGTCGTGAAACCTCACCGTCACTGGATACAGATGTTCAATATATCATCATCGAGGGGTGCAATATCGCCGTGTCGAATAGGAGTTTGATAGCGACTTTGTACCTTCTCGAAAGTGGAGTTATTACCCTTCCCGCGAAGGTGAATACACATCTCTGATCTCACTAACCGGCCAAAAGTTGACATAAGATGACAGAAGCGCGTGCTGCCATGACCCAAATCGTCTTCTTGATGTATGACCGATTGGGTTCAGCCGCTCCGTTACTTCTGTGTGTCCGCAATGGCCGATACCTCTCATTCACCGCTTTCCGCTCTTCATCTCCTACTTCCATCGTCTAATGAGGTCGAGTCAAGGTGAATGCGGATGCGCCCCTTGCCGTGTTTCGGGCAGAGACGTTCGTATGTCAAGCCTACCCTCCAAGCCCCCAGGACGGTAAGCCCCGATGTTCTTTACTTTCGACACCGTACTCCTGCGTGGCGTATGCTTCGCATATCGTACAAAGCATGAGACATATCAGTTCTTGATATAGAACCATATAAGCAACAAAGCTTGTGTTGCGGTATTCAATACTGTCTCGTTCTTCTGTTTCATAAGGACGCCACACGCACAGTACTGACCATCTCCCCGATACAGCCCTTGGGATCCCTCGGATTCCCATTCAGCCCAAAGGCTGATCCCTAGACATAGAGATACCCCAGGAGACGTATACTCTAGGACCGAGGCAAGCCTTTATGAGGGCTTGGCTGGTATTGCAAGGAACGACGATATTGCGCCACACGATGAACTATGCCGCGACCTTGTGAGGGAGGAAACTCTAGCAAGGACCCTGGCCCGGTGCGTTACATCCCTAACTGTTGACGTAGTTCCCATTTCTAACTCTTACAAATTATACGCGCAGCCGAGCGCACAATGTAAGATACGCCACATCAACGTACCCAAGCCATGAACGCCAGCACGGGACAGCTAGCATGCATCGGTGAGTACCAACATTAAACTATATGCTAGTGGAACAATCAAGCAATGATTGCAGATCAGTACTGGAGGACCACGCCTATCCGGTTGCACGCCCATCTTTGTCCGTCTTCAATGCACCCACTGCAACCTATATGTGGCCTAGCTTCCAGGCCGCCTCACAAATGAGCCAGCGTCCAGTTATTTATGTAAACTATAACGTACCGGGACGTTCCTCTTCGGTTCCGCCCAGAATGGCTGCGTCCTCGTGAGTTAACGCGCCTTGGCTACCTTTAATATTAGCTGAAGACTTGCATAGCGCTGACGAGGCGGACAGACCCCCCAGTGAAGCAAGTCGGAAACGACGGTATCCTCCTGACGTATCGTAAGCATATTATCGTTATGCGGCAGAGCATGCGCTCATAGACTTTGTAGTTCCTCTGACCCTGTGCCCGTTCACGAGATCGTTCAGCCATTCCAGTAGGTCTGTGTGACTTGGTCTTTTTCTTCGGGCTAACTCAGAGTGTCAGTGATCTGGGCCTTTCAGCACGGAGCTTGCCCGATGAGTTGCCGAGCCGCGATCCCTCGCGGCCTATGTCCGCACACAGTTCCTCGCACTCCAGATTTAGTAGTCCCGGGTTGGATAGGCATACCGATCCCTATGGAAGCGACTCGGCGCTCGAATATCCTCCCTCTGAAGTCTCTTACGGGCACAGCCCCAGTCGATATGCGGAAGAAGGACCAGAGCTCCTCGAGGAACTAGGGGCATCGCCAAGGACGACTTCAAGCAATGAAGAGGTATCGGAGTACGACCCCAACAGGTGGCAAGAATATGCTCGGCCTGAGGGACAGCAGTTCCGTTGTACCTGGGTCACAATACAAGAGGGCGTTGAGGCAACATGTACATATGTATCTCGGAAGCATCTGGTGAAACGGCATATCCAGACGACTCATATGAAGATCAAGTGAGTAGCCTCCCTGTATGAACAACGATGTTTAGCCTGACCCCCTCTTAGGAAATGGAAATGTAACTGGTGCGGGAAAGCCTTCCCTCAGAAAGGCTCCTTGGACAATCATATTCATACTCAGTGAGTGAAACGATTGTGGCAGTTCGATGTGGTGCTCTAATCTCTGCGGTGTAGCACCGGCGCGAAGCCTCACGCATGTCGATTCGGCTGCGGTGAGACGTTTAACGACCCCGCTCGAAGGCATCGGCACATGATAGAGAAACATGGCTATATGCCGAGGCGGTCGACAAGGAAACGAAAGCCAGAATACGAAGTCAATGATTTGGCGCAGTACGAATCCGTGCATCCCTGGCGTCTAAGGGACTCCCCGGAACAACCGGCTTCGTAGAAAACGAACTATCTGTACACGATGGTATGAGTATAGGTGTATCCCTGTCACACATGGTATACCCGTATTTATTGTCGCCCTTGTTGTCATGCTATCATGCGAACTGTCTTGTTATGTGCTACACTCTACTTTGTACTTTAACTTATGGATTGGCCTAATAGCTTCTGTTTTCGACCTTCGTAGCTACAGGGAATCACTAATGCGCGTTGTCCCCTTCACCGTGCATGCAGTGCCTGAACCCGGCCCCGTACTCTTTGATTGTCGTTGCTTCCGACCTTTACTTAGTCTGGTAGGAGTAATTTACTAGTGCCATCAGCGCTAGCAGATTGTGGCAGTAGTGTCGCTTGCGTTCCGGTAATAATAAGGATGCCGATAAGTCGCCGGTGGAAAGCCGAGCCGACGGCGGCAGATGACACTCGCATACGTTCACCTTTCTTATGCCGTCCACACCAGTCCTCGGTAGTTTGGCATTGCAAGGACCGTCATCAACTACTCAAGTGGTTCATGTCACCCCATCAACATGTCACAACCTGTCCTTATTCAAAGGTCCGCACGTTTATCTGTCAATGCTGGATTCAAAGCTAAGCTCACGAACTGTGACTCCGTAGATCTGCTGAAGGAGTACCGGAAAGTCGATGATTCCATTGGCATGCGTATCAATCGCACTACTGCGCTGCTCCGTAATCAAAACAAACAGGGAACAGGGGGTGCAGAGAGCGTGCAGGACCAGGCTTGTGCATATATCTGGCGTGAGCTTCTAGGTAAGCACAGCAGTTACGCTCGAGAATCTCGAGCGGGGCAGAGACGAGACCAATATAGAAAATTGGAAACGCAGAACACAAATAATTGAATATTGTGTTGGAGTCGTGGACACTTCTATGGAGGACAAGCGGAAGGCCATCCAAGCCCAGGCTAGCAACCCAAGTGCACAAAGGAAGACGCAAGGCGAGCTGTATGCGGACGAAGTGAAGGTAAGCCAATGAATTAAGTATCCTGAAAGACGTCGTCTGATCAATGTATGAAGCGCACACAAGTGCATAATGAACTCACGGTCGAAAAGATCATCAGGCAGAGGTCGCTGGATGGTGCGTTTGCGCGTGACTGTCCGCCAGGGCTCTTGGACTGACTCAGTGAACCCCACGCGAAGCATTCCGTTCTCGATGCAAGTACTTCGAACCTCCACCATCTGATACAGAATCCCGCGCATGGTGGGACTCACTCCAGAATGGGACGTAGCATCGCCATTGCTGCGACCGCACCGGTGGCAGAAAAGCCGCTTTCTCTGCGTAGCCTGGCCAACATCGTGCTGTATAGCGGCAGCGCGACGCTAGCGCTGGCAGAACTCTTCGGTTTCTCCATCCAGAATCCTTCTGGTGTATTACTTTGGAAGCGGAAGTATAATGACTCTACATTACGTAATGTATGAATGACCTCATCCCTGCGAGATCTAGCGACGCGCCTAAGCAAGCCTCTTTAATACTTAGCTCAGGCCAAGGCTCAGGCTGACCTTGACTGCCCCAACTTACTGTTCTTGCTCTGATCAACATGATCCGGTCTGCATTATTATCATATCTCGTACTCTTATCTGTGTCGGCCCCATCTCTGGCCTTGCAGACTCCCTTGCTGGTCCAAGACGAGCCTGCCGAATCGTTCGACGTTAAAGTGCCCGTTACCCTCGGGGTCATGTCAAGGTGCCCCGATGCTTTGTTGTGCGAAAGCGTGTTCGACAGGGTTGTCACTGTCGTGCCTGATAAAATAGACTTCAATCTCTCTTACCTTGGCAAGTACGCAGTGCTCAAAAAGCAAAGCCGTGCTGCCTGAATGTGACGATTAACCCGAGCTAGATTGAACGACTCTGAACCGGACTTCGGCGTGACATGCATGCACGGCCCTGATGAGTGTGCAGGCAACATCCAGCAGCTCTGCGTGGCCAAATACCAACCCCTTGCGAAATGGTGGCAATTCGTGCAATGCAATAACTACCAGGGCCGACCCCAGATTGGCAAGCCGGAAGTAGCCTTGAAGTGCGCAAAGGCTGCGAAAATTGAGTGGGAGGGTAGCGACATTGCGGGTTGTGCAGGATCCGATGCAAGTGGGAAGGCGGAAGAGGGGATTGAGTTATTGAGGCAGAGCGTGAAGGAGACGGAACGGCTGAACATTAAGTAAGGCCTTCCCGAGATACCACCTGTTCGGATATCGACATTCGTTGTCTACAGGAAAAGCTGCACCATCATGATCAATGGCAACAAGGTCTGCGTGCGTGATGGCGCTTGGAAGGAGTGCGAGGTATGTGACACCCAAGCTGTTCCTCTTTCTCGCTAACAAATCACCAGGCCGGCCACGATCCTAAGGACTTCATTAGGCAAATTAACGAAGAGTATCGTCATCTGAATAGTCGCGGAGGTGGTCTTGAAGAGGAAGAGTAAATCAGGGATTCATACACGAACAGCCACGACATATCACGACCTATCCACACGCTGTCTAGCCTCCGAGTGTTAGCTCGTACAGGATGATGAGCAGATTTATGCCAATTAACGGTACTATAATGTGTATTTCTATCAGCTAGGATGGTCTTGCTTGTATCTATACTGTACATACTTCGCATGAGGGTCCGCACCGCACTAATGAGAGTTATCAGCCGCCCTTTGAAGCCTATGTCAACCTGTCCGCCCGCGAACCCTGGCTGCTCGTAGGGCTGCTGAAAGCCACCAGCACCTGGCTGAAGTTGTGATGATGACCATCCGACTGTTCACAGTTGTTAAATGCTCGGTTACGCGGGGCAAACCAAGAAGAGCGTACTGCGTGCAAGGAAACGTTCTTCGTTCAGGATAGCGAGAGAGTTGATGAGGAGCACCGAGACATATAGGATAGTGCCGAGCGTCATTAGAACTACTTGAGGTGCCTTCTTTGCTCGGCTTATAGGGTATTATACGAGAGCTAGAGGAGGATGCGTGTTGGGTCGTGGATCGTCGTGGCTGCGGTGGCTTCGGATAAACCCGAGCATTCCACTTTCCTCTACAACTGGCTGCTTTACCCTCCGCTGCCGTGTACATACGGCTTCCGGTCTTTCGCCATGCAGTCTGTCAGGAAGTGCATGGGTTCTGGTATGTATTGTTGTAAGATAGGAATTCCGTTTACAACCCAGAAACCAGCGGCCTTATGCGCCACGAGGAGGCAAACCCTGCACTCGCAAATGACAGCTGTTTCGCCATGCATACTCTTGCATAGCCGTCAGTAGTATGTATCTATCTGGCTTGGGTCTGACTCGGTATTTCTCATCATTCTGTGTTTAGTGCGTCTTTCCGCAACCCGATAACCTGGATGCAAGAACAGCTCATGCCCAAGGTCCGCGAGAAAGCTACGAAGGAGGAGATTGAAGCCTCGCGCAAGGAGATGGCACAGCGGGGGGAGGGAGGTGTTCTTGATGCGTTACCTGCCCCTGAGGTTATTGAAGCACCGGGCAAGAGGGCGGAGGCTGGTTCATCACGGAAAGTGCATACCGAGGTACGTCAGACGTCCTGCCTTTGAAGGGGTCTCATATCCACTGGTCGCAGCACAAATACTCGACCGCAAACTTCAAGATATCCCACCGCAAGCTGAACAAGCTCGGGCAGCAAATTGCGGGGAAGCCGATCGACTGGGCAATTATGCAGATGGAGTTTAGCGAGAAGCGGGCGAGTAAGCGGATAAAAAGCATGTTGGTCACGGCAAAGCACCATGCTTCGCTTTACAAGAGTCTCGACGACAAGAAGCTTGTAGTAGGTGCGTGTGCATATGTGCTTTACACACATGGTGCGTTTGTCGACGCATTGCTACTCTCTAGCGGAGGCCTGGGTCACAAAGGGCCCTCGGAGTCAGAAGCGGATAGACATCAAAGGGCGTGGCCGTTTTGGTATTAAGGTGCACCCAGACTCGAGAATGCACGTCGTATTGAAGGAGGGCGAGACTTGGGCTGAAAAGGCTGAGAAGGAGCGGCAGAGGAAGCTGAAGAGGATTGTTTCTGCCGGTCTGGTCAGGGAAGACGTGCCATTGCGGAATCCACGTCCCATGTGGGCTTGGTAGTTAGCTGCTGTCCTCCTTCATTCATCCGCAGGTTTATTATGTTATCCTTCCCTAGTCCTGATGTTAGTGCGGGTGTGGTCCAAAAATAGACTTTGATTGCAGTAAGCCAATAATAGCCACTGCGTACTTACACGTCTACGGCTCTGACTGCGGGCTCCCAGCAAGCCTGTTCCTACGTTCATGATTCTGCGCTGTCGACTCGCATTTCTCGTCAGTATCATTGCCGCCAATTTGGCATGGGCTGCCCACTCCTTTGAAAATACTGCGATTGTGCGCACTGCCGAACTCGGTGGCTCGCTGGTCCATGTTACTACTACCTATGCGATCAAGGCACTGGAACCTAAGGCTAGCATCTACACTGTTGTGCTGAGTCCGGATGAGCAAGAGAAGACAAGCTGGCTTGAGATTAGGCAGAAAGGGCGGCAGGCGCCGTTGCAGGTAGAAGCCCACGAGCTGGACGCGGTCAAGTGCGTGACATTCATTTCGATTCTGTCCGGTATATTGAATACGGCCTAGCAATGTCTATCTATACAATGTTCAACTTCCGAAGGCACTATCTACGAATGAGACTACAAACCTAATTGTAGAGACCATTCAGACGCACGCGACGTATCCTTGGCCTGAGCAGGCTGCACAAAATGATGACCAAACCCTCAAGTACGAGACTGATCTGTATGTGCTGAGCCCATACAAGACCGCTGTGCAAAGGAGTAAGATAAGGTGAGCTAGGCTGGTTCGTCCACTTTGAACCGTTGATCACACGTAAACGCCAGGGCACTGGTACCCCGCATACTTTCGTACACCACTCCGGAGGATATCGAGTTCACGACGGAGATCCCTGTCACGAAGTCTGGAGCGACCGTTACTTATGGCCCGTACCATAATATTCCTCCCTCGTCGAACTCGGAGTTTGTACAAAAGCACCAGAAGCATGTCACAGTGCACTACGGCCATGATTTCCCCTGTGCTCAAATAACCAAGCTGAAGCGTGCAGCAGAAATTAGCCATTGGGGCGCGAACTTGAACATCAACGACGACATTGTCTTGCATAACGGCGGTCCTGCGTGAGTACGCGTGATTATAGTGGAGAACTCGATGTTGACTCTCCGTGCATAGCCTCAAAGGCCACTTCTCTCGCCTAGGGTACCAGTCGCAGACTTTCTACAACCGTCCGGCACCCACCATTTTGAACTGGTTCACCCTCCACCTTCCTGCGGGCATTCGGAATGTGTATTACTACGATTTGATCGGCAATGTGTCGACCTCCCGTCTGCGCCTCGCACCCTCCGCGCCCAAGACGTTGACTGCCAATCCCAACCAATACAGCATCATGGAAGTGCGGCCGCGCTATCCGGTGTTGGGCGGATGGAATTATACCTTCACTCTGGGGTGGGATGCGCCTTTGGCAGACTCCGGAAGCTTCGATAGCAAGACCGGAAAATACATTGTAGGGGTACCGGTCATGACCGTATTGCCCGATGCTGTTGTCGAGGATGCCGAAGTCAAGATTATCTTACCGGAAGGTGCTACGTAGGTCTTCCCTCATGCTCTCTGGCCTTGTGACTTTGCTGATGGCACCACTTTTCAGTGACATCGAGTTCTTCCCTCCATTCCCCGCAAAGAATCAGACCATCTCCACCCACATCACGTACCTTGATACCGTTGGACGACCTGCACTTACCTTCCACTACGAGCGTCTTACCGACAAGCACAGCGGAATCATCTATGTAAGTGCTAGCACCCTATAAGTACTAGCCTCGCGAGATGTAACTCACTTCGTGACATGCAGGTTACCTACAAAGTTCCTTTCCTTGCTCATCTGCGAAAGCCGTTGGCGGTGGCGACCGCGTTCATAGGTCTTTTCGTGCTCGCCATGGGTTGGCGACGAGTAGACACTAGGCTCGATACCAGACAAAAGCTCTAGATGTATTGCACTTCCTGTTGTCTCCATATTCGGTGCTTTATAATGCTGAGTAAGAGAGCTCGAGCAAGAGTCGACAATTTCGGACGAATGAAGGACAGGCTCGAAGTGAATCTGATCATAGGAAAGTTTACGGTCTTAATCGGATTACATAAGCAAGATGGGATTTCCAAAATGATCGACATCTGGGATCACGGGGAAAACCGGCAACATATCGCTCATTTTGGATATCTTTGTTGTGCGAAGTACTGAGCCTTGTCTTGTCCTACCTTCCACACAAATGTTGTCCAGTCATGCTATTTATCTTGCGCGCCGTCACTTGCACGCACTCAATTCTTTTCAGGAAACACTCGGTCGGCGCACAGCAGTGACAGTCGTGAACGTTCCTCGGCGACCAAGCCCAGCCCTTCCTCCTCCAGAGAAACGTAAGGCGGAGCCTGCAGACGACACGAAACGGCTGACTGAACATTTGAAGCCTAGGGGACCTGCGGCGGCGCTTGCAGCCAAAGAGGACCCTTCAAAGGTTCAGAAGCCGAAGAAACTGCTGAAGCCGTATGAACTCGCGTCCAGACTGAAGAAACTATGTGCGGCAGGGGATATTGACGGTGCAGTTGAGACGTTGCAGGACATGCCCTTAGATGCGCAGACTCCGCCTGTGTGGAACACATTGATCTTGGAATGCATGAAAGCAGGGCGGTATAAATTGGCGTACAAGCTTCACACCGATGTGAGTTTGCCTTATCCTCCGGGTTCATGGCGCCTAATTGTTTACTCAGATGAAACGTCGAGGACTCAAACCAACCGTCAGGACATATGACACTATGCTATACGGTTTGTCACGCATTCAAGACTGGGAAAATCACACGAAACTGCTCGAACATGCCCATTCCCTGTACGAAAATCTCATGAAACACTACAATCTCGTGAAGAAGCTCGATCCCCAGAGTAGCGAGCTTAATGTCGATCCGTTGGCGTCCTACATCAAGATACTGGCAGACACTAATCAACACCAAAAGATCTTCGATGTCTACTATGCCCTAGATCAAGACGGTCCACTCGCTCCCAATAACTTCCTCTACGGCGCCATCTTCCGCGCTCTGGCAACTAGAAGGGCTGCCTCAGGGGAGGATCGACGAAGCGTAGCAGCACAGAATGCCTCAGACGCCAGGATGCTCTGGAAGCAGATGCTCAAGCGACCTGGGGCGTCTTCAACATTCCCGGCCGATTCACATACCGTCGCTGCTGCTCTCCGATGTCTTGCCTACGGGCGTTCCATAGACCATCAGCTCGGTCTGGACATTGCACGCGATGTCCTTGGTCTAGCAAAGCCTGGAGAAACTGCTCCTCCGGCGAAAGTCCCGCTTAGTCCCCAGTCATTGGAAGCTGTTCTCATCCTCTGCAACAATATGGGGGCACCCCGTATCTGCATTCACTTTGCACGACAAGCAATGGAAAGGCCGCGCAAATTCCATGAACGGCCCATCGTTGACTCTGGTCATATCAATCAGCTCTTAAAGGCGCACGTGGCGCTGGCTGAGACTGGCTCTACTACAGAGTCTAAAGCAGCGTTGGAGGTATTGGAGTGGATGCTGGAACAAGACATTCCCACCGCTAACGAGAAGATCTCCAAAATCCGGCCGAAGCGGTTGACCTACAATCTGGTGCTGTCGGCTTGCCAACACTGCAAAGATTGGTCGAGTGCGACCCGCGTGTTCGAAGTAATGACTGGATACCACGCGGAGGACTTCTTGAGCAAGTCGAAGAAGCCGAGGAAAGATAAGAGGTCCCCGGGACATTCGGTTTTCCCAGATGCGACGACTATGGCATGTATGGCTCGCACAGCGCTCGCTACAGGCGATGGGAGCAACATTCGGCAATGCCTCCGTATCATTGACCACGTTCAGCTCGATCACATACTGAACACTGGAATGCCTGCTGACCCGGAAGCAGATAGTCCCGCTTTACGTCGCGCGCGCTCTTCGCAGGTGACTGAGCTGGCCACTGCTATACTGGAGATGGTGGGGACTATTGAGGGACCCGATGGTACAGGGAACAAACGCGATCCCGAAGCTCCTCGCTGGAATTCTCTGAGGACGCATGCCACAGAATTGATCCAAGGTCAAGTAGCCACGCCCATGCGTCCTTTGGTTTAAGATCGCACCTGTTCGAGATCTCTCATGGAATAGGCAGTTTTAATACAATAGCCGGTGCATACCCCGACCGCCGCAGGCGACGTATGTACTAACAGTCCTTCGACCGGTAATGGCAGTGATAAAATTACTGTAAGCAAGAACGACAGGTGATTCAGTCCGTCCAAAGAGAAGGTAACACAGATCCATAACATAACAACCAGCAATGGGAAGGAAAGCGACAGCAACAGCAGATCAAGCGACTGACATCGGTCTTGGGCCGAGTTTGGTTTGGTCATAGTCCTTCCTGAAGGGGGCCGAGGGAGGAACAAACGTGTCTTCGGTGAGTGCCATTGATACTGGTTGGTATACGTGAGAAGGGGCGGTGGGGGAGGTGTCGAGTGGGTTCATGGGCATGGGGCTCAAGCGGCCAGGATTGGACCTGCGCTTGATGGCTCCTGAACGTTTGCTGCGTCCCCTCCGGACCATGAAGACAATGCCAATAACGCCGAGGGCTAAGAGGACAACGGCATTCAACGCCATAATTGCAAGCATGGCCGGGAAGTATCTTCCGACACTGTCCAGTGTGTCCGCAAGCTTGGCGGACAAAGTCACTGTGGCGGGTGCAGCGTCGGATGAGTTCGAGGCGTTGTAGGTGATGTTGTTCTTGGCCGTGCCGCCACGAACGGCGACAAAGTCGGCTGACGCTTCGTTGGGGTCGACGATAGACAGCAGCTTGACGTACGGGTTGCCCATGTTGCCGGATGAGTCGAAGTCACCAAAGTCGTACACAGAATAGATGGACCGTAAAACGTTGTCGCCGACAAGCCAATCGCTACAGCAAAGTCAATACAGAGCTGCGTTGCGTGCTTTCGCGACTCACAATTCCCCTGCGCCCACAGACACGCTCTGAGGTACAAAGGATCCCACGCAAGTGGACGGATCAGTCAAGGAGGCCGGAGTGACATCGAGCGGATGGATGGGGAACACTTCACCGCTGCAAAGACTGAGTGAGCATGAGACGCTCAGCTGCCTGGAAGTACCCTACCCAATCTGAATAGCCATGTCAATCTCGGCCTCGCAGGGTACCACCCATTGGCCAAGGCCGGAGTCGTACTTGGCTCCATCGACTCCGCCGTAGATTGCTTGAACAATATCCGTGGGCGCATAGCTGCACACGCATCAGTCGCGCATCTCCTTTTGGCATGTATACTGTGGACGTACGTGTATGATGTACCGCTGTCCAGCAGAGCGACGGCTTTGTTGCTGGGGGCATTGGCAACAGCTGTGGTCAAGGAGACCGAGTGTTGCCCGACGATGATAGAGTCGAGGAGGACATTCCAACGCGAGGGCGAGTTCTCCGGCCAAGTAGGGATGGCAGTGGTGTTCAAGACAGACGAGTACTTCTCTTCGGTTTCGCCTGGAACATCCAACTTAGGGCAAAAGCCCCGCTAGATAATATAACACTACATACCGAGGGAGAAAGTGCCTTGTACGTCATCGTGCGGGTCTGTGCTCCTCTGCAGCAGGAAGGCGATGAAGTTCGGTTCACTGGGGTTGTCTTGGAACAGGTTGAACAGGAAGCTCCTCCCAGTGGATGAGCCGGATTTATTGACTAGTGCATCGATGGTCGACAGTTTGGTGAAGCCAAGGCCAAGGATACCGTCGGCACCGTAGGAAAGAGCGGGGTTGCTAGCAGCGGATACATCGAGGAAAGCTTGGCTGGGGACCTTGATACTTCGATCGATGGCGGGGTTAGATGACGACGCAGGCAATGGGAGGTAACAGCATACCCTGCGAACTCTGCCGGAGCATACGAAACATGTCCATATGCCCACCCGATGCCGTACTTCATTCTTATCAATTAGATGACGAAGGAAAGAAAGCACGTTTACTGACTGTGAGGTTATACGTTGTGGACTGAAAGTCCTCATTATTGCTTGAATACAAAGGCATGTGGATCTATCACTCACTGTTTGATTCGCGAAGGGTAGAGGAGACGAGTCGCCCTTGATCCAGAGGTCTGAGGAGCCTGTGTCTAACTGGACGGGATATTCTGGCAGAGTGTAAACATAGCTGCCGATAATGCCTCCGTCTCAACGTACCAGTGTTTCCGACAGTCACCTTTGAGACTTGGTTAGCCTATCCTGAAGGTCCATATGATCCCACATACTCACGTTGGCAATGTAAATCAAGTCATGAACAGTACTGCGCAAGGTTTATGGGGATAAGCAATGGGGAAACGGGAGTAGCGACGCACGTCAGGTCAAGGTCATCATCATCGTCCCCCGACGCCGCCAAGACCCGGTTGTTGGAAATGGCAGCAGATGGGCGCGTTACTGATACCCCCCCATTGCCGCTGCGTTTGTGCAAAGAGCTGGGCCGCTTGACCTGAGTTATGGGGATTTTGATGGAGCATGAAGTGGCAACGGTGAGGGCCAAAGTGAGTGCCAGGGTCGGATATTTCATGGCAGTAAGTGGGCGGTCAAGGGACCGGAAACCAAAGGAATGACAGTGCGTAGAGCGCAGGTAAAGAGAGGAGGAGACAGCCCGTCAGGTCAGGGCAGGAGTCCAGACAAGCGTACGGCCTGCGCAGGGCACAAGGTATAGGGACCGTGTGAACACTGGCCGGCCTCATAATCGTTCTTGCCTTCCACTGCTATCTTTGCTCCAACTGCGTCGCTGCGCATTGCTCGAGAGCTGCCAGGCATTCGAGTTGTATGGGCGAGTCGAACGTAGTCCGTCCGTCTGCCGACTCTAGCATTATATGTCGACATTTCTGGCGTTATCGGTATGTTATGGCCGTGCTTCCTCGGGGCCCGCACAGCACCGACGCGGTCCAAGACACGTTCCCTGCTTCATTCCCGCCTGCCCACCGCATTCATGGCATTCATGCAGCCCTTTGCGCACAAATGCTGCGCAACGTCAACTGGCATAAGCTGCCAAAGCAAATGGTAATTCCATCCCGAGCCAGCCCAGCGCCTGAAATGCACTTCAGGCTATAAATAGCCCTCTGGATACTGATCGGGACGCCACGTTGACTCCACGTGCGCGGACTTACCCCGCATCACGTGAGGAAGCGCCCCTATGACCTTCCCGGGGCGAGAGTACGGCCCTCCGTCCGGTGCTGCTGTTTAAACCGTCGCCTCCATCGACCAGCACGACTCTGCCATGCCCCCGCCAGCGTCGAGAAGTACGATCTTCAGGCTCATCAACGCCTCCCAGCACTCCGCTTGCCCTTGCCATGGCTGCAGGTCTTCTGGTCATCATCATGGACATGCACACCAGGCTATGAATCAGATGAGGAAGTTCGCGACCCCTGTCCCTGAGAAGGAGTACGCGTTTGAGGTACAATTATCCTGCTAAAGCCTTGCACTATCTGCTTATACCGTGCTAGGTTGCTGCGTCCAATCTGAGATTCGGAGACGGTGTCACCCGTGAGGTCGGCATGGACCTCAAGAATATGAAGGCAACTAAGGTCAGTATCTCCCTACCTATATTGACACAAAATAATAAAGAGTATGCTTTCAGGTTGGCGTGTTCACCGATCCCAACATTGCCAAGCTTCCTCCTATGAAGATGGTGAGACCGGACTTTAGTTGCGAAGCGCCGAAGTTAACGTCATCGTCGCATCCAAGGCGCTCGAATCATTAGACGCCCAGACGGACCTCCCATACGAAGTCTACGACAAGGTCGTGGCCGAGCCTACAGAAGCGTCTTGGAGGGATGCTATCGCATGGGCCAGGAAGCATGACTTCACCCACTTCTTAGCGTATGTCATTGTTTCAGCGCTTTGTATTGACGATTCACGCTCTGGTATTCCAGCGTCGGAGGAGGAAGTGTAATGGACACGGCGAAAGCTGCAAATCTGTGCGTCTCATCTGAAGATACTTGGTACATGGGCTGATCTCTGGCTGAAACGCAGTTTCACGGTGTACAAGGACGCAGACCTCATGGACTTCATTAACGCTCCCATTGGCAAAGGCCTTCCAATAACCAAGACTTTACGACCCCTCATTGCTGGTGAGTTATCTCGTCCACCGTGGGCACTGGGGACATAATTTCTGACACAACCCAGTCCCGACAACCGCTGGTACTGGGTCGGAAACTACCGGTACTGCTATTTTGGACATCACGTCGAAATCGTTCAAGACTGGGATTGCCAGTAGGGCGATGAAACCAACCCTGGGTATCGTGGATACTTATAACACCGACACGTGCCCTACCGAAGTTCATATCAGCGCTGGGCTGGACGTGTTATTCCATAGCATGGAGAGCTACACAGCAATTCCGTGAGTGCATCTGGCGGGTCGACTGCACTACAGCTAAATGGCACTCAACAGATACACGGAACGGACGCCTCGACCAGCTAATCCCATCAATAGGCCTGCGTACCAAGGGAGTAACCCGGTCGCAGATGTGTTCTCGCTATGGGCTTTGCGTCAGACGGTTCAATATCTGCCTCGCGTGGCTAAGGACAAGGAAGATCAAGAAGCGAGACGCCAGATGCTGTAGGTTCCTCCCCATTCGATTCTATCTCTTCATTGTTAATGCGCTGCATAGTCTGGCGGCATCGTTCGCTGGGATTGGCTTCGGCAACGCGGGCGTTCATTTGTGCCATGGCATGAGTTATCCGGTAAGGCTGCTGGTGGGTGTCTGGAACACGGACGGTAACCTAGCTTGCGTAGATATCCGGCTTGAACAAGGCAGGGCCCAAATATAAGCATCCCGGTTACTTGGTGGACCACCCTATTATACCACACGGTGTTAGGTAAGATCGCCAACAGTTTCGGATGTAGTGCATCTGGCTAATGAAAATCTGTGTAGTGTTGCTCTTACCGGTCCATCAGGTGAGTGATCTCCAAAGTTTCGGGAGATGGTCCTATGATATCAACGAACTCTTCTGCATCTAGTGTTCCAGTTCACCGCTCCTTCAGCGCCTGATCGTCACAGAGAAGCACTGGCCATCTTCAACAACACTACTGTAACAGATCCGTCAATAACGTCAATTCCTGATAGGGAGATCGGTGCCCATTTGTTTGAATCTATTGCGCGGTTCTTGGATGGCCTTGGTGTCCCGCGCGGCTTGAAGGCTGTCGGTTACAAGAAGTCGGACGTGCCGATGTTAGTGGACGGGACTATTCCCCAGAGGCGAGTGTTGGATCTCGCGCCTGGTGTGGGAGATGTCGCCGGGGAAGATGGAAGGGAGCATCTGGCGAGGATCTTGGAAAGCGCGTTGGAATATTAGGAAGCCAGCACAGCTATGTACTTCACAGGATCTTGAGTGTAAGTATCCTCGGAAGCAATTTGTGTATAAATAGTGCATACTTGAGCAGTGCTGAATTCACTGATGAACGCATCGTTCAACATTCCGGACAACCTCCAAGGGGCTACTTTTCAAATATCGCACTACTAACGTAATAGGTCAAACTGTCTCCACGTACAATCTGCGTATAACTGTTGCGATAGAGTGACCCGAGTATGGCTGGCAAGAATAAAGTAACTCCCACCGCCCTCTCTTCTATCAACATCACTTTCCTTGGTACCGCATCCGCTCAGCCATCTTCAACTCGTAATCATTCATCTCTCGCACTGCGTTTGGGAGGCGATGTATGGCTGTTCGATTGCGGTGAGGCCACGCAACATCAGATCCAGAGAAGCGGGGTGAAGATGGGGAGGATCAAGAAGATATTCATAACTCATACGCATGGTGGGTGTATCTGAATACTGTTTCTGGCACGCGTGGTGAAGAGTCTGACCCGGAAGGCGACCATATATTCGGCTTATTGCCTTTGATGGCGAGCATCATGAATGGTGCCGGAGGCACGGTGGAAGGCCTGGAAGATGAAAGGAACCATGCTACGGATTATCGTGAGGTGAGTGTATTGGTGACCTTTGAGACATATGTTTTGTGGAGTATTCGTCCGCATTGTGTAGCCGTTGGAAATATACGGTCCCCTCGGTACCAGGGCCTATATTCGCAGTGGCCTAACGTATACCCATACCATCCTGGGCGCTCCATATGTCGTACATGAACTACGCTTTCCGATAGACCCTGCTGTGGGAGATTACACCGAAATGCTAAGCCTGGCGACAGAACTAGCAGGTCAAAATATCCCTGAAGACAATGGGATCTGGCCGAACATATACCAAGATTCTCTCGTATCCGTCTCCGCTGCGCCGATCCTCCACTCTGTTCCCTGTGTTGGTTACGTCGTGACCGAGAAACCAGTACCCGGGAAGATGGACCCGAAGCAATATGTGCCTCACATCAAAAGGACGAATACCCCCATGGCTGTTATGAGTCGGCTGCAACAGGGAGAGACGGTGACTCTGTCGGACGGCACGGTCCTTCATGGCCCTAGTCGACGGCCGGGTCGAAAAATCGCAATCCTGGGCGACACCTATGATCCTTCCCCCCTAGCGAAGTTAGCAGCTAACGCGGACATCCTCATTCATGAGGCGACGAACGCACACCTACCCGGCGTGGATTCGGACACGAAACCAGAAGACTCATACGAAACGGTCGAAATCCGCGCCAAGTCTCGAGGGCATTCTACCCCGCAGATGGCTGGGGCATTCGCAAACCGCGTAGGCGCTTGCAGACTGCTCTTGAATCACTTCTCTGCTAGGTATCCAGGAAACGACGACGTCGACGAGGAGGCTCGGCGGATGATGGGTGCTATCAAAGCACTGGCCGCGGAAGAATTCCGCGGAGAAATTATCTGTGCTCGAGACCTGATGAGCATCGAAGTGCAGCTCAGGGCGCTGTCGGATTAAGACTCCCGGTGGCCGTCGGTCGGCCATGAGACGTAGAGGTGCAGGTCCTGGCATATTATCACCGCGTTCTCTAACCGTTGATGCCTCATGGAGCAGGGTCGTGCATATTGGCCTGCTCGTGCTGCTAGTAGTCTTGTTCGACACTCCCGCTGACGAGTGCACCCAAGCAAGAATTAATGGGACGTAGGGCAGTCACTACGGATCGACGGAATTTGGACAAGGTATGAAACCGCAACAGCCGGGATCATCCTGCACTGGCGGTGTCTCTGTCTGGGAACTCTTAGCATGCCCAGGTGACCTTCGGACCCGTCAAAAAATCTCTACTGAGCTATCGTTACGAGTATCTCATATTGAAATTCATGTCGAGGGAGTCGGTGAGTCTGCAGTGCGCTTTATGGTCATCCATAATACGCGGATAAGGCGCCACCTCATATGCGACCTTGGGAGTCCGCCCGAGCCCTATGCCCTGCGATAAGACAATGCCCTCTGACCTGATTCTGGCCTCACGGAATTATTTGCTCAGGGCGTTCTGTAATCACGGCTCGGCGGATTTTCGCCGATATGCCCCTAGGATATTGCGCAGTGAGGCAACACATACTGTAAATATCGTCCGCAGTAAACTGCGAGCGCGTAATGGTGAGCTTTGCAACACCAATGTCGCAAGATTTGTGGTCGAGCCCTACGCTCCGAAACCGGACCGCATTTACAGTGTATGTGCCTGGGAGTAGACACATACCCTAACCCAGGCAACTTGCCCATCACCACTGGAAGCTCAAGCGGTCCCGAATGGGCACTGCGGCGTAGTTCATCGTGCATGATGACTCGCTATTATTCACGGTGCGGGCGGCTGCGCATTTGACTGGATGCGTGTCAGATCACGTCACAGCGTTGTATCAGTTTCATATTGGCTCAGTATTGACTGGTTCTTGAGAGCACAGGTGACTCCTTGCTATGCCCCGAACCCTATCATCAGTGCCTGGAGGACAGATCTGACATTGAATAGGCCATCATGACCTTTACTAAGAGTGTTCATCACAGCGGTTCTCGCGGACTATTGCGGTCCTGCACTCTGGACGGCGCTGCATGCCCTGAACCGCAGCATCGCATATCTGCTCACGCGTGTCTATATAAGCCACAATGCTAGTAGAGACTCACAACAGCGCTTGCCCCTCCGGTCATCACGCAAAGAACAGTCTCCCCAGCAGATACATACCATCTCGCAATGCCTTCCACTACCTCTTCCTACGCCGCATCTACCACCTCTTTCGACACCGCATCTACCCTCTCGGTCGCATCCAGCACCACCATAGCACCTCTTAAAACCTCTCCTGTCAGAGATTACGCTGCTGCATTTGGAGCGTTGCAAACTCAGTACGGCACATCCGGTTTCATCCCCACCCCCGTCATTGGCGAACGGAAGAAATCGGACTCTTCCTCCGCGACCGAGGAAGCAAAGAAATCCGGCCCTTCGTCTCTCAGAAAGATTTTCAAGCGCTCGAAGTCCTCAGACAAGAAGAGCCCTGCACCCGCCGTGTCATCGCAGACTACCACTGCCACTGGCGCGTCTTCACAATCCGACAAGGGAAAACCATCCCCTTCTCCTAGGATAGAGATGAACTCCAGGTAAGCCCTATTCGAGCTCAGCGCTCGAATCACGACTTACGGAACCTCCAGGAATATGGGCCCCGCATTCTCCAGATTAGGTGCCCTTTGAGACGCTTCGGCTCTCCTGACCTCAGCTTTCCGGCCTGCCACCGATGTCCACATCGGAAGGCGAGCACTTAATTGGGCGCGATTGCAAAGCCCTGTGCCAGCCAACTGAGCCCAGACCAGCTCTGAATAGGGCGGCTAGCCACAATATGTTGCTGCTAGCATGGTCACCGCGGTACTGCTCAAAGAGAGGGGAGGCGGTTGTTAAGCGACACATGATACTTTCGACCCTCCCCCCTTTGCTTTTGGTTTCTTCCCTGCTTCCAATGTCTCCGTTGTGCTCGTTCCTCGCTGTTCGCCATTGACATCCATAAGTACTGCGATGTTTGCGATCGAAACTTGTGATCTCATGTACGTCAGGAATATGTTGAATTGTTGTACGCTCTGGGATGGCTTTTTGTACGAGTTGTGGCATACCACTCTAGGTACACCGTGTACGTTTGTACATAGTGATCGCCAGACCTCGATTACATATGACATACACGGATCGGGATATGTTAATCTCGGCGCCGGCAATCAAACGAGATCTTAGATTAGATTAACGAGCAGAGAGTGGTAAGCCGCCGGCATGTCCTCTCCGCATTCCACATCTCGCCGCAGTCTCTTCCGGCCCTGCATCGATCTGCATGGGGGACAAGTGAAGCAGATTGTAGGAGGCACACTCTCCGACGAGAATCCTGAAGACTTGAAAACGAACTTTGTGGCAACGTACGTCTGATCTGATAGTCTCGTCGAACAGTATCTTTTAGGAGATTTACTCTGACTCGGCGCATGCCTCGCGCAGCAAACCGCCCTCCGAGTTTGCACGGCTATACAAGGAACATGGACTTGAAGGGGGACATGTGATTAAACTCGGTCCAGGGAATGACGAAGCTGCGAAAGAGGCTTTGGCAACTTGGCTAGGTCAGCCCCTATGGAACCGCCCACCTTGACAGCAGACCTCTCATTTTGTTGGAAGGCGGTCTGCAGATCGGTGGGGGAATAAATGCGAACAATGCGGAAGAATGGCTGGATGCGGGTGCTAGTAAAGTAAGTCGATATGTGGATCGACCGGGAGAGTCTCAAGCTGAGAGGATGCACATAGGTTATTATTACCTCGTACCTCTTCCCGGGCGGAAAGTTTGATCTCGCAAGGCTTAAGCATATATCGGCTTCAGTAGGTAAGGAACGAGTGGTGGTAGACGTGAGGTGAGTCCTGCATCCGTTGAACGGCAGGAATATCGTGTGACTCTGAACAGTTGTCGAAGGAGAGACGGAAAGTGGATGGTGGCCATGAACAAATGGCAAGATATTACGGACATGGAAGTCTGCAAAGGTAATTACCCTGTGAAAGTTCGGGACGCGGATGCTGATAACTCGACGGCCTAGAATCCTTGAATTTGCTTTCGGAATATTGCAGGTAAGTCGCAGACTAGCGCGGTCGCTGAGGGACTCTCATGGTATTAGTGAATTTCTCATTCACGCGGCCGATGTCGAGGGTCTGTGCCAAGGCATAGACGAAGAGCTCGTCCAGAGTCAGTCGTTCAAATCCGGCTCTTTAAGCTTATCACTGATCGCCGTTTAGAGCTCGGAGAATGGGTTAATATCCCCACAACATATGCTGGAGGCGCGAAGGGTGCGCATCACGAACCACGTGTAGAGAAGGTACCTGACGTTCCACTCCAGACATATCCGACTTAGACTTGGTCGAGAGGCTTTCCCATGGGAAAGTCGATCTAACTTATGGCAGGTGCGCGACCGTCTGCTACAGTGAAAACCAGGCATACTGAACATTTATAGTTCCTTGGACATCTTTGGTGGTAATCTTGTTAAGTTCAGCGACCTAGTGGAGCGAAACAAGAGGGTACTTCAGAAAGAGCAGCACGGAGTTTGACGGTATATTGTAAGACATTATGAGCGGAAACTGTATGCTATCGCTGGGAGGGGGGAGTAAGCACGACGTGCATTCGCGACTTTTGAGGTGGCTTTGCGCCGCTCTTCAGCCTCGTCCTTAGCATCTGTTGGTAGTGAGATCAGATCGGGCAATGAGCTTCTGAGGGTGCTTCCATATATGGAGGCGTGGTAAAGTGGCCCCTATGAACTGGATAGTCTGCTTGCGTAAGCTTTCCCATCGGTTCCTCGTCGCGGACAACATCCAAGGGTCAGTAACATCCAGGGCATAACCTCAAGGTGAGTGTCATTATGTCGCTGGGCAGCGTTGTTGTGCAAGACCTTGGACGAGCGTCACATGCCTTGTGCGATCCCCTAGTCTTCCAAGGACGCTGCCCGCCACTTGGCTGCCGGCACCAGGTTCTGATCACTGCGTCTAGACACATCCCACCATGCCCGGCAAGGTCAAGGCTTACGAACTTCAGTCCAAGTGCGTCCTCTTTGCTTCCTGCGAGATGAAAGTGCGGCTGATGTAGAGTGGGATACACCACCAGGTCGAAGAATGACTTGTCAAAACAACTCGTCGACCTCAAGAATGAGCTCTTGAGCCTGCGGGTACAGAAGGTTGTTGGGGGTTCGGCGTCCAAGCTGACCAAGATGTGCGTATGCAATACATGCTATGTATTCGCGGTGGACTGATGCAGCTCGTTATCCATGCAGCAACACCGTCCGGAAATCCATTGCCCGTGTCTTGACGGTTATGAACCACAAGCAGCGCCAAAACCTCCGGGAGTTCTACAAGAACAAGAAGTACCTCCCTCTTGACCTCCGTCCGAAGCGGACACGCGCTATCCGACGGAGATTGACCAAGGTATGTGCTCGTTGAGTCACTTCCACTTTCCCAGCTAATGCTTTCGTCAACGTAGCACGAAAAGTCCCTGAAGACCGAGAAGCAGCGCAAGAAGGATATCCACTTCCCCAAGAGGAAGTACGCTGTGAAGGCATAGGGCTAGGGGGACGAGGTTGGGTGTCCGTGTATATCACTTCTTTGGCGTCTATGCTACAGGCCATTGACCGCTCCACGCTGCATATTATGCCATGTTATGTGTCTTTATGCTCTTGCGCTATCATTACTTTCTGTCCATCTCGGATCCCTATTGCTTCTAGCGGGAGCCGGTGGGACGAGTGTGTGCGCCCGGGTGGGTCCCAAATCCTGGACGAAGAAGCCGCTGGACTGCACTCATGTAGTGTTAGTTTGGATAGATGAGCCTGATGGATACAGGAGTGTATGTAAACGGGTTCTATGTCCGTGGAGAAAGTGTCGGAAAGGCTGAGACAAGGGAATCAGATGCAGGACATTGCCTGTGTCAGCGGCCGAGAAAGGAAATGTCGGCACAAGTCCTCTCGCATGGGCGCTGACAAGCTTGATGACATACTTAGGAGGGCCTTCAGAAGAGCTCTGCCCGTGGCGTCACCGCGGCATTGCCTTTATATCTCTTCTGCTTTGTCTCATTACTGCGAGCCATCACAGACACGCTCGTCGCTGTCCGACACGGTGTTGCCGCTTTCCCCGCCACCTGAAGCATACCGGTGACCGTGCTTCGACTCCCACCGGTACTCCTATAGACGCGTCCACGACAAAGATCCTTTCTTCCCAGCCGACCTGCACCCCGAGCAATACCTCAAATTCAGGAAGATTGCAACACAAGCATATTTTTATCACTATCACGACTCCTTCACGAAGCCTCACGACTCTAGATCTGATATTTAACGAATAATGGTGAGTCCGTGCAATTTGCATTTTGCGCCAGATAAGACGATCCTTTCGTGTCCGACGAACGTCATTGAACGAGCGCTACTGGCATATATCGGTCTGCACATGCTTATGGGTGCCCATGGCTACCCACGTGTGCGCTAGAAGCACATCAAAACACCTTGCATCAGGCCAGTCGTCAGTTGCCGACTGCTGCTCAGTCCCATTCTCCATTCATTTCCCTCGCTCCGCGGGACTGGCTGGTGCAAGGCGCAAGGATGGCTGGAGGGTCTCGTCTGAGAAAGCGCAGCGTCGACCAAGGTCCGAGAGTGCTCACGCGTTCTCCTCCCTCCTCTCCGCAGGTCGAGCAGAAGCCACGCCCATTGGAGCCATACCCGATGCCGAACAGCAATCCTGCCAGCCAGTATACCCTTCTGGAGAAGCTGGGGACGGGGAGCTTTGGGACGGTGTACAAGGCGATACATAATGAGACGAAACAAATCGTTGCTATCAAGCAGATTGGTGCGTCTTGGTGGCTCATAATGATAACGACTGTGGTCCTAACATAGTATGGTTCGCCTACTCACCATTTGGCGTCCCGCAGATCTGGAGGACTCGGACGATGACATCTCGGAAATTCAGCAAGAGATCGCTAACCTTGCACAATGCGACTCCGAATACGTCACTAAATATTATGGCTCCTTCGTCGTCGCTTACAAGCTATGGATTGTAATGGAATACCTAGCCGGCGGCTCCTGTCTAGATCTCTTGAAGCCTGGTGTCTTCTCCGAGGCTCACATCGCTGTCATCTGCCGCGAGCTACTTCTGGGTCTTGACTATCTGCATAGTGAGGGCACAATCCATCGCGACATCAAAGCAGCCAATGTCCTACTCTCAGCATCTGGGAAAGTGAAGTTGGCTGATTTCGGTGTCGCCGCCCAGCTCACCAGCACGCTACGGCATACCTTTGTCGGTACACCATTCTGGATGGCGCCGGAAGTAATCAGGCAGGCCGGTTACGATGCGAAAGCGGATATATGGAGTCTAGGCATCACTGCGATCGAGATGGCGAAGGGAGAGCCTCCCCTGGCAGAGTACCATCCTATGCGAGTGCTGTTCCTTATTCCCAAGGCAAAGCCACCAGTATTAGAGGGACCGTTTTCGCTCGCCTTCAAAGACTTTGTTTCACAATGTTTAACGAAGGATCCTAATGCCGTGAGTGCAGCAGTATGCCAGTTTGAGGCAGAGTGACTGACGTGATTGCTAGCGCCCATCCACGAAAGAGCTGCTACAGCACCGGTTCATCCGAAGCGCTCGCAAAACCTCTTACCTCACGGAGCTCATCGAGCGCTATCAGGACTGGCGAGCCCGCTCACCGCACCGTCACCAGGCATACCAACCGTCAGTACGGAATAGTGTTGCTTCTTGGGAGGGGTCCATGCGGAGCGACTGGAATTTCGATACCATCAAAACCGCTTCGGCTATGGGCACCTTCCGTGGTATGGCCAAGGATATCATGCCACCTGGTATGGTCGCCGATGAGGACGAGTACTCGGAGAATGGATCTACGTACGAAGAGGAGACAAGACCGTCTATCGATACCTCGCTTGCCACGAAAGGGAGCGAAACCACCGGGATCGGTATGAACCTGCAAGCAGCACATTCCACGATGGTGATCAAACCTCCGCCCGATGCCATGCCAATTCCGGATTTAGCTGCAGGTGATAGTTCGTCTGCCGAGACGGACGGCGCACCCTCGACTCCGCCCCAGGCGCAGTCAGAAGATATCCCTCCTCCAGCTTACACTAGCTCAGGTTCCACGCGGAGTCCGAGACGGGCGTCCTATGCTGCTCGGAGCAGCACGAATGGTCCAGGCGCGGTGTTGAGCGATGCGGATCTGGGTAGTGGGATTGACACGATTCGGCCCGTGAAGAAGGTAGATACTGCTGGCAGCCTGAAGTTGTCGGCGGAGTTTGTGGGCAGTCTTCGTGCCAGGGAAGGAAGCACGAGCAGCCTGAACAGCCCGCAGAGCCCGACGAAGAGCACGCATCAGAGGGCGGCCAGTGAGGCTGCAAAGGCGGGCAAGAACATGGTGGATGAGGTCGTTTTGCCTATTTTGCAGAATGTGAGTGCTGAAGATTTTCCGCTTCGGCGTTGATTGCTAAGGAGCGTGACCGTTTTGTAGTCAATACGGGACGATATGGATGCCCGCGAGATCGAGTCTCTGAGCATGATTTCGAGAGGATTCAGCGAGCTCAGGGAGGCTAATCCAGAGCTTGCATATAACGTTATTCTGGATGTGCTGTCTGGCATCAACGAGTAAGTGGCATTCTCTCTCCATCGCCTCGACTATGATGCTGACCTCGGGATGCAGCAACGCTTCTGTGCGACGACATATTCAGACAACTCGCAGCCTCTTCCCGCACAAACGCATCATCCGTAAGAGTGAAATGACCAGCAAAGGTCTCGTCGTGACGGAGGAGGAGGAAGTCAACGGGCTTCCTGGAGATGCTTCATCGAGCTCCGGTCACTCCGGCTCAGGGTATTCGCATGCGCCATCAGTGTCGTCTCGTAAGAGCGATGAACCCTCGTCACCGGTGCGCAAGTCGCCCATCGCGGAGCTGCTGTACATGCGATGGTTAGAGGGCTTAAAGATTAAATGGCCCAGTATGATGGGTGGCAGCAGTTGAATGTTGCCGCTCGATGGAGGGATGGGTCCCTAGCATTCCTCCCGGTGGCCTGTTCCGCCCTGCGATACTGACCCAGGAGATTCATGCGAACCGTCTCCCTCACGCTGTCATCGCCCACATATGTCGTCCCTCCCCGGTCTCTCACTTTACGGTTTGTCTTCCAGGACTTTGCCCAGGTACAATTTTTATTTATTGTTCAGCTCTTCGCATCGTGTTCGCTTTCTTGCTTGCTTGCATTCCCTGCCTAATCACGCCGTCTTTGCGCCTTTCCTCGTCTCCCTTGTCCCGCCGTCGGTATGTTCTTCCGCGATGGCACTCCTTCATGGTTACTGGTATGTTTCTTGCACGTTACGCCTTGCATCTTCACGTCACGTCGATTGTTAATTTCATGACCCATTTATGACTACGACTATCTCGAGCTCAAGTAGTGTCCTTTCGAGAACGAATGATTAGTTCTTGTAATATACATGATGATCAAGTCTGAGCGGGGTCATGTTCTGTGTACCATTTCATGAATAGGCGCTAGCCCCCTCAGAATTGGCGTCACTTGGGAGGTGATGGATAGCTGTAGCCTCTCAAGGCTGATCCAATTAACTCTGTTGGAATTTTTTGGCCGTGCAGAGAACGGTTGGCGTAGACCTTGACAGGCCTGGAGAAAATGACCAAGCTAGACCTGAGATCCCGCCGTCCAATCATCCCCGATTCGGCCGAGCAAGATATTCTGGAGAGCGTCAAAGCAAGAGGTTTTCGTGAGTCTGCGAGTCGGGCCGATGGCTTACGATATATTTGCAGGTGGATACGAGCGGCGCCAAAGGAAGACGTTGCGAGCGACTTGGGACGGAGAAAATCCTTGATGGTCGATCCTGGGCCAGAGCATTGGAAGGCCGGTGTCGGAGGGGCCTCGCGAGGGAAGACCCAGCAAGCCCGGGAGCGGTGTCGGGCATGTCGGGTGTACAACCTCTGGAATGAGCAGGTGCGGCGGCTATTAAGAACGTTGTAGTGCGAATGTCGCTATGAGGCCTCCCAATCAATCTGTACACAGTAACCTGCAAACAACCGAGTGTTAGTGGAAGGTATGAACGTAGTCTGGCTCCGACGTCAACGGGGGAAGCCCTCGTCCAAGATCCCAGTGGCTTCGACGGATCTGGTAGAACCGACCGAACGCACGGCGTGTGCATCGCGGGAAGGCGGGCGCGATGTGCGCTGGCCCTGCGATCTCGCTGCGGGCTGGGGTGCGCATCGATCTGGCGAAGACGGGAGAAGTCAGGGACGTAGTCAGGGTGTTTACCTGCGTTTATGGTTTGGGGCTTGGTACATGCAGGTGATCACGTGGGTTTACTTTGGTGAGCCCCTACTGCAGTGGGGTACCTGCACCGAGTACGAGTGCCTTGGGTACCTGAAATACAGATTGTCGGTGATGGGACGGTGTACGAGGATGTGGTTCTCGTCGCAGAACCTGGTTCACGTGTCAGCGACGTCATGCCCTGAACTGAGACGGATTTGACAAGATCGTTTCCTCGGAATTTGTCGATGCGCTAGGCCACAAACAGGCATTTGTAATGTTTTCTTCGTTCTTGCTGCCAGGGCAGAATTGTGGCCACTGGCATTGCGAAGCGAGTGGCCGGTGTTCATCCGGGGACATAGGCAGAGCCCGCGGGCCGATCGTTCAAACAGGCTTTGAATTGCAAGAAACTGAATTTGAAGTGAAAGAGCCAAGAGCCGCAGTGAGAGAGGGGCAGCCACGAAGCGGCGGTGCAGATCGGAGGAGGGATCTTTGCGCGAGGCAATCTGGGTTCGAATCCGTCCGATGCACACACCCGCCTGCGACTTTCCGCCGCTGCGATGCCAGCCGTGGATCGTTATGACGCCGCCTGGCGCTGATACGGTGGCACCCAGCGCAAAGTTGGGTCAGGCGTTGGCGGCGTTGGCAGCACGGCGCGTCGATGGACGGCGAGCGCTGCGAACTTGGTACAAGCAGGGCCAAACAAACATGATAATAAGCTTTTGCTCCGAGTATTACCCCCGAGCATTACACCGAGCGCAATATATATCCCTGGCTGTGGAAGGGGAGCATTAGCCTCTGCCTGACCACGGCATTTTCGAACCGCCCGGATACCTCCTGCCTCAGGCTGCGGTATATGCTCGACAAAGGAAAGGCGACGGCGCATGACCATACTCAGCCAGACCTTGCGCTTGCCAGCGATGCACGCCCGTCATCCGTGCACGTCGGCGACAGCCCTGCCGCGGACGATCATCACACGCCGCCCCAGTCTGATCCTCGACCCCGACAGCCGACGCAGGGCGTGCTCGCATCGCCCGTCGACGCCCATCGAGTGTCGACGACGCTAGCGCCGCGCACTGGCAGGGACGCAGCGGGCTCGCGGACAGGGGCTCCGGAGCGCAGCGCTGACGGGGGCGACGGCGGAGACAGCGACAGGCAAGGTGCGATCAGAGACGAGCGAGGTGATTTGCCCGCCGATGCAGAGCACGCGCAGACGCGATCTGGGCCGGGATCGGACACTGCTGTCTGTTCTTCCGCGTCTATTCGCCCTCGCATTCAAAGTCCTTGCAATGCGTCCCGCCACCCCCCTGCGCTCTCTGCTCCCGTCCTCCTCATGCCTCGCCACCTGCGCCCCCTGCTTTATTGCCACTGCTGCCGCCCGCCCAGCCCCATCGTCGCCCCGACCACCCTCCACTGCGGCCACACCGTCTGCGCAGACCATGTGCGCTCGGACGGCTCGCCACCCTCTTCGTCTTCGGCGCCAGCAGCCCTCCCGCTGCTGCCCACCTGCCCCCTGCCATCCTGTTCCCGTCCATCCACCCACCAGAGTCCAGCCGCATTCACTATTCCACCGACCTCCAGGGTGGTCTACCGACCGGCACCCTCTATTTCAGACCCCCCTCCCCTTACGACTGTCGCAATCAAAGTACCAGACCCGAAGGTCGACGTCGTGGTAAGTAAAGTGATAGACTTGGTCGAGCGGATGGACAAGCTAGCAGAGGAGGGCGAGGACGAGTTTGTCCCGACTAGAGATGCCGAGGACGCCAGTGATCGGGAGGATGCCAGCGACCAGGACGAGGGTGACCGTGAGCCCGAGGAACAAGAGGTGGCGCCGCCAGAGGTACAGAGACCTCTTCGCAGCACCGAGCCAGAGGCGTCTACCAGCAGAACTCGGGAGCGTTCGCGCTCGTCTTCTCGCTCCCGACCATCACAACGCCCGAGGAAACGTAGGCGTCATCTCCATCTCCCCGACCCCCAGGCACAGCAGCGCGCCAACGTTCCCGGGCCTTCTTCCCTGGGCGCAGGGGGCGACTCTAGCCCCGAGTCGCTTAGTGCAAAGCTCGAGAAGGAACTCATGGGTGAGCTGACGTGCGAGATTTGCTACATGCTCTTGCATCAGCCCGTCACAACACCTTGTCAGCATGTATGTGGTCCTCTGGCTCTACGCCTTCCACGTTTTATTGAACGTTCCGGGTACCTTGGTATAGACGTTTTGCGCCAAGTGTCTGCAGCGTTCGCTGGATCACAGCAACGCCTGTCCACTGTGCAGACAGGATTTGCCTAGTTTCTCCTATTTTCAAGACCACCCGTACAATCAAGTCTTGCTTGCCATCAGTTCGTCTTCTTCCTCCAATATGATGCCCGAATAGGACCCTCCCACTCTAATGCTAACAAATTCCGCACAGTCCTCAAAGCCTTCCCCGAGACATACGCGGAACGGCGCCGGTCGATCGAAGAGGAGGAGAAAGCCGCGAGGCTGGATACGCCCTTATTTGTCTGCCAGCTCTCCTTTCCTGGCATGCCCACCCTTCTCCACATCTTTGAGCCACGGTGCGTGTAGTCTACTGGGTATAACCTCTTCTCTTACACACGGCGTGCCATAGCTATCGTTTAATGCTGCGGCGATGTTTATCCTCGCCTACGCCGCTCTTCGGCATGATCATGCCCCCCAGGTCGTCATCGATCGCCGGCCAGACGGAGTACGGTACAATGCTGGAGATCCGAAGCGTGCAGATGCTGGCCGATGGGAGGAGCATGGTAGAGACCTGGGGCGTCTGGCGGTTCAGGATCCTGGAAAGAGCCATCGTGGACGGGTATCTCGTGGGGCGGATTGAGAGGTAGGCTAGATTGGCTTTGCTCATGTGAAAAATGCTTAACCTCGGCAATAGGATAGATGACTTTGCGGAAGAGCTGGACGACGTGGACAGTGTCGAATTGAGTGTTTTCGCGGATTCGAATTCTTCGACGTCGACGCCTTCTCTTGGCGCGCTTCTCCCCCCTCCAATGAGTGTCCCGAGCACCTCGGCGCCGTCCCGCCCACCTTCGCCTACAAATGCGGAGTTGGTGGCTATCTGTCATGGCTTTCTGGACCAATTGAGGCATGGCACGGCGCCCTGGGTTGTGCAGAGGTTGAATAACACCTATGGGCCTATGCCCACCACCGCCAGCGAGTTCAGCTTCTGGATGGCTCTGGTGCGTTCAATTGTACTCCTGGGTTGTACGAGGAGCCGTATAGTAGTAATTTAACTAACGCGTATATCACTTCGGGTAGGTTCTACCCATCGACGAGCACGAAAAGGCGAAACTACTCCCCATCCGCTCGCCCAGGCTGCGCCTGCGGCTCGTCGTGCACTGGATAGAGCAGTTGAACAGCAATTGGTACGCAGGGCCTTTCCATATTTCCTTCATCTCTCTCTTCATGTTCGTCAACAACCCGCTTTATTATCTTATCGGGCAGACCATCCGCCTCCTATCCGCGCTCTTCACGTTGTTGTCATCACCCCCTACCTGCCCGTTCTCTTCTTCTGTTGCTACACACGGTTCTTTCACTTCTATTTCGGTCGCGCGGAGGGATCGGCGATTTTGGTTTTGGGTTTTTCTTGTGCTTTCGGTCGTGGTGCTTTGTGGATCTTTTGTTTACGAATATTTCTTTGCGCGGGGTGCATCGGCGGTTTTATTAGGTGGTTCTCGAGTGGGTGTGTGATATTGTGATTGGACCCGCCGGCGGACTACTAGCGGCTTTCAACTCCACGCGTGGACACCGCGGACATCGAGGCGACCAGGGAGGGGGTTTGCTTTTCTGGTATGGGTCTGGGCAGGGTTTTTGGAAGGAGGGTTCTCGTCCCTCTCGCGTTGGACTTGTGCATGGGAATTAATGCTATCTATATCTTATTTGTTGTTATGGGGTTTTGGCTTCCTACGTCGTATAATGAGGGATTGGCACGTATCGTCTCCTGTTGTATCATCGCATATTCTTCACTGGATAATCATCTCTTGTCGGTTGTTGCATTCATCATTACCATGGCATGTCTCGGTATCGGTACTTTTGTAATTTGCCGCATTTTAATTATCACGCATACACGGGGTTTGATTTGTGGCTTGCGGTGGCGGACTCGGACTCGGATATTTGCGGGTTCTGGCAGACTTGTGTTGTGTCAATAACCGCCGTCCCCATCAGTATCAAGTTATGTTCTTCGTATCCAGCGAATGTATCTTGTCCTCTCTGGTATTATTGACGTCGCATGCAGCCTAATATCGGATGTCTTGACACGGCTATTCTTGTTCGCAGCGCATCAGTCCGGAAACGGCGCAGTGATATTCCGCAATATTGAGTCCGAGGTCTATGGTGTCCAGCCTGAATTAGATGTCATTGACCGTAAATTTATACACCAGCAGTAACGGATGCCCTCGCTGCGGAGGTCCTCCCGGGCCTATCGCGAGGCAATGTCATGATATTGACATGCGGCTTACAGCAGAATTCGCCGCTCAGACACCCTACCGAGTAGACCCCGCTCGGAGCCATGACGCGCCAAGGACTCCTCGACCAGGCTGATTAGAACACGACAATAGAGGAGCCAAGGTGGAGAAACTCTATCGAGAAGGTATGCTGCGGCGTGCGCAAAGAGTACAACTTGTACGAGAGTTCTGTACTGTTTCGTCGATGGCTGTAAGCTTTGGCTCCCCGCGTCCCTCGCCATCGCCGTTGCATCCACTGGCACCTCGGAAAGGGGGGCGGGCGGTGGGTATAGACTGACGTGAGCGTCTAATGACTGCCGGCAGTATGTGCGGCGACTGACGAACGTCCAGCTCTTCGGACTCGGATGTGCTCATTCAACTCATTTCTACGAGCCCCACTTCAATTGATGTACGTTATGACTGTGGCAGAGATATGAGCTGTAAGTTCTCATGCTCGCAAGTATATCCATATAACGCTAATTCGACCGCTTTGGAAGCGCGAAAATCACGGTGCATCAATGCCGCCTGGCAGTCCATTTTATTTTACTCCGTCTTTCCGCTACTCCCAATGATCGCGAGCGCCGCTACATAACGACCACTAGTAGTGCCGTGACCTTGCAGATCATCTGCCGTGCGTCGCGCTCGGCGACGTTGCTTGAATACGCGTAGATCGAAGTCAGCATTATGGTAGGTTCTTACTTTATTAACCAATAAGCTCAAGCACCAAGATCTGTCCCTTGATCTAGAAGACGCCAGTTAGGCACTGAAAGCGCTCGACGAGTCAGTCAAGTGTATTCCTTCATTGAGGCTTCCTCGGATGCGGGTGTGGGTACGCCACCAGCGATAGAAGCCCGGCCTTGAAGGACCTTCCATTCACCGAGCGGCAATGGATCTTACTTCCCTTTGATACCCGATCGAGTTCTCCTGGGGGATCTCTACCGTCTACGCGTTATATTCTCAAAAGGGTACGCTGCATGCCTTCCAGACAATGCCAGTGTCCTTGATTTGATCGGCCTTTTCGGTCTGTCCGCATAACGGCCTTGCTTTTACCTGGTGTTCAAAACAAGCAAGGCTGAGCACAGAATTCTAATGTGCTGGCCTGCTTATCAAGATTATAGCCGTATTTCTGCAACATTATATGGCATACCTCTCCGTCGCGATGGATACCGACCCTTATTGCGAGCGCAACTCCCATTTCCGCAGATACGTTAATTTACTGTCTCCGTGCGGCCACCGACTAATTAGTCCTATCTTCTGACCGGGGATGAGCGTGATCCATCCCAGCCAGCGTAGTACGGAGCTGAGGAAATTCTGTATGAAATCCAGAGGTCCCTCGTTAGCGCTTCGCTGCTATCTTTGTCGTTTCTGTCTGTGGCATCAGGACTCTGCCTTTGAAGATTGAATGACAGAGAGCTCGGGACGAATGCAACGAGACCGTCGAGGAGCCCGCAGCCCCGGCTGGTTTTGCATAAGTCGTGGAGGTGAGTGAGATCACTGAGCTCTCCGATACGTAGGGCCGTCAAGAGCAGTAATATCAATTCTTCCAGCCTGGGGACTTAAGACAATATCGAAAATAGTGAAGGCGTGCGGTATGTATTTACAGGTGGATGTTCGTGTAGACTTGGTTCAACTCTTTCGGGAACCATATGCGGTCGTAAAGTAGCAGTGTGTTTTCGGCGCCAGGAACTGTCACGGCCCGATTGCATTATCGAACATGACTGTGGACGTGGGCTGCGCGTCGTCCAGAACGTCAGCCAGCGGGACATTTCTAACGGTCTTTGACACGCTTGCTAACATGATGTCAGGCATTGCAGGTTGATGCGGACCCAGGAGTATCTCCCATCGGCACGTCAAACTCATCGACTTGTGATGTCTTTGCGCTCACCATTCGACGCTTGTTCGATCCTATCTATCCTTCTAAACGCCACGATCTCTTTGGCTTCCCTACGCAATCTCTGGCTTGATCTGAAACGTCATTAACGTTCAAGACGACCCTGGGTAACACCCGGGATTCGACGATGAGTCCCTCCTCCTTGCACGGGTCTTAGGGCGGTGCGACTACATCAATATCCTGATGCTGCTTCTTCGGGACTTCAGATCCCTCGATGCCGAGACACAAGCTGGGACAAATCGGGTATGCATTCTTGACAACTGCATGCCCCGGAGAGTTTACGCATAGAATCATACCTCGCCCGGGGCCGAATGCCAGTGAGGCAGGACTTACGCCCGTGGTTGCAGTCACTGCACAAGTAGCAGTTGGTGACAGGTTTCAACAACGTTTAATTGCGCACGGTAACTCGACCGACTAAAATCAAGGGTGACTCTTTTCAGACCCGGTAAATGGCCAAGACCCGGAATCATCTGTGGCCGACTGACCCGTTCTCAATAGCTGCATCATGCAGCGACTAGTATCACTACAGAAATGGGGAGTATTGCTGATGCCATGAAAAAGTTGGAGACAGGCGAAGCCTGCTACAAGGTTCGGTAGGGAGGGCAGATATCTGGTCAGTTCTGTCGACAAGGGGGAGGGGTCCACACAATATTCAAGATGCACCAGATGTTCCAGGAAATCCACAATATTTCTTGTCTCTTCTACCGTAGTACTTGTAACTGCTCATGCACTAGTCACCAAGTACGCAGTATTTGAACCCTATGTGGCCTGAGCGAGTTATGACCGAGACCCGCCACATATTCCCAAAATGGGCATTATCATAACGGTATCGTGACATTTGTCACACCTCTCTTCCGTTGAACCTCCTTCCTACGAAAGGCGCTATGGCCAAGGATAAGTCAGAAAAGAAGGACAAAAAGAGGAGGGAAAGCAAAGGGGGCGAAGTGGAGGCGGACGTGGCAGTGACGAGCATGCAGGATGTGGAGATGACGCCGGTTGATGCGGATTCGGTGAAGGTGAGTTATTGCTCGGAGCTGTAGTTAATAGAGGAGGGTTGATATATGGCCTGACTGTGCGTCTCTTAGGTGAAGAAGAAGTCTAAGAAGGATGAAGATGAAGTGGTCATTCCACTGGACGAGTTATCACCCATAGCCAGGCCACTGGCGCAGAAGAAGCTGCTCAAAAAACTGCACAAGACGATCAAGCGAGGTATGTGCGCCGAGATCCTCACTTAAACGACATCTAACAACGCAGTCCATCCCTCTTAGCGTCTAAGCAACGGCAGGTCAAGCGAGGCGTGAAGGAAGTCGTGAAGGGCATCCGTAAGGGCGAGAGAGGGTTCGTCTGCCTATCCGATGCGAACGTACAGCCAACGTGCTGACTTTTCCGTATGCACAGGTTACTCGTGCTTGCTGCTGACATCACCCCCATCGACATCATATCACACCTACCCGTTCTTAGTGAAGATGCGCAGATACCCTACGTCTTCGTACCCTCAAAAGAAGAGCTAGGCCATTCCAGTTCGACAAAGCGACCGACAAGTTGTGTCATGGTGTGTCCGGACCAGAAGAAGAAGGTCAAGCGGAAGGAGGGCGAGGACGCGAAGGAGAAGGAGGTCGAGGATTATAAGGAGCTGTATGAGGAGTGCCTGAAGGAGGTGCAAAAGATGGATACGCAGGTTGCTTTCCAGTGACGTGTTTCAGTTTCTTTTCTGCTGTTTGACTAGGTTCCCTCTGTATACTTATCGTAATATCCACGCGCCTCGTCTGCTGTCGGAGGATATGCGTACAACATGAAGCGAACCAATGGCGGAAATTGTAAATACGGAAAACATACGTTCCCCGACAAGTGACCAAGGCAGCAACGATCGGCTCAGGAAAGCCGTGGCTGGTTCTCACGTTCTGTATTTATTGCTGGCAGCTCTTACGGCCGGGTGCAGAATCCCAGTTCCACGTCCTCCGTTCCCTTGCTGCATTCCACTCCTTAGTTGACCTCCTAGATGGCCCCCAAGACTAAGTCTACCCCTGCAAACGGAGCCGCCGCAAAAGGCAAGCCTGCAAAGGCTACTCCCTCTACGAGCGGTACATCCACCCCGGTCCCCAAGGCAGACGATGTGCAGGAAGCAATCAAGGGTCCTGCGACTGGTTCTGGGAGACCGGACAAGGCTGCGTATGATGCCGAGCAAGCACAATTGAAGGCTCAAATTGACGCTACGCAGGCTAAGCTTGTGCGTACAGAACTCGTCTCACTGGTCTGCGCGTTTCCTCATTCCTTCGGGGCTATACTGTAGAACGCTGTCAGGGATAAAATCAATTTAGCTACCAAGCCCAACTCTGCGAATGACAAGCGTTCCCAGTTGCGCGCAGAGCTGGACAGCATCCGGAATCAGCAAGGGGGGAATAAGGCTGCTCGGGGAAAGGTGCTGGATCAGCTGAAGGCGCTTCAGGATGGTATCCAGAAAAAGGTACGCTCCATCAGCATATCTTCAAAATTTTGGTGTTCATATTTTACGTCGCTTCAGGTCAAAGACCTCCAGGCTGCCAAGGCAAAGGTGCCGTTTAAGACGGTCCCTGAGCTTGACGCTCACATCAAGTACGTGACCGACCCAGAGTTAAATGGAATTCTTCTCATACCCTAGAAGGAACCTAGAGAAGCAAGTTGAATCCGGCAACTTGAAGTTGGCGGACGAGAAGCGGACGCTGCAGGAAATCAGCCAGCTGAAGCGCGCCCGACGTACTGTGGAAGGCTTCGAAGAGCAGCAGAAGTCTATCGATGCCGACCGGGCTGCTGCAGAGGAGCTCCGCAAACAGCTTGATGACCCTGAAGCCAAAGCCATCTCGGAGCGATTCGACGCCATCAAGGCAGAACTTGATGAGCTGAAGAAAGAGGGTGACGAGGCCTACGCCAACCGCAGTAAGCTCATGGACGAGCGCAGCGCTATCCAAGCCGAGCTCGACACCCTATATGCTAAGAAGCGCGAGTCGGCACAACAGTATCGGGAGGCCAACGACCGGTACTGGCAAAAGGTCAACGAGGACCGTGCGAGACGTGCGGAGAGGGCACGTGCGCAACGCGCTGCGGAGGAGGAGGAAAAGAAGCAGAAGATCGCGGAGCGTCTTCGCGAGGAGGCTGCCGTCCCTGCTTTCCAGACCCAGATCGAGGACTGCCAGACGCTCATCGACTATTTTTCTGGAAAGTCCACGACCGCCGCCTTGTCTACAGCTTCGCTCCCGGCCAAGGAGGAAGTTGCGGGTGTGCCCAAGCTGGAGCTCCGGAAGGTGGAGGCCGGTGCTCAGGATGGCTTGGTAGCCCGGAAAAAGAAGGGTGAGGACGAGGATGCATACTTCGTCGGTGGTAAGAAGGGCAAGGGCAAGAAGGGCGGCGCTAAGCCCAAGACAAATGGTACTGAAGAAGCCAACGGAACGCCTAGCTCGCAGTTCCAGCTCCCCTTCGCCACTCTCACGGCTCTCCTTCAACTGTCAATACCTCCCCCATCGTCAGCTGCGGAGGTGCCTCGTGTCATTGAAGACCTCAAAACGAAAAAGGCTTGGTTCGAGGCCAACCAGAACCGAGTTACTGCCGAAAACATTGCGAAAGCCGAAGCTGAGATCCAGCGGCTTACGGGTAAGAGCAAGAGCACGTCAACTGAGGCGGACGTGGAGGTCACCCCTCCGAACGGTGGAGGGGAGGAACCCCCCGAGCCAGCCCCGACACCCAAGGTGACTGATGCAACATCTGTTGCTGTGCCGAGTGACGAGGTGGTTGACAAGCTCGAGAGCGTGCAGGAGGATCAAGTGGAAGCCCAGGCTCCTGAAGAACCGCAGGAGTAGCGAACGTTCTTACCTCACGATATGTATCTATCTCGCACATATATCTCAGACACCACTCATTCGTTCGACGCAATTTACATTTTTCATCGCCGCAATATTCTTAGTATGAGCAATAATTATGGTATATACGGATAGTCCACTTCTCGTGTCCATCGAACAAAATATACAGCAAGGAGCGGCAGGATCAGGGACCACGGAGAGCAGACGCAATACAGTTTTCACTGAGACAAGTAGGCAAGCAACTAAGCACAAGGAAATTAGATGGGAATAATATAGACTTGAAGCGTGTAAGTTAGTGTATCCAACTTCCCAATAACTAGAAGAAGAAAAGACAGCCAGAGCGGCTGATGTATCATGCTGACGGTTCTGACTTGACAGGGTCCACTTCATGCTCAGACTCGCTGTGAGCGGATTCGACAGAAGGGGTCATTCCTAAATCTTGGGGGGCGAAGGCAGCGACATCAAATGAGTTCGTAGAACCGTAGTCGGCGAACGACAGCCCCGGCTGGTGCACGGCAGGCATACCGTCGTCGTGAGGTGTGGAGGCGTCCAAGTAGGACAAGGAACCATAAGCATCAGAACCGAACGCCGTTGACGACGGATCCAGTGTCCCAGCGGGAAATGGATCCTGCTGCAAGGCGGCGAGCATGCTCGAGGTCGTGGGCGTAATAACATGATGAGTCGGTCGGACGTCGAGGCTGGAACCAAAGCTCTCCTGACCCGCCATAGGGGAGAGGGAGAAGTATGGTTGCTGCATAACTGGCTCGACCGATGCTGCCACAGAGTTCGTGGACAGGGCGACACTCCTGAGCACGTTCACGCTGATCCAGTCACTGCAGAGAAAACATCAAGACCACGGGGACAGACGACGAGAGAACCTAGACGCACTCAAGGAATAGCTTCAAGATTTGGAATGCCCCAAATGAAGGATCGCTACGGATAGTCTAGCATACGAAATCAATATCTGCTGGACGATCCGCGTATAGGCCGACTCACCAAATCCCTCATGACTTGGCTTGTTACGTAGCCCCAACGGATGAGAACACTTCTTGAGCTCATGGTGCTCCTGTCATCAGAACTGCTGACACGCCCAGAGCCCATCAATCTTTCGCAGCATTTATCAGCCCATGCCATAACGTCCCGCACAGGCTCCTGACTCTTGGATAAGGAGTCCATCACGGCGACGAACTCAACCTCCAATAATTGGACAAGGTCTTCATGGCGGCAGTTACACACCAGCGCCGATTGGTTGCGTACGGACTCGAAATCAATCTTCTGCCACGAGCGACGCATCTCGTTCAACTGTTTCTGATTAGTGAGAACAGTGTTCAGAGCTTGAGTAACTTGATAGATATCAAGGAACCGCACTATAAGAGCCAGATCAGCACCATCTTCATAGACAGAGAGGGACATCAGGAACTGACAGACTAGGTGACCAAAGCGCGCGCCTAACTCCACCTTTGGCTCAACAAATGTGTTACCGTATCCCTCGAGGGCGACAAGTAGGATCTTCTCCATCTTGTCAGCGAGCTGACGAAGACTGGTCAAAGAAGTCGTCGGTATAGGGGACAACATTTGCGAACGGAGTATCTCCAGGATTTCCTACAAGACCATGATCAGCCCTCGATCTCATATCAATACTTGTATGAATGTCAGACTACTCACATCATACACGATGGCATCAGCCTTTGCCATCAGCCCAGCAACAGCCGGAGCGTGGACAACCTCCCGATGGTTACCCGTCAGGCTTGACCAGAACGATCGCAGATGCATCTCGAACTGATCAAATCTGAACGATCGGACGCACTCCAGAAGTGAATCCAGATGATCTTGGAACCACACCCAGACTTCACGCGCAGCAACACCTTGAGGGGAAGTCGAGTTTGAACCGACCGCTTCCTCAATGGAAGGGAAATGAGGCATGTGCCGAACAGAAATGGGCTGCTGCGTCGCCAGATAAGAAGAGGGCGCTACGGTGCTGCCAGCAGGAGGCGAGTGTGATAGACGATTGACGTCGCCCTGGGCATGTCGACGGATAGCCGGGAAAGTGGAGGACGCGGGCCTTTGCGACGCTTGCGCCTGAGCCAGCAAGTTGTTGACCGTAGGGGTCTTCTCCGTGCTGATATCCTCGGGATACTGCGAAGGCTCCTTCAAACTGAGGTTCAAGGAATTCCGTTTAGACGCCCGAGCCGAGGCTGGTGGCTCGGACTCGTCATCATCATCTTCGTCCGACCTCTCCTCGCTCTTGTGAGATGAGTGCTCGTTCGCCAGCCTTGCAGCATTGATAGACGACTGCGCCGCGTTATTATTTGACTTGCGCACAAAGTCTTGCAAGAATTCGGCTTCTGCCGAGGTGGCCGGGCGTATCCCGCAATCTGGCCGAAGTATTGGAAGGCGCGTCTTAACAATTGAAAGAGATGCTTACAGTGATATTTACTGTTCCCTCTGACCCCTAACCGGCGCGTTTTAATTGTCGGGAAGCAAAGCCTGATAGCTTTGCCAAGTGTCGCAGTGTTGATGTGAGGTATCCCGTATTGGTCGCAGACCCTTTGATAAGAACAGTACAGCCCTTGACGCGGTACGTTGCCGTCTGGGTACGGCGCATAGTTGGCAGTGAGCCTGTACAAGAGTGAATCCGCGATGATCGAGATAAGATAGGGGCGCCACGTACCAAGCCTGCACAAAAATCTGCTTTGCCCTGTCTGAAGCGCTCGTCGTGGTGGCAGCACGGACATTGGCCGCCAGCTTCTCTAATGCATGGTCAGGGCTGATCGTCATCCTGCCCAGCGCGCCTGCGGTGCTCATCGTCTCTGGACTCGCGTGCGATACTGCTGCTCCGCCGTAGATGGAGTTGTAGTCGGCAGCCGAAGAGCCGAGGAACATAGAAAGGTCCTCGGTCTCGCTCGAGGACGAGTGCACGCTCTCGGTGTCACGCGGGTATGGCGAGGGCCTGACGAGCCCCCTGATGTGCGTGGGACGAAGAGGGCCCTTGAGCGCGGGGTTGGTGATGTTGTGATTAGGGGGGGAATCGCCGGGGGAGGCCAAGTCGGTCGAGGAGAGCGAGTACGCAGAAGAAAAGGAGGCGCCGGAGGAGTGGCGGGCGCGCTCGGTGGGGAGGGAGTGGGGGCGGCCAAGCGGGTGATAGGATGCGCGATAGAGGTCTTCGGCGGTGGGCGGTATGATCCCCGAGGTTCGCAGCACGCCCCCCTGAGAAGACTGAGGGCGCGAGCCCGGGTTGTGCGACGAGGACGAGGAGAAGGAGTTGGAGCGCGAGTGGGCAGGGTGGGCGGGCAGGAAGTCGATAGGCATGTTAGCAGCCATCATCTGCATGTTTACAGCGGCCATGTAGAAAATTCAAGTAACGAGTGTGGGATACAAAAAGGCGGGCCAGCCGACGACGAAGAATGCGACGGAAAACGAAGGCTAGCAAGAGAAAGAGAAAAGGCTGCCAGCCAGTAGCGAAAGGGCAGTGCAGATGATGGTCCTGATGAAACCGCAATACACACCACTCTAGCGCGAGAAAAGGCGGAAAAATGAACAGCTCTCGGGGCAAAGGGGTATATACGAGAGCAAGCAGGTGGAAGACGAACGGTATGCGCTATCGCCTGCGTTGGCAGCCCAGATCTACGGGGGCTCGGTGGTCAAGGCAACGTACCGCTATAGTGGGCGATTTTCAAGAAAGGTGTTGCGCTTATTTGTACGCCCTTCTTATGACCCTGTCTGGGCCGCCGGTCTCCCCCTTTGATCCGGCTCTGCAGCCTCTGCCTTTCCAGGCCCGACATATCACCAGCTGTACGGTACGTCTGATCTGTCCTACAGCCTCCTTACCCCTCGCGGCCCCCCTGGTACATGTACTTTCTAAACCGCTTCCGCAGCTTCTCCTCTTTCTTCGGACGCGCCAGCCTCTGCGCCAACTCCACCCACGACGGTATCGTCAAATCGCGCATCTGATACGGTGCGAATTTGCTCTCCGTGATCGTGCTATTGCGCAGTGATCGCGGCAGGTGATGCAGGGGGATGGGATATTTAAACTTGCCCGGGGCCACCGCGTCTGCTGGCGGATGCAGCGCGTCCACGGGGAACGTCATGTACTCCAGCTTGAACCCGGGCTTTCGTATTTTGCTGGACGAGTTTAGTCGCTTCCTGCGAATATTATACTGCAGCTCCGTCAGCAAGCTGCCGGCAACTACACGGCGCCCTCACACGCACCTGTGCATAACCTAGAGGAGCCCACAAAGCGTTTGTCCGTGATGGCGCATCAGCATCGGAGTGCCACGGTTTGTGCGGCTGGCACCACCAGGTGTCCTGGTACGCTGAGCCTTTTCTGCACGCCTTCTTCCTATCCATGGTAGGTCCGCGATAGTGACCCTTTCTTTGAGAGTCCAGGTATTTCTTAGGCCCTCCCGTAATGTTGTAAGTGAAGATGCGGAACGAAGGCAAATACGGGTTCGGAACGACGGAAGGTGAAATGTTCACGACTGCATATTCATCATAGTCGATCTTCTTGGACTTTGGAAGGTCGGAGAAGTCCTCAATGAGTTCCTTGTACAGCCTGTTTTTCTTTTTCAGAACGCTGATAGGTGAGCTCCGGTTGGCAGAGCCCTGCACATCCTCCGCTGGGATCTCCAGATCTCGCGCTTCGATAAGCGTGAACTAGGGCAGTGCCGTCAGACCTGGGATTCAGCAACACCCGGCCATGCCACATACATGGTCCACGTTCATGTGCTGAAGCGGATGAGTTAGATCGGAGCGACAGGTATATCGCCGCACTCACCCCGAACAGGTGGCCCAGTATCGTATCTTGATACCGCAATGACATTTCGGCATAACGAACATACTATGTCCGCATCCCGTCAGCGCGTCAGTGATTCCGGCGGCAAAGCACGGTGCAGCGTCACTGCAGACTCACACACTCCGGAAAGTAATTCCCCGGGGAAGGGGGTACGTGTCCCTGCATGTCAAGGAACGCAAGCTCGTGTGACCACAATTACACAGGGAATCAGAGATGTATACGTACCGACATCCACACCTAATTCACGTGCCGCATATGGCGTTTGAGTTTTCTCCAGTACCCCGCTCTACAACACGACGTACCTTCATACCCCTGCGCCGGTACGCGTCCAGCTGGACATCCAGCCAATCCAGCTGCAAGTTGCCAGGATCATCTCTATCCTTAAACTCACAGCCTCCCACAGCTAATAATAAGCTCTGGGCATCAGTCGGAATTAAACGCTGTGACGGGCCCTTCCTCACCCTTGTTCCGCTCGTAAAAGTACATCGTGTTTAGACTGACCACAGCTATTTCATTCGGGATCACCTCAGTGGAGAAATACGCTCCTCGTTGAAAGACTTGCAAAGAAGGAAATGGTATAAATGCTTTCCAGATGCTGCGCCCATCGTCAGAGGAGATCCTAGGGTCGATGATAGGCAATCAGCTTACGAGGAGAACTCATGCGTGATATCATTGGGGCCTAGAACAGCCGTCGTCAGGGAAGGAGATAGGGTTACCCGTCAATAACAAACCTGGCATCAGTATATTCTGCAAATTGGCAAGATTCGTCAGATGAAATAATTGTAACCGAGAAGACGGGGATTACATGCGCTACAGACGTGGACAGATGAGCGCGCAGAATTTACGAATGAATGGAAGGAGCTTACGCCATACATCGTTATTCCCTGAGCACCGAGGGGCCAGCAGTTTGTCAGCTGGGAGATACTGTGACGAATAGCGACGTACCTAGACTTGGTACCACGGGAATACCCTTGCTCAGAAATACCTCGTGCATCTTGTTAGCAAGGACCCGATTCAGATGATAAATCTCGTCGGGCGTCCGAGGTAGCTTGCGATCGTTATCATGTCTATCAAACACTTCAGTATCTAGTGGATTAGGACAGCCTGCAAGCGGTAGCAGTCACCTGGCATTATCACCCGTCCCTGCACTACATCATGAGCGAACAATATTGAACTTCGTAGAAGAGTCACGAACATATGACGAAGTCGATGTCTGACGTCCACTTCTTATCCAGATAGTCAAGGGTGAAATTGGTCAGGGTGAACGGTGAATCACAATCGCTGTATAGCGCATGTGCGTTCATAAGGGATGCGAGCGCGCAAAGGAGTGTTCGAACCTAAATGGCGTCCCGTAATAGCCAGCGCGAGTCTTGTCCTTCTTCGGTTTCTTCCTATGGCACGCAGACTTTTCCGAGGCCCCAGGACGATAGTATGGGTCTGGATGCATATCCGTGATGTGCAGGAATCGCCCTTGCAGCTTCCGCTTAGCATACTCTGTGGGTCGCGTGAGCCATCGCAAGATTGTCTGCTATACATCGGAAAGACTCACGAGTTGATGGTATATCCAGAGGCACCTGAGCTGGTGCTGCGTAGAGTTCGTTGAAGACCAGGGCCAATACCAAGGCTTTGAGAGCCATCTTCGACATCATGGTCAAGGACTAGAGGAAAGTAGGACAGGCAGACATAGAGCAGACATTAATAGCTGCGCAAGACGAGGCTTCGGTGCTGAAGCGGCTGGTTATGGCTACCAGCGGGTACTGTCTCAGTGTATGGGATTTTGGTGACACCGAATCATGTTCAGCGGCCTCGCACGTTCGTTGCAAGGAATGGGATGGACACCGATGCGGTGCACCTCGGCTTTCGCCGAGCCCTTCTAAGAAGGCGGCCTCGCCTCGGAACCTTTGCGCATCTTGGACTACTGCACTTACTCAGGCTGCTCTCAGCGACAGGCAACGGACGATGCACCCGCGTGTATACTCTGATGCATACGATAATAAAGATAAGGATGCTACAGCTAACGTACATGTATTACAGCGAGGGAGTGCCATACTCCGATCTGGAGTATTGCTGGTGTTGATACAGCTGAACGGTGCAGACACGACAAAGACAACAACGAAGGAGGTGGACGACAGAGGAGACGAAGAACAATGCAATAAATATCTGAATGGATGCCGACGAATGCAGTTTACTTCGTTCTGATCGGTCGGGGAGACGAATGATCAATACTGTTGATCACAGAATCCGAAGGCCTCGAATGCAGGCGCAGGAGTGTCTCCGTGTTATCGCCCGCATCAAGCACGTTAGCTATTGACCTTTCAGCCAGGTGGCAGATCTAACAAATTTAGCCTTGGTAAGCAGTAGGTCTACTTCCCAGACGAACGCATATGACGTACCCTGCTGTATCCTCCTGATTCCAGGGGTGACCGCGCTCTGGCAATTGTATTGTGAATAGCATCGTAGGAATATCTCCTTCTGTGAAGTTCGTGAGTCATATGCCCCCGAAGCTCAAGCGCGCCAGAAACTCACAATATTCTCTCGAGCTCGGACCTCGAGCGCGGGAGAAGGAAAAGGTCCGCTCCGGTGAGATAACGACTCAGAGCAGAGTAGGACGCGCATCCAGCGATGAGGGTCTCGTCGAGAGACGGGTGGTCAGTGTCCCAGTTGAACCAATTCTCGCTGTATGACGGTGAGTTGCTGTGACTCGACCGAAGCAAAGCTGTGGCACGTACGTCAAGTGGTTGTGAGCGAGGGCCTCGGGCGTGTGGGGAGCAAGGAAGCGATCCATTGCAGACTACGAGCGACAGGCAATTGGTTGAGTGGGCGGCTTTAAGAGATTGTGGTGGTACGGGGTAGAGGTGGGTAGCGGTGCTTGATCTTATACGGTGCGACACCTTATATGCGAAACTGACGTAGACGTGGGGGGGAAGATGATCGCAGCCAGAAACAGGTAAAGCGGTGAGAGCACAGGTGTTCCAGGTGAGTTCAAGCAAATGAAGGAACGGGACAAAACAGTGGACGGTTATAAAGCCACAGACCCTTTATAGCAGGTGGCGGGACAGCTCAAAAAGATTCGCACGTGCGTGCCACCGCAAATCTGCGGCCGGTTCAGATTTCGCGCTCGCGTTGACTCATCGGCTCTGTATCGGCTATCCTGAGTGGCTGAGTTGCCCTCTTCCTGCAGCTTCCTCTTCGCGACCTCGATGCTGGGCGTCGGTCTTGTCCTCTGCTGTCATGTAAACAAGGGCTGCTGCGCGCCCCAAGCATGCTTGGCTGTACAGAAACGATTTTCTCGCATTTTATCTTCATTTCTGCAACGTACGATGCGTGTTCGGCGTGGTTAGCAAGCCAATCTATTGATATCCACGTGCTAAGGGCGACACTGAGAGTCTGAAGCGCTGCGAGTGGTTTGCTCGGTCTCATTCTTGTGGAGGTCTCGTAAGGCTAGCCGTTTGAGGAACACGCCATTCCGATTGTCTGGGTTTGTCTTCGCGCGGACCCACTGTCCTGTGAGAAACGCCACTCAACGTCCTATAGGAGCTCTCGGCCTTTGCAACCACATCTTCCTTCTCCTAATGATGACTAGCGCTGGGCAATCTCCATCTCATGAGATTGATAATCAGGGTCTGTTGTATAAGCCCGAGCGTCCACAGGAGACTCGCACGTTCCAACTGCTGAAGCTGGTCAATCGCAAGTACGCACTGCAATTGGAGTCTTACCATGATTTGTATCGCTGGTCTGTGGCCCACATCGACGAATTCTGGAGTACTGTATGGGACGAGACGGAGATCATTGGCCACAAGGGCGCCCATGTAGTCGACAACTCCGCTTTACCGGCGACAAACCCTCCGTGGTTCGTGGAGGCAAAGTTGAATTGGGCAGAGAACGTGCTGCGCTCTCGGTCTGCGGATAAGATAGCGCTCGTCCAGGCAAGTGAGTATCTCGCTCGCATTAATGCCGTCAAAGGCCGTCATCCAAAGTTACTTTGGACTCTAGCGGAACCGACCTCTTCTGCTCCGGACCCTCTGCTTCGAACCGTGACGTATGCTGGACTCTACTCTCTTGTCGCCGATCTTGTGTCCGCACTCCTTTCGCTCGGTCTAAAGGCAGGCGATCGCGTCGCGGCTTATTCTTCCAACTGTATAGTGCGTTTCATGACCCCACTAGCAGTTGATTGTCTCAGCCTTGTCTCTTTCAATTCAATCTCTGATTGTTGATTATCATGACCGCCTGTAAGAGACAGTGCGGAGATACATCAACTGGGTCTGTGTATGGCTCTACTCACGGAGCGACGCTATTGAATACAGGAGAATGTAGCAGCTTGCCTGGCGGCCACTGCCATTGGTCCGTCTTGCACGTTTGTTATGAGCATATACACACTCTATAACGGTCCTAGGTTGCATCTGGGTCAGTGCGGCCGCGGACTTCGGTGCAGAAGGCGTTTACGAAAGGTTCGCTCCGCCTGTCTCATCTGTGGCACGATGTAAATGTCTCCCAGATTTGAGCAAGTACGGCCGACTGTTATATTTTCTGTCGACGGAGTCGTGTAAGCCCTCTATTTTAACTCGTCAGCATCGCAAGACCAAAGGGAGGTGCAGTTACAATGGCAAAGTACACCCACACGTGCCCAAGTTCTCCTCACTCCTGTCAAGCTTACGGTCCGAGGGTATCTCCCCGAAAGTGGTCGTAGTGAATGCTATCACCACTCAAGGAGATCGGACGGGCTGGCAAGGCGACTGGATCAGCTGGAGTAACTTCGTAAATGAAGGGAAGATGAAGAAGCTAGGAAGAGATAAGGGCGGCGAGATTGAATGGAGCCGTCAGAAGTTCGACTGGCCTCTGTGGATCCTGTTCAGCTCTGGGACAACCGGTGCGGATCTTCATTGAGGCATTTTCATTGACTCGACAGGTTATTTAACCGGTGAATAGGACGGCCTAAGTGAGTGCTCTAAAAATGTTACCTTTTGGCTTTAATGTCAGGCATGATGTAGGCCTATAGTGCACCGTGCAGGCGGTTTGCTTCTGCAAGCCAAGAAGGAGCTCATGATCTGCGCCGATCTCAAGCCTGAAGACGTGTTTTTCTATTATACGACCACGTTCGTTACATTCCTTACGATGCTCTCCTGATATTGATCAGGATACAGTGGATGGATGATGTGGAACTTCTTGGTGGCGGGCCTCACTGTAGGGTGTACGCTAGTCCTGTACGACGGCAGTCCGCTCAAGGACCCATCCTATCTTTGGCGGCTCACCGATGACCTGGGCATAACGATCTTTGGCACGAGTGCTAAATATCTCGACCAGTTGTCTGTAAGCGATTTCCTTCTTCGAGTTCTCTATTTCCGTCTCCGATCACCCCGCGCTTCCGAGGAGTAATGCTGACTAGCTGCGCGGACCTAGAAAGTCTACAGGCCTCGAGAACACCACAGACTAGACTCTCTCCGCCACATATACTCCACCGGCTCGCCACTGTCACCGCCACTCTTTGACTTTGTCTATCAAAGCATCAAGAACGATGTTCTTTTGGGATCCATCACAGGCAAGTGGTGCTTTATGCGGCACCAACAATGTATGAATGTCAGGTACAGGCGGAACCGACATATGTTCCTTGTTCGCCGGCATGTGTACCGCGCTGCCCGTGTACCGCGGAGAGATCCAGTGTCGTATGCTCGGGATGGCGATTGAGGCGTTCACTCCTACGGGAATCCGCGCAGGTCCAGACGAAGCGGGGGATCTGGTTTGTGTAAAGCCCTTCCCGTGCATGCCGATCGGCTTTTGGCCACTACCTGGCTTTGGGAAGGAAGACGCCGTGCAAGCAGCTAAAGATAGGTACCAGCAAGCTTACTTCTCCGTGTTCCCAGGCATTTGGTGTAAGTGTCTTGTCATCCCATGGATGTGACCACACGGTTTACTGTATGGGTCCACAGACCATGGGGACCACGCTGTAATTACACGCTCAAAGCTGGGGAATGCAGGAGGCCTGATCATGCTGGGTCGAAGTGATGGTGTTCTGTGAGTGTTTTCCGTACAGTTGAAGTCCAGACGAGGCTTCCTAACTGCCGTCAGAAACCCCGGAGGCGTTCGATTTGGATCAGCTGAGTTGTACGATGTGTTGGACATGTGTTTCTCAGGCTCCACGAGTCACCCAACGGGAACTATAATTGACTACCTCGCAGTCGGGCAATCGCTGGAAGGTGGGGCAGACGAAAGGGTAGTATTATTCATCAAGTTAATGGAAGGGGAGCGGATGTCTGCGGAGTTGGAGAGGAAAATTAAGGAGGAGATACGGGTGCGGAGAACAGCCCGCCATGTCCCGAGTCGCGTAAGTTAAGCCTTGTGGCTGTCCCATCAGCTCCGCAACGTTTCTTGACATTACTTGAAGATCATTCAGGTGACCGATATCCCGTATACGCTGAATGGAAAACGAGTAGAAGTCCCGGTCAAGAAGGTAAACTGACCGAGCATTTTTCCTTCCGCAGCCACTGAATATGCATACACAGATCATAAACGGGGCGCCGATATCGAGCATTAATCCCGCAACTCTGCGCAACCCGGAGTGTCTGGACGAGTATGTTCGCATCGGACAGCAGTTGCGAGACGAGGTGTGAGCTTGTAGCATCCTGTACGAGCTCTGTTAGGCACGGAATGTGACATGAGGGTGTGACCGGTGACCGGAACTGGGCCGACGCGTGCCGGCTGATCGGAATGGGAGATCTGAAGATAGAGCGCGGGATCTTTCTCCGCTTCTTTCCAAATATGAGCCACATCTGGTGGGACAACGCCTCGAGGCAGCCCTAGCAGACTCCAAATGGAACGACAATGCAAATGCAGAAAAACTTTCTGGCGGTGCAAGAGGCTTGTGCCGACCTGAAAAACGGGGGTGCGAGCTTCTTTTCATTCCGGGACACCCTTGGTCTTGACCGCCATCCCCTGCGCACAGCTCGCGACACCACGGGACGACGCGCCTTGCGCCTCGCAGCCTTGAGACGATCAGCACGCCTTTGCATCGTTTTTGCTTGTCAACTGGCCCCTTATGAAGCCCGCAAATTCGACGCCGAGGCGACACCATTCGCAGCATCATTCTCATCGCCGTGCGACAAGTCGTTCTCGTCCCGCTGCTCCCGCTAGACGGCCTTCAGCGATTCAAAGATTCCTGAGGAAGATGCCTTCGCCGTTTAACATCGTGCGAGCCTGTATTTATGGTGCGTACTCATCGCGGTACTCAGCAGCCATGGTGCTAACCTTCGCGTAGTCGCCGTTCTAATATGGACGGTCGTATGCTTGGCGATTGCTGGACACTTTCAGAGCAGGCTGATTGCCTCTGATCTCAGTAAGCGCCTAAGATTCTATTCGCCTAAGTCGCAGTTCTGACCATGGCTCCAGCTCATTTTGTCCCTTTCGCCATCTTCGTGTGCAGCGCAACACTCCTGGTCATGGCGGTCTTGCTGGGATTCACCTTCAAGAGGAGTCAGAGTCCAATTTCGACGAAAATCGAGTTGGCATGTCTCGGTCTTGTTGGCACATTCTGGCTAGCCCTTGGTGTCTTCTTGGCCACTTCAGAATCCGAAGCGGCCGATGTTGAGTGCTTCTCCGACGCTGACGCTACCACTCCCGTGGACGTGTCGGACTGTGAGTCTAAGTCCTTTCCTACATTTGAGATGTGCATTGACGAGTTGGACAGTCTCGACAGAGACATATCAAGCGCAATATCATGTTCTTGAAGCTTTCTCGTTATTTAACGCCATTCTCAGTGAGTCGACTCGCATACATTTGTATGCGAACATGATGCTAATCGCTATATAGTTTGGGGCTTTGGTTTATTGTTATTGGGTTGCGCTCTACGGTTCCACTTTAAAGGGCGGAAGCATGTATGGACTAGGCCGGCGACTACGACCCACTGGTTCAGGAAGATCACGCCGCTGAAGGAGCTGCAACTTCCCGCGCCAGCCACAGCAGGACGCGTCGGCCGCACACAATCACGTTCACGACCACAAGGGCCTGTCCGGGGTGACAGCTCACGCAGTCGGGGAGAGAAGACGTATAACGAGAAGAGCGCGCCAATCGCCTCCAAGTATGCGTCGAAACGGGATGCAAGCGTTCCTCCATTACCGTCTCTCCCTTACCGGCCTCAGAGAGCCCACACGACAAACAGATATGACAAGTTCCACAGGGAAGCCTCGCCCCGGCGGTGATGCGGCCACCTCTCGATGAGGAGGGCAGTGTAGGGCACATGTAGGGTCACGACCACTCACGATGGTGTATCTATGCTGTAACGTGTATTGTAGTGTACTGTACCATAGAGCGCAATAGAAGGGAAGCTTAGAAGTCACTTATGCTTGCCCGAGTTTCGAGCTTCAAGTTCGACACGGCGTTGATCTTTCGGATGAGGTCGAGCAGTATAGTTCGGACGGATTGAGCATGAGAATGGGATCTGCCCAAGACCACGCGATGTACATAATAGCACAGGCGCGAGTCGCGCCGCTACAATGTGTTTGATGAACGCAAGAACCCCGGACAGACACGTTCCATGGTCCTTGAAAGCTTGACGTACCTTACGATTTCTCGGTCCTCCTCCTTCCGTCTTAAACCGATTCACGACTTCACGAACCTTACAGCGCTATCTCTACCAGTATCTACTATCCACTTGCTGAACGACGAAATCTATGACAGTTGTTTTTGTGAACCGTAGACGAGCGGGCTACAGTGAGTGCGGCATGAGTTCGTCTACTTTGCGGGAGTTCAATTTTGTATCTAGTCGTGGTACTGCTCTTTTCCGCGGTCGTGCTAGGAATCGCTGGCTACTTTGCCAACATATTCCTCCCGAACATCAATCGTAAGCAACTCGCAGCCCTGCTGTGAACTGTCTGAATGATCGTGTATCTCAGGCGACTTTGTCATCTTTGCTTTGATCGTACCCTCACTGAATATACTTGCCTTCATTCTAACGTGCGCAGCAACACTTCCCCAGGCACGGGCATGCGCGTCCTAATGAATGCTCATAGATTACAATGGTCTCGTCCCCGCCTTGAAGCATTCTGGCTGTTTGTCCTCGCTGCTTTATGGCTTGGTGCGTGAATCTGTCTCCGTCAGGACATTGTGCTCATGAAAAGTAGCTATGGGTGCATGGTCAGCGTACGTGTTTCGTCCACCGTAACAATGTTGCAAAAGCGTTGAGTGCAACACAGTGATCTTATCGGCTATGTCGAATGTTCTTCCATTTTCGGTCAGCGGACGCAGACAAAATCGGGCAGCAGTACGTTTATGCGCCATGACCGTGTCACCGAAATACTGATCCGTCGAAAGTCTCCTCGCGTAGTTACTGCTATGAGATGAAAGTGATCGAGGCGTTTTCTTGGGCGAACTTCTGCCTGCGTAGGTCTTCGGTTCTCACTGTATGATCGGTCATCTTACCCCCGCGTTCTCGCAGTCACCATATTCTTTATTATCCTTCTCATGCTGACAAGCCGCGCGCAAGCCCTGGGCCGTCCCTTTGCCTGGCAGGAGAATATCATTGAGCTTCCCTGGTTTGGACAGATGCCGGGATATCCTGGAGGAGCCTACATAGGTAGCTATCAAAATGGCGCCAACGGGGCCTATCCCATGCAGCAGCAAATGATGCTCCCTCCCAACGCATTCGTGATTCAGCAGCAGCCAGGGCATTCTGTTGTGATCCAGCCTGGTCCAGGAGGACAGCCTCCCGTCGTAAACCAGATCCCTAGCACCAACGTCTGATGTGTATTCCTCCAGACAAGGTTGGCCTCCGGATAAACGGGGAGGTGAAGCGGCCTGACGAGACTTGGACTCTTCAGTCATCATTCTCGCTTAGATTGATGGGACGCTCCGTACTTACATGATTTATTTACGGATCTAACGTACTATACGGCTCTTCTATAGAACGATTGCAATGCATCTATGTTGTGCTTAGACTGCGGAAATGAACAGGCTGCCCTCCTCGTGTTTGCAGCATCAAGTCCTCGTGTTGGGCAGACTTCGTTGAAATGGACGATGGTGGAACTATGTCGCATCCGCTCTACGATAACCCGCCTTTATCATCATTGTTAGCTGATATTGCATGTTATGGATCTATTCCGTACTCGACCGACCCAGTCCTTCGTAACCGGTGAGCAGACGGAGCACGATAAGACCAAGGTACTAATGAGAGCGTTATAGCGGCTGTAGTGGCCTTCGGGGCACACCTGATACTCCATTTGTTACCTGCGGACCTCCGTAAGTAGTAGGTCTGAACAATGCAGGGCAGCGACAGCTGGACAACATCGCGAGCCAGGTGTCTTCACGCTCATGCAAACAGCAGTAGCAGTCCTGGCTCTCGCTGCAGTGATGGTCATGTAGGCTCATCCACCCCAATAAGCTTGGAATCGCTCAGATTCATCAAGCAAACAGGGTCGTGTTGCACCATAGAAGAAGTGGCAATATATTCACTCACGAGCAAGAGGAAAGAATTCTCATAGCAGCCTTTGGGCTTTTCTGGCTGGGTATGTCGTCGATGACACTAGAGAGCTACTGACTTATAACTAACAATCGCGACAGCGCTCCTGATCGCCTTTAGAGCTTCTTACCAGAACAATACCGTAGGAGCAGGCTCAACTGGTGAGGCAAGCGTTCCAAATGTCGTTCCAGATACGGCGCCAGTCCTGTCGCAGTCTGGCGGGCAGCCACAGGGTAGAAACCGTGTTGACAAACGTCCTCGCCTTACACCAGGTGGTCGACCATGGCCCTGCCAACGCGAGGGCGCGTTGTGCATTGTCGAAGAATGGACGTACTTCTAGTCCTCATGTAAGGTCGCCGATAAGCACTGGCTGCTTGAGTAGAAGAACAGATCCCGTGCCTTCACTGCTGTTCTGAGATTCGGGTGAGACGAAAACAAAAAGACATCTGGTCGAGGCAGATATATAACATGGCCAGCCATGTCCGGTGCGGGTCGATAGTAGCTCAGCCGTAACGGAGGCAATTGACCCGATACCCTCCCGGTCTCCGGTCCATCCGCGAGAGTGCCGGCGAATCCCAGAGCTATATCTGGCCCAGGCCTGTGCCACAACTACCTGCACCCCCTTCCCTTGCCATCCCCTGTCTCTCTTCACCGTCCACCTACACCAGTCACTATGATGAGTATCCCAACGCTAGACGCGCCTGAACACTTGACTTACCTGCCTCTTCCCGCTTACACAGTACTTCGGGGAAGCGTCGTATCGAGACCGATGTTATGAGGCTGTCCGTAACGGTCCGCTGTGTCCTATCCGCATGCTTACAACCCATGCCTAGGTTAATGTCGGATTACGAGGTCAATCTCGTGAACGATAACATGCAAGAGTTCTATGTTCGGTTCTATGGACCCCCCGAGAGTGAGTCGCGCCCGACGCCCCGGAAGCCTTCCGCTGCGCTGACTCGTGGTGGCGTGTTGTCAGCTCCTTTCGCCGGAGGTGTATGGAAGATCCACGTTGAGCTGCCTGACCAGTACCCCTTCAAGTCGCCCAGTATCGGGTTCATGAACAAGATATTCCATCCCAATATCGATGAACTGTATGTTGACAGCCCACCCTATCTCCGTCTCACTGAAAGCTGAACGGTGCTAAACGACATATGGTAGCAGTGGATCGGTATGCTTGGACGTGATCAACCAGACTTGGTCTCCTATGTTCGGTGAGTGGCATCGTGTGTCATTCCCCGCCTGGTGTTGATCTTCCACAGACATGATCAACATCTTCGAGGTGTTCCTCCCGCAATTGCTCCGCTACCCTAACCCCAACGACCCGCTGAATGGTGAAGCTGCTGCGCTCTTGATGCGGCATCCGAAGGAGTACGACGCGCGGGTCAAAGGTACGCCGCGTCTGGCTCCACCGCGCCATTCTGCGTGCTGACAGCTGTTCCTTACAGAGTACGTACAGCGCTTTGCAACTAAGGAAGCTGCGGACTCCGCCGCTGGTGGTAAGAACGACGAGGACGAGGATGCTGACGAGGAGATGAGCGAAGTCGGTTCCATAAGCGGGGATGAAGCTTGAAGCTTCGCTGTCTCCAACGCTGTCATTCCGCGTGTTTTCACCTCTAGCTCCGTTCTGCCGCATTTCCGGGATCGTTAACCTCCTTTCTCTGGTTGTATCATTGTCTCCTGCACATCCCCTCGGGGCTCGGTTGTCTCTTACTGCTATATTCTGCTGCGCTCCAGCGTAAGCTTGCACGTCTTCTTACGACTTTCACGTCTCACCACTTCTTTGTACATCTAGTTATCCACAATGGGTTCTCACGTCTGTATGTATTTTGATGTACAGGGATAGCCAATCCGGACTATATAACAAGTCATATCATACAAAGGATCACCTCACGTCAGGTGCACGCACAAGAGCGCCGAGGATCGTAAAAGAAGACAGTATACATGGCAATAAGTTAATTTGCGAAACTGTAGGGCTCTATGAAGGAGCGGCTGCTGTGGCGACAGTGCTAGGTTCCGGCGCCGAAGGGACAACGTCATCCACTTTCTTTTGGATCTCCAAAGCAGTCTGAAATCGCGGACCGATGAGCCAAAGTATGGACAGCACGCCGCAAAGCACACCTTCATTAATGTGTCGATATGGCCTTTGACAGTCTCTGTCAGAGCCTGCTTCGCCTTGCTCTCCTTCAGCATCTGATCTCTCCGTGCTCTGAGTTCCTCATATCTCTGGCTTAGCCTTGCACAAGTGCGGCGGTCAGCATGATAGCTTAGTCACGGGACAAGTCTCGCAGAGACTCACTTTTGTCGTTCACTCAGCTCGAACGAGAGCCGGTTAAGCAGGAGCTGGTGCTCATCAGCCAGGACTTCCTCAGTCCGAAGTTCCGCAGGGGCTAGTTGCAAAAACTCTTCCATCTCATAGATGGGCACATCCTGATATATGGACCTGTGGGGTGACGCCATTTCAGGTTTCCTCCGCGAACAATGCGGGACCGCAGCTGCTTACGCGAATTGGCGACATTTCTCAATCTCCCTCTCGAGGTAGCGTTTCTCGTAGAGAAGGTTCTGCAATCCCAAATGCGCTTGATCCATCTCATGCCTGGCGTCGGCCGTAACCTGCTTATGCGCCCGAGTTGCTGCGTTCGCGGCTCTGTTCGCCACTCTCAGTCGGGCAATAAGGGCGCCCGCATAGTGGTGGATCGCGTCGGCGTCCTGGTTGGCATATCTGGGGGAGACAAGGTCGCGCAGGCTGTCGACGACGGCGTCTGGCGAGTTCGCGAGTCCGGTGGCAAAGGTCATGGATGTGGAATCTATTAATCAGTGCCGGCGGCTCGGAGACGCGTGTGCAGGAGAGCGTGGAAGCCGGCACCCAAAATAGGTGAGGATACGCCGAGGGAGACCGGGCCGGGAACAGCCGGCGATATGATGCATTGGTGATGTTCTCATCGACGCGCCCGCTTCTGAGTAAGTCGGGAATTACAAAGACATCTTTCCAGTCTCTGCCTCTCATCACAATCCTGTTAATCTCTGTCTTATTAGCCTCCGTCTATCTCCCTTTGTTCCCCAACGATGTCGCGCCAACGTTCAATGTCGGGCACCATTCCTTCGATGGAGACCAGCGGCGACCAGCTCAAGGATAACACGATCATTATCGGTCAGTCCTCTTGAGGTCGCCGCGCGGCTATGTTCTGATATCCGTGCACAGTTCTGGGTGCATCTGGCGACCTGGCAAAGAAGAAGGTGCGTTTATTCAACCTTCTCGCATGCAGTCTGTATTCAACCAAGTTCTTGCAGACATATCCGGCGCTGTTCGGTCTGTACAAGAATGGCTTCTTACCCCGCGACGTACACATTGTCGGGTACGCGCGCACGAAGATGGACGAGGCAGAGTACCACAAGCGGACGACTGGCTACATCAAGGTCCCCGAGGGTGACTCGGAGACCCAGGCCAAAGTAGAGGAGTTCAAGAAGCTCTCCAGCTACGTATCCGGTGGCTACGAGGACGGCCCTTCGTTCGATAACCTCAACAAGTATCTCGAGAGCATCGAATCAAAATACCAATCAAAGGAGCGCAACCGTGTATTCTATCTCGCTCTCCCCCCAAGTGTCTTCATCCCCGTCGCCAAGAACCTCAAGGAGCATTGTTATATCGCGAAGGGCGGCATCAACCGCATCATCGTTGAGAAGCCCTTCGGAAAGGACACCGACTCCTGCCGCGAGCTCCTGAAGGCCCTCAAGGAGCATTGGACAGAAGACGAAACCTTCCGGATTGACCACTATCTCGGCAAAGAGATGGTCAAAAACCTGCTTGTGCTGCGGTTTGCCAACATCGCCTTCTCGTCAGGGTGGGACAAGAACTCTATCAGCAATGTTCAGATTACTTTCAAGGAGCCCTTCGGTACGGAGGGTCGTGGCGGTTACTTCGACGAATTTGGTATCATCCGGGATATCTTGCAGAACCGTGAGTGTGGTCGCCGGTAGCCGGTGTGAACGTGCGCTTATATTGTTGCAGATCTGCTGCAGGTGTTGAGTATTCTGACGATGGAGCGGCCTGTTTCGTTCGCTGCGGAGGATATTCGCGACGAGAAGGTGACAATTATTTCTGCCCACGTCCGTGTGCTGTGACACTGACATGCGCTACAGGTTAAAGTTCTGCGTGCTATCCCTCCGGTTGAGCGCAGCGACACTCTGCTCGGGCAGTACGTCGCGGCGAATGGCAAGCCGGGATACCTGGATGATGACACCGTCCCCCACAACTCCGTCTGCCCGACCTACGCTGCAACCACGCTTTGGATACACAACCCCCGGTGGGAGGGTGTTCCCTTCATCTTGAAGGCTGGCAAAGGTACGTCGCTGTCTTCCGGACTGTCCTCCGGGCCTGACCCAAATCCTTTCGCTAGCTCTGAACGAGGCAAAGGTCGAAATTCGTATCCAGTACAAGGACGTCACCCAGGGCATCTTCAAGGATATCTCTCGCAATGAACTCGTTATCCGGATCCAGCCTTCCGAGGCCGTTTACCTGAAGTTCAACACTAAGACTCCGGGCCTATACACACGGGCGCTCCCTGCTGAGATGGACCTCACTTACAAGCGGCGGTTCGCCGACATTCACATCCCAGAGGCATATGAGTCTCTGATCCTGGATGCGCTGAAGGGTGACCACTCGAACTTTGTGCGAGACGACGAGTTGGATGTTGCTTGGAAGGTAGGGACATAGCTAATCCTGCCCTGACGATGATGTCTGATATCCGTCTAGATCTTCACCCCCATCCTTCACTGGATAGATGGCCTGAGCGGCCCTCGCCCTAAGCCCGTTCCTTACCCTTACGGTTCTCGCGGACCTAAGGAACTTGATCCCTTCATCGCCAAGTACGGCTACAAGCGCTCCACGGAGGGATAGTAAGTTTCATTTCGTGTTCATGGTGACGCAAGTATTGATGAGCACCTTTCATTCAAAAGCGCCTGGCCCGTCACCAACGTCTCGAACCTGTGAGAGAGCCTCCGTGCTACATATGAAAAGACGTGTCATTGTTATCGAAGTGCTATAGATAGTGGAGACGGGCCCGACAAGTACCCGGAGAAGAGTAGAAATAGCAAAGGAGAAGATGCGCATGGCAAAGGATGTTGTACCGTGATGTAACCAATAAGCAGCAAGTACAGCTTTTTGTACACTCTACCGTGGGCTTAGACCTTTACACAAGTGAGGTCCGATAAAAAGGAGAGGAACCAAATCAAGAGGCTCCGACACTAAGTAGAAAGTGATGTGAAACCAATTTACTGGCTTGAAGAGCCATATACATCCCCTGCCCCCTCTGTACCTTGAACGTGGGGAGGATTACCCATCATTGCATCTCTACCCATTCCTCTGAGGAAGCTGAGCCATACCCACTGGGCACCTCGCATTTGCAAATCATACCACCAGTTCAACGCGATAGTGATGTCGCCGGACTGACGCACGTAGTGCCACCAGCCCACGGGGAGATATAGGGTATCTCCGGCTTGCAGAGTGATATGGATGGGGTGCGCGTTGGAGGACAAGGTGGAGGGGTCGTCGGGGTCCTTGATGGAGGACCAGCTGACGGGTGGGTAGTCCGTAGGGGCGAGTTTGAGCGGGGAGGTGGGTGAATCGCGGGTGTATGTAGCGTGAGGGTATGAGCGCTCTAGCCGCGAAAAAATGTATGAATATTACGCAAACCGGCCTGGAGATGTGAGCCAAACCTTTGAGACACCAAGCTTCTGTTGGAGGAAGCAGCGTGAAATGTTTGGTCCCTCGGACTACAGTGTATATATTCTCGAATGGATCTGCAGGCGAGGTGACGATGAGCGCCTGGGGCATACCTTTCAGGTAAGGACTCACCGCTGTGGATGCTGGTGGTACTTCTACTATCGCCTATCCAAACATTGACGGCTTCTGGAGATCTCCCTAGGTATCAGCACTTCAGTCTATTAGCACCGCAGTGAAACTGTGTAGGACGTACCAAGTGCCTCGCTGCACCAGGGTATCTCGCTCGGAGCATCTTCCCTGAGACTCTCGCATTCTGAGGAACCGTCGACTGATCCAGGCTCAAAGTAGCCTGCTGGGTACAGGTTGCCATTTTGCGTTTGCATGTAGAGCACTTCATTCTGGTCGTCTGTTCGTGATAAGATCAGAAAATGTCAGGTCCGAGAAAGACAGGACATGTCCAAGAGACCGACCAGAGGTAAGTTTATCCAAGAACTCGGCCATGGTCATTTGCTGAACATAAGGCTCAGTAAAGTATTCTTTCCCGCCTGGTCCAGCCGTGATGGCGTCGGCGCGACTTGGAGTGCAGGATGTCTCCCAATCGCACAGATAGCTAATGTATCGTCACGGAATACACTCACCCATCCGGGGTGATTGCAACAGAGATCTTCTGGTCCCCCATGCGCTCAATGAGGTAGTCGTTAGACCATACTTCCTGTGCTTGTACCTTGTGCCCTATACGATATTCGGCATCAGGCTTCCCAGAAGAAATGCGCGGTAGTGTTACCTTTGATCAGGACGGGTCGTGAAATTTGGACCAACCGAGCAAACTCAAGAGCGGAGGGGGGTTTCCCTAGAATGTCATACTGTGACCCATTCAAACCTGAGGGCATGTCGGACTAAATTCGATTAATAAATTTCCAGCGGCCACTGACCATGATACTCGTCGGAAATCCAACGCAGCATATTGTTGTAGGATAAGTCGATCTGCGAGGTGGTCGAGCGCATTTGTTTGATCGTAGAGCAGATCCAATAACGGTGGATCTGGTCAAGAAGGTGCGGGGTAGCGTGGTAAGCAGATCGAAGCGGTGTCACGGGGTCCAAGACGCGTCAATCAGCGCGACGCGTTCAAATCTTGCCAATGAAGTGGCTGCTCTAGCTGCCTCTTTGTCGACTGTCGTGCGCTGCTGAGACTGGCTGGAACTCTTCACAATGGCAGAAAATAAGAGGAAAGGGGGGGCGAGAGGTTCCAAAGGCAAAGCAGTACGTGAAGGTATCAGCGTGTCCTTACGTGGCTGCTACTGACGACCTCTCTTCGAAGGTTGACGCGACTCGTCAGAGAACTCTGCTACAGCACTTTCAGAAGAAGAGCGCAGCTGTTCTTCCTGCTGAACCTCAAACCGGCAATGCAGCACAGACCCCGGCAGTTTCGGAACAGGAGAGCCAAGCTTCTGAGGAAAGCACTCCCTTAGGGCCATCGAACGCAGAGCTGGTCGTAGTGGTGAAATCAAAAGATCCAAAGGGGGCTACGACCGGTACGTGTTCACAAGCGGATCTCGTCGCGTTTGACGAGCTGGAAAACATCTCTGCTAGATTCTCCAACTACGACGTCCCCGCCTATGTCGCTCCCCACGTCCCAGAATTCCCCCGGCTCTCAGGACATCTCAATTCCCAGCAAAGCCACGACGAATTTGCGGTCTACTTCCAATACCGCTGACAACAATGAGGACGACAGCATTCATTCCCCTCACAGCATGAAGGCGGCCCAGAGTAACACACGGCTCGGCACGCCGATATCTATAGCTGATACTCCACCACCCAGCAGCTCCTGCGTCGCTTCTCCTGATGTTATTGTGGTGGAGGAAGGGGGCAGCCGAGATGATCCTATCGTCATCGAACAGTCACCCGTACAGCCTCGGGAAGACATACGACCAGCGAAACCAGTGTTCCCTATATTTGCACCTCGTACACGTAGCGCGAGAGAACCAACTCCTACCCCGTCCGCTCCGCAAGCCAAGGTCAAACCCGTATTCCCTATCTTCGCAGCCGCTCGGAAAACTGCCGGAACACCTGCTCCGCCCAGCCCTACCAGACGGGCGAAGGGATCGGACGCACCTCTGCCTGATACTGAACAGCAGCACCAACGCGGCACACAGACTTCTTTCCGTGCACCCCGACCACATTTCGGGAATCGAGACAAAGGCAAGACAAAGGCTACTGCAGAAGACGGACAGAATTCCTTGCCGACTCTAAGCTCACAAAAGGAGGACAGTAGCCATCTATCTTCATCGTCCTACTGCGCCGCCTACGGCCCTTCATTCAGCTCAGAGCTGATCAGCACTCTTCTGGATACTGTTCCTAGGCATCATCGCGAAAACTATCCTGCTATTTCTCGGATCTTAGATTACCTCCGGCACAATGAGCTCCATTCATCCTCGCAGCTGTGGACGGAGCGCTGGCGTCCGAAGCGTGCTGGGGAGGTTCTTGGCAACGAGGCGAATGCGTTATATCTCCGGAGCTGGCTAGAAGCTCTGGCTTTGCAAAATACCCAAGCAGATCCAGAAATTATCGCGGGGTTGCCCGAGAACCCACAAGGCAAGAAGCGCAAGAGCAGGTCAAAGGCCAAGAGGAACAAAGAGGGGCGCAATGCAAAGAAGCCCAAGATACAGCGGACCGTGGAGAGACCCAAAGGTCGTAGAAGAAGGCGAATAGATTCAGACCTTGAGGACGATTGGATAGTGGATACCGGTGATGAGAGGGAGTCGGACATGGATGTCTTACCAGGAAGTGAAGACGACCTCACCTTCTGTCGTCAAGTATATTCTCGACTGCATCCTACATCTGATTCCGTAGAGCCGGTAGATGCCACTGCCGAGCCGCCCCAACCTGTTCCAGAGGAAGAGGGTCCTCGAATACCTCCCAGCCAGCCCCATTTCCGCAACAGACTCACCAACACGATACTCCTGACCGGACCTCCAGGCTGCGGGAAAACTGCTGCTGTGTATGCCTGTGCAGAAGAGCTGGGTTGGGAAGTATTTGAGGTATACCCAGGGATAGGCAAACGAAGCAACACCAATTTGGATAGCCTCGTGGGCGACGTCGGCAAGAACCACACGCTTCGCAAGGGGGTCTTCCGCAAGCCAGCTGGTGGGCGGATTTAAACTCGCAGCACGTGTTGGACTAAAGTGCTCTGGTTTGCAGGACTCTTCACGAAGTACAACGAGGCACGCCCACAAACCGAGCGCAACTCCGTCGATCCAGACGAAGCCAGCTCGAGAGATCAAGATAACCTTCCTCCCAGCCATAGCCAAGATTCCGGGTTCACTTCTCCTTCCAAAGGCATCGATGCGAGGGTTGATGCCTTCGCCGCTACTATCCCGCAAGAAGACAAGATCCGCCAATCTCTCGTGCTTCTGGAAGAAGTAGACGTGCTTTACAAGGAAGACCAATCCTTTTGGCCCGCCGTTATCAGTCTCATTAAGGATTGTCGAAGACCGGTGGTCATGACTTGCAACGGTAGGCGCGCCATGGATCCTTTAATCTTCAGTCTGACTCAGGGTGGATCTTCTCCGCAGACCTATCTTTGGTCCCGCTGCAAGACCTTCCTCTCCAAGAAATCCTGACATTTTCCCCGGCCCCCGCTGCGGTTACTGCTTCCTATCTTCAATGCCTCTCGCTCGCAGAAGGGTTCTGTATCGATCATCGGTTTCTCACCGACCTGTGCAAAACGCTTCAAACCTGGGATGTAGACGTCTTAACAGATACGATAGGTTGGACTCGGCACCAAGACCTGCAGGCAGGCTCGGATCTTCGGAAGACAATCAATCAGCTCCAGTTCCTGTGCTCCGTCAAAGCGGCGTTCTGGTTGAAGAACATTGAAAACCCGGAACTACTAGGATCCGATCCGCCCACTGCGATTAGCACGGAGTATAGTGGATCTACCTCCGGCGCAGCGACTGATGGATCTTCGGACGCGAGAGCTCAGCTAGAGCTTTTGAGAGGATTGGCGCACCATACGGAGACTCTGTCATTTTTAGACGGTGCGCTCAGTCGGAAAGCATGGCAGATGCCTCAGGTATTTTTACTCAACAAGCAATTATTATAAATTCTGAATACGCATTGTTACAGGTGTTACTGGAACAGGAGTCTCAACCTTCGGTTAGCGATGAAACGGGGCACCGAATGCTCTTCTCTGGGCCGACCGTTCATGCCCTGGACGCAACCGCGCTGTACCATTGGGACGAAGATATCAGGCAGGAAGTCCGGCAATGGTTGTGGGAGAGCATCGCAAGAAGCCCTTCCCTTCCACGAGGCCATGACAGCTTCAGGACTCGTGGTCGAGGGATTCCCGAGATGCACGTCCCGTCCAGAACGCATGTCTCTCACGTGGTGGCGGTACTTCGATCAATCCTGCCCTCCACGTTCGCGATTCCCTCGGCGTCGCCGGAGCCGGCGTTGTTCCTAGACTATTTGCCTTGGGTGAGACACATGGTAGCCGCGGACGAGGAAGAGGAGCGCCGAGAGACTCAAATCGCGAAACCTGGGCGCAGAACGCGAAACAGCCAGAAGTACGAACAGTACATTTCTCTCTCAGACGAGCAGCGGAGCACACTGCGATCCCTAGGATTGCAAGCGGAAGTGTAGCGTTTGTCCACTAGAATAAATAATGATAAAGGGAAGTACAGGCCGAATCTGTGGAAATGATCGGTCGCGCAATATAACCATTTATGGAAGAGGAGGAGATATACCCTCGCGGGACTCACGTGGGAGCGTCCCAGACACGTTGACCACGGACCGCCCAGAACTGCTCTCGCTCTCCTGAATTCAACTAAGTCTCCTCGCCGTTGTCCGCATCCGCCCCGTCGTCGTCGCCCGCGTTGCGTGAGCCATGGCAAACGACATGGACACCTCGCCCGCCACCGCCGCCCACAATGACGATAAGCCACCGGCTAATCCGGATCCCGTCGCCGCCGATAATTCCCACAAAAAACCCTTGTCTCCTGCACGACATCCTCCGACTGGAACACTCGCTCCCCTAGAATATTTACAGAACCAGCGTCGGGGCTCCATAACAGACCCGTCGTTGCATGCTGCCAGTCCTCATTTGCAGCCTACCGTTCCTTCAAACAGCCAGGATCCGAATTCTGGCTCCCCTTCTCCTGTAACTAAGTCCCGGAACAACTCTAAGGAACGGCGTCCTGCCTCTCCTTACACTTTTGGCGACGCAACCGCCAGTCGACGTCCTGAGGGATCGCAACCCGTAAATGAAACCTCTTGGCGGCAACCCATGTCTGCACAGTCCGATACTCCTGCACCTGAAGGTACAGTTCTCAGTCCGTGCCGCCAGTCGCTCTTGGTCATAATCCTAACGCAGGCTCAAGCAAACCGCAAGGCGCAACCGATATGGATGTCGATCAGGGGGGAAGACAATTGTCTCCGACGGGGAATGGAACTGCTAACGCGGTGAGTAGTTATCGCTCACAACGTATCAGGTCGTGTGTAGAGTCTCCCCTTTGCTGCCCCATTCATGCCACCTTGACTTGCTCCGTGCTTACGCGTGTATCTTGATCGAATTCAGGGGACGAAGCGCAAAATGTCCTCCGATAGAGAAGCTGCTGCATCTGAGGGTGCCGAGATTGATCCTCAACTGGTCGGTCCTGGTATGAACGTGGATGCGGAAGGACCGGCTGCGAAGCGTAGAGGATCTGCATTTGATACGCAGAGAATAGCCCAGTTGAGCCTGAATGACCGCCGCTATTCTGTAGATTCGCGGCTGCCCAGCGTGCCAGGAGAGCAGCCGCAGTGGTGGGCTAACGAAAGACGGGACTCTGCGCCAGGCGTGTTTGCGAATAATGTGGGATATGCGCCTGCTTCGGGGTTCGCCGCAGATCCGCATGGCCGTCCACCAGGAGGCATGGCTACTTTCGCGTGGCCAGCCACGACGCATCCTCCGGAACAGGCAGGACCAGCCACAGGACCTAACCCGAATGGTTCCAATCCAAATAACATGCCCGGGCCACCAAGACCTTTCGACCCATCCGCCCCGCCCCCGCCTCCACCCCCTCCCCCACTCTCGATGAATTATACTGTCACGTTCGCTTCGGACCGTAGGATGTCCGTCCCAGACATGACGTCCCCAGGTCCGACCACGCAAAGGGTGTTGCGGTCGAGATCACGACCACCCTCGCGTGCTCCGGCACCGGACCCAAGCGCGGGAAGCCAGGGGCAGTCGCCGACATCTGCGACCGAGCAACAGTCCGACTCTGGCGGTCCCGGCACCCCGACCTCTGGGTCCAAGAAGGACAGTACGCCATACTCTCGGTCACCTGAGCTCCGCGTGTCACACAAGTTGGCCGAACGGAAACGGCGGAAGGAAATGAAGGACCTCTTCGATGAACTGCGAGACCAACTTCCCGCCGACCGCGGCATGAAAGCCAGCAAATGGGAGATCCTCAGTAAAGGTAAAATTTCTGAGACCAAACCGTTTATATTTTCCGGCTGACTCCCTCCTCGCACTGCAGCTATTGACTTCATAGTTCAGCTGAAGCATGGCCATCAGGAGATGGCCCGTGAGATTGAGATGCTGCGACATGAAGTAGATAACATGCGTGCAGGCATGCCGCCTTTCGCTCCCGGAGGTCCCCCGCCAATGGGATACGCCCAAGGCCCTCCTCCCATGGCCCACAACCATTACGCCGCACCTCCTGTATCTCATCCGCCACATCCCACGCACCCCCCACAACAGCCCTCACAGCCGGTGTCGCGACCTGGCTCTTCACAGAATGCATATCCACCCGGTGCTGCCTCTGCAGGTCCGCCCCAGCAAAATGGCCACGTCAACGGGCCAACGGCGAAGGCAGCAGAGACAACTGCATGAGATGTACTGGGTTCTACACTGTTGTATCGATAAGGTTGCTTCACTACCTTCCTTATGTCTTTTCTGTTTTGGCTGCGAGGGCTTGGGCTGAAGTCTACTATTATTTGGTTATGAGACCGCTCTCAAGTGGCTCCGTCCACGACAGATTACATTACTGAGGCCGGAGATGCCATTTGATTCGCTTGTATCAAAAGATCATTTTACCAACACCTTTCACGTTCTTGCCACAAATTATCGAGATCTGCTATACCCGATGCCTCATCGCATGGCGTCACGCTGTATGTCCCGTTCAATGTATTATTCTTGGACGAAACACGACGTCCCGGACTAAAAACGAGACCGTTCTGTTGCTGCCCCCGGGAAGGGTGCAGCAATACAAGTAATCCGTACACTGAACGACATACCTAGCGCGGTGATACAATACAGGCGAAACAGGCGAAATACGGACATGGTTAACTACCTTGCCCTGGAGTCGCAGGTGCACTACCCGGAGTCGTACCATCCGGAGCATCGTCTCCTCTGTATTGCGGCCTCAAGATGAGCAAATTCGACTTGATAGTTGCGACCTCCTTGATGAGATCTGAAAAGATTTTCCTGCCGTCCTTCGAATGCTCCAAATATCCCCTGAAGGCGTTGATGCAATCCTTCGTAGTGCATCCTGGATGAGCTTGGATCCACTCGACCAGCTTACTGGCCGTGAGTTCTTCGACGGGCAGTGCTGGCTTGCGCTTCTTCCTCTTACGCTGCTCGGTGCCCGTGGTCCCGTCCGCAGCCGTAGTAGGCGACGTTGGCGACGTAGGGGCGTCTTCAGCTTTACGCTTGTTGTTTTGTTTACTAGGCGTCGGCGCCGCGCTAGGGGGAGGGGCGCCGTTGACAGGGCTACCAGGTCTACCTAAGGGACTTGCGGGTCCCTGAGCAAGGGGACTGCTCGCTCTGCTCACATTCGGGCTCGTCTTGACTTTGGATATTTTAGGAGGGCTGGTAGCTCGTTTCGCTACGATGGAGTGTCCCGACTGCGTCGGGGACGTCGGGCGAGATAAGGATGCTGCTGGAGGCTCCTTTTTAATGGGTGTGGGAGCGGGTAGAGGAGTGGAGGGCAGAGGCTGTTGCGAGCCGGATCGCGACTGGGATTGCGATTGAGACTGATCCTGTACTGCAGGACCGACTGGAACTTCTGGAGGTTCTTCCTCCGATTCCTCCTCCTGCATGACAATGACCAATGAACATCCCCGTGCCATGAGTGGAGCATGTTACACACCTCGCTCGCGTATGGATTCTCGTCATCATCACTTTCATACGCCTGGTTCTTTTCGAGACTCCGCATCAGTTTCTTCAGCTGCCTGCCAGCCTTTGTCAGCTTCGTCTCGTCTTCTTCGTCCTCGCTCTCCTCCCCGTCATTCAGAACCTTCGCCTTGCTATATTCCTTCTTCATACGCTCCTATTGATGGGACTACAATGACCATTATGATGGCGATCATCAGCACTGGCACATACCTCAAGCTCCTTGGCTTCCTCGTCCTCCGCCTCATCCACATTAGGCTTCTCTTCGTCATCCTCGAAGATCTCCTCATAGTCCATCTCATCCTGATCACCTTCTCCGCCATACTCCCGCTGTCTCCTCCTCTTACTATCCTCCTCATCGTCATCACCAAACAGACCGCGTTCCATTCCACTGTCCACAGCGCGAAGTCTACGACCGCCTGGTCCGAGGGAGGTCCCCGCGTCATAGACGAGAGATGGTCCGGCCTGTATATAGGGCATCGAGACAGAGGCTGTACCTCCTCCTCCTCCACCGCTACCGCTGGCAGCGGAGCCTGACGTGCGATTGTGAGGAAGCCAGCGTCCTGGGTCTTTATTCTTCTGAATCTTCGCCATCTGATCAGACGCGGTGTGAAGCCGTCAACGTTCAGTAAGTGTATTGGCAATAACACGAATGTACAAACCATGGATTCAGCCTCCTCTAGATTGGGTATCCTGTAGTTCGGCTTCTTCTGGAACTTGTACCATCGGTTTGCAGGCACGAACTTGAACACCTCATTTGCCGTTGGCATGAAGAAAGCATGTGTCTCTGACCGAGAAACCTCCTCCATCTTGCCAACCCACACCTCCTGGCCACTCGCATCCTCCATCACCCATGGGTACCGCTCCTCCTTCCTCAGCTGCCTCACCTCCTCCGGGATCAGATACACCTGCCTTGTCTTCTTCTGGAACTTCTTCCTCCCATTCTTCTTATCGCCCGGCGCGGCCACGCCCGCGCCACTGAGGTTATGTATCGGGCGCCCCTCCGCATCCACCATCACCGGGTTCCCGTCCGCGCCAATAACAGGCTTCCCGTCGGGGCCCAGCATCGGGCCGACCGCCTGCGGGGCGCGCGCCTGGGGCGCGAGCTCGCGGCGCGGCTCCTTGCGGTTGAGCTTGACGGGCGGGACCCACGTGCCGACGTCGACGGGCCGGCGCGAGTCGAACTTCATCAGGTCGTACTTCCACCCGTTGAGCGCGGACGACTCGAGCTGGTACTCGATGTACTCGCCCTCCGGGCGCGGCGGGTTCAGGTCGTCGTCCTTGGGCGGCGGCTTCGGCGGGGCCTTGCGCGGCGTGCCTGGGGCTTTTGGTGGGGGAGCCTGCCCGGGCTTTGGTTTCTTTGGGTGGAAGAGGATGGACGCTGAAGGGGCGCCTTTGCCGGGAGCCATGTTATCAGAGTCTAGTGTCTGCCACTCGTATCTAGGGTTGTAGTCGTGATCCTCGCAGAATCAGGCTGGAAGCCAGGTATATTGTGGTCAGAGAGCAGTACGGCCGTCGTACGCGTCGTTTGTCGAGCAGTTATGATAGCAACTGCGTCGGTCGTCGTCCGAGCAGGTCGTGGACGAACAGTAAGCGTGGGTGTCTGTGATTGACGCCACACCGCGTCAATGTCGGTCGTGCAAGAGTGTTTCCCACGCCTCCCCCTCCGAGACTTGCGTCTTGTCTCGTTCATGTTGTTTTCTTCGCTACAACTTCCGCCAAATGAGACTGCACAGCATGTTACGAGCCCCCTTTCGTGTCATTGTATCCAGAGGCCCAGATTAACTAGGATCTGGGGGTTTTATGAAAAGATGGTGTTTGTTAGAGTGCATACTGGACATGTCAAAATATACACCGAAGGGCTAGTTAGTACCTTGCCCGACAGATATACCGACCTCGGACATGTCTGCCAGATACATGCGCTGACTGTATACGCATATACTACTAGCAAGGGTACGGAATGGCACTGGCATGGCCTACCTCACCTTGTAGCTACACATATGTGGTCGACAACAACCTGTCCGACCTTGCGCCCCGGGACTACATGCATCCCTGACTCGCCACGAAAGTGGCGCCTGCTCGGACGCACCTATACACGATCATGAGAGCGGGCAATGGCGTTGACAGCGGCAGGCAGTCCCTCCCTGCATGAGCAGCGTCGCCGCACCGGTCTTCCATTAGCCTGTTCCATACCTGCTACATAGCTCGATGACAATTTGCCAGAGGTAATGGGAGTGACGTAGAGTCCCTGCTCCGCCGGTCTATGTTTCAGGAAGAAGAAAGACAGCGGGCGGGAAGAACCAGTCTGTTGACAGATAATGCTTCATAGGTCGAACGTTGAGCGCCAACCGGTGTTCAGGGCTCGAAGCTTGAAGCTGGAGCCCCCCGTCTAGGTCGCTCACTTCAGTGGCCCTGAGCTGCCGCCTCTACGAGAGTACACTCCGACAAGAAAGACGCCCGCAGCCTCGACGATCGTCCCCGAGGGATTTCGGCGCCCAAAGAGTGACACTGGGAGCGTCCACCAAAAATGCTGAACGACGGTCGGCGTCACATGCCATATTCACGCGCCACAACTCGTACAGCCCCTCGTGCGAGATTTTGGGCCGACGGGGAATCCTCGCCTCGCGGGGTAAGCCTCGAGATTACGGTCGAAATCCTCACGTACGCGGCGATTCCGGTAGGTACGCGACCTTGGACAAAGCGGGCTGGATACAGCGCGGTGTCCCAGGACGCAAGCTATGAACGGTCTGAGGGGCGGTTCCGAACGGAGTGACAGATGGCCAGAGTCATCCTACGGTCCCGAGAGGACTGAGTCTATCAAGAGTAGAGCGCGCGCAAGACATCCGCGATCGCGGACATTCACGCAAGTAATCAGAGACGATGTTTTACGGACTGCAAGGTTGACCTGTTTCCAGCGGAACAGCCTGTGGTTGAGGAGAAGAACGGAGCTATTGCGGTTACGGTTCTGGACAAACACCGGGGAGTCTACCACACTGTGACTGACCTCGTAGTATTGATAACCGGCGAGGACGAGGATGCTTGCAGAAATGCCGTCGATGGCTGGAAATGTCTGGGGCTCGAGAAGAGAAGGCATTGCAGTTAGATGTTGAATTGTCGCTAGGAGGATACGCGGAACGATGCGAGGAAATTCAGGTCGAATTATTTGTCAAACTGACACTTATATTGGATTTGAACAAAGAACCAGCCGCAAAGCCGACGAAAGTCGCTGGGATTGCTGGTAGGACATCACCTGACAAGGAAAGGGAAGACCTTGCGGATGATAGCGTTTTTACACGCAGAGAATGATGACGACGCCGCGGGGTTTAGCAGGTCGAATTTTCGGCCACTTTCCTGACAGGCAGGACTTGGACGAAGAATCGAGTCAAAGAGGTGTGCCGCAAAGCCGTTCTAAACTGGGGGGACTGCTGGAAGGACGTCGGGCGAGGCAAGGTGTTTGGAATACCAGGTCGGGAGGCAGATGAGGAACGCAGTGACAGCTTCGAAGACGGTCGTTAGGGCTGGGGTGGCGCTTACATACGACGGACATGCCAAACCGCAAGTTGAAAGGCCGTCACTGAATGCAGTGAGCTGGTGTCGCAGGCATACGCACTGAGCTATAAATAGACGCCAGCCAACGAGGCAGTCCATGCTACGAGCTGAGCGGAGCGCTGGGAGATGAGCGCGCCTGGTTAGCTCCAAATGGGATAGCGGTAGCGGCGTGGATATGCCTGTAGTTTGTGTCTGGAATGTCGGATGAGACAGGATATGCCGGGAGATCGTGCCGAAACGCTGATCAGGCTAGCTTGCCCTTCGCGCGGGTCGGGTAGGGCAGCGTGCTCGTACAGGCGTATCTGATTACCGAGGAAGGAGGCCTACTTGCCTTATCGAACGTGTTCCATGGCTGGTGTCGGGGGTTGGACTGACGGCTGGGAAGTAATAATGGCAGAGTTTGTGCGGACTCGGACGAGGCACGTACGAGAGGTTGGAAGGATCGGCATGGCGTGCCGGCGACGGATCGGGCAGTCGAGGGTGATTGGCTTGGCGTCTGGATGGCGCTGGGTGACGGCTGGGTAGTGCAGGTGCAGTTAGCGCGAGTCCTTTTCCAGCCCGCGGCCACCATCGCCGCCTGCCACCTCCTGTCTTAATCTGCCCTTTTATCTGCCCCCCATGCTTTTTCTGTGCCCTGTCCCGAGCTCCCCTCCGGTCCTGCCCCCTCCCCCGCCCAGCCACCATGCTCGGCACCGCCGCCTGCGTCCGCGCCCTCGCCCTGTCCCTCGCCCTGCCCTCGCTCGTTTACGCAGGCCTCATCCCTGACCTCCACGACCACGCCCACGCCCACCCCTCCCGCACCATCGCACATCGCGCTCCCGGCCAGGACTGGTACCACCCGCCCCACCACCCCGTCCACCGCCTCTTCCGCCGCGACGACAACTCTACCGGCGACTACCCCGCACTCGGTTCTCCAGGTCAGTCCGCACCCTGCCTTTTTTTCAGCCGCTTATCCCCCGCCCCCCCAGCTTGGAGCGCGCCCTACCCGACCACCACCCCGGACAGCAGCAAGCTGCCCCAGGAATGGGTCGACGCCCTCAACCAGGCCGTGCAGGCCGGCAAAATCCCCAACATCCCCGTCTCCACTCAGACAAACGGCGGCAACCCCACCTACCCGAACGGCTACGATCCCAACGGCCCCACCGTCTGCTCGGCCACCTACAAGTGCCGCAACCCCGACGATATCTGGGACGCCCCCGAGGGCATGGTCGGCTCCGGCTTTGACGACGGCCCCACCGAGGCGAGTCGCTCGCATCCATCGGCTTTCGCCAATCACTAACTGGCCCAACAGTTCTCGCCCACGCTCTACACTTTCCTCAAGAACAACTCCGTCAAGGCCACGCACTTTATGATCGGCATCAACATCCTCTGGAACCCCGCCGCCTTTGAGCAGGCCTACGTCGACAACGGCGACGACATCGCCGTGCACACCTATACCCACCCGTACATGACCACGCTCTCCAACCTCGACGTCCTCGCCCAGCTCGGCTGGACCATGCAGATCATCCACAACAGCACCGCCGGCAAGGTCCCCCGCTACTGGCGCCCGCCCTACGGCGACATGGACGAACGTGTCCGCGCCATTGCCTTGGAGGTCTTTGGCCTGACCGCTATCATCTGGAATCAAGAGTGCGTTTGCAGTCCGTCTGCTGACGTCACGAGCCGCTGACTTGCCTTGTAGCACCGAGGACTGGTCGCTGACGGAGAACGGCGGCACCACCATGCAAGCCGTTGCGCAGAACATGCAAAAGTGGCTCACAGGAGCCAAGACCCCCGGGCTTATCATCCTCGAGCACGAGTTGTCCGCAGAGTCCGTCCAGGCCTACATGGATGCGTACCCCGTCATGATGCAGAACGGGTGGCAATTAAAGAGCGTGGCTGAATTTGGTGACGATGACGCCATGAGGGACGGGGATCTGTTGGATCTCTTCGACAGTGAGTGTCCTCCTTGGGCTCGGTCATATTAGCGGTGCTGACAGGTAACCTCTCTAGCTACTTCGTCGGCAGCACCGTCTTCGACGAGTGCAAGCTCAACGTCGGCGTCGGCGACACACAGTGGCACCACTTCATCCTCTGGTCCGGTCGCTACTGGGGGCGTCGGCACATCGCAGCAGAGCTCGGCCACTTTGCAGTGGTCATCGCGTTCGGCCTGGGCTGCGTCTGCCTTGGTCGGCGCAGCGGGCTTGTTCGTACACTTGGCATAATTGCGACGAGCCCGTCCCCCACCACGTTTTCCTCTCCTCCTCTCTTGTCGCTCGCAATCTTGGGACATTGGCACTTTGGACTTTTCTACAACGCAATTTTGGACGGACATCGTCTTTTAATGGCTAGATATCCGTATACTTCTGCTAGTTGTTGGACCTGACTCTGACTGCGTCCGTTCGTTTACTTGGGGACGTTTCGCTGTTGGTGGTAGTCTGGGTCATTCCCGGTTTTCTCCTTTTCTCGTCTTCTCTAGTCCCCCGCCCTTTTTCTGTACCCTGCTCACGACGATGACACGTGTATCTTACCCCAGTCGGCGCTTATTGCATCAGTGTCCTTTTGCCAGTTGCCACACCATGTCTATGTGTATGTATGTAGCTAGCTTGGGCACCCCCTCCCCCCCCTCCAAAATATTCCTGTCTTTACTGTTGGTACTGTACTTATCTTGCGACTCGCACATACCCCTGATGAGTATCTGTTTGTACTTGATGAAACTCGCGACGGCAGAAGCACAATATCCGATCCGAGGTCGGGTGCAAATTGAAAGCTTCCGAGGGCTTCTGAGCGTCGGCCCGGTAAGGGAGGGTTGTGATTGGGTGGGAGAAGGTGCGGGGACGGTGATCCGGGCTTTGATAGGGAGACGGGACGGAGGGGGTTGTTTTGGATTCACGGGGTACACAGTGAGGGTGGGATGCACTTGGGATGGCTACTGGCCGTGCGATGGGACTCGTGCGCTGTGCAGACGGCCCGGGTGGAATTTTCTCCCTGGGGGCGACGCTGCTCAATGGACATTATCCGGGTTGTGGCAGTCACGTCCGCAGACCTAAGACCTCCCCCTCTCGGCCTTCTGGATGACGTTGCCCCTCACCTCCGGGGTCACTTTGCACACTACTCCCTCACCGCCACATCTCGCTCCTGTCTCTCCATCTCCCCCCCTGAGGTTCAACTTCAAGGTCTTACTCGGCTTGTTGGATGTCGATCGTGATCGACTTTCAATTCCGCCGGGGTTTCGTATGTATGTATTGCAGAGCCTCCTGGGTGATTGGGAGAATGGGACGTCGTAGATCGCCGGCGCTCGGTGTACAGGTGTAGAGGCTCCTGTAGGCTGTGTAGGATGGGCGGGGCGTGCCCCGCTTAAATTTCACCTGTTGCACCTGAATTGTTCTCTTCCAATACTTACATGTGAATTGGAAGAGCTCAACGACTACGTGGATGGTACGTCGCGAGTTTGAGAAGAAGGCCTATCCAAGTATTTCGCCTTCCTGCATATTATGATGCATTCCGAGTGCCAGTGGGCCAGAGTGCTGCTGGGATGGATCCTGGACTGACACCTCAGTGAAACCAACTGATATCATTTTGGAAATTACAATGGTTACGTTCGAATCAAAGCGCACTCCCGGTTCAGAAATGATCTCTGTAAACGCGTCGGACTGTTTGGCGCCAGAGTGTGGCAAGTCAGCCACCCGGAACCCCGCCTTCCTGATTCAGTGAAGATGGTCCGGAAGTGGCACGAGTCTCCGGTCTCCGCTGACCCGATATGATCGATTCAGGAACGTGGCTGCCGTGACGTACATGTAGTCAGCGCAGCGGCATCTCTGCTGCACTCTGGCAGTGCTTCAGCCTGAATTGTCCCCTGCAGTTTGCTCAGCACCGTCAGCACGCGTCGTCCTCGCTGTCCTCCCCGATGGCGGACACCAGTTCTAGCCGTCCACGACGACCGACGCGCGATGCCCCGAAGCCCCCACCTCTGGACGTCGAGCCGCAGCAGGACTCGGGTGCCGACGCTCCCCTCGTATCTTCTCCAACCCGGGAAACTGATGAGTCGGCGGAGAAGCTGGTTTCATTAACGCCCCTCCGCGCGCATTATCTCAAGAAGACGCTGATACAGCTGCAGTTCCGCCACGAGCTGGACGCGATCACGACCTCGGCGCCGAACAACGTCTCTACTTTCTCCTACCTGGGCCCGCCGTTCAACCCGCCGCCGAAGGATGCGCCGCCCCTCGACCTGCCGTTCTTGCGCTACATATTCAGGCAGTTTGTCTTGACGTTCCCCTTCCTGAATCAGGCTCCCAAGGACTTCTTTCCCGAGAAGCTGCAGCCTTTCATGGTCTCCGTGCTCTCCCGGAATCTCTCACCTAGCTCCATATTTGACGAGGGCGGCGAGGGCTCTGAGCAGGCTACGCGAATAAAGCTCCTGCGCAAGGCCGAAAGGAACTTTGCGATGTTCCTTGGCTCAGCTACGAAGTTGGCCGAACGGGAGGAGGTTGTCCGCCTCTCCCAGAAGGATCTTGACCGGCTGGAGCTCATGGCGAAGAAGAGATATGCACGGGAGCAGAGAATAAAGGAGACGTTTGATGTGAACGTGATATGCGTGAGGACGGTGGTGGACAAGGGACGCGTGCGGAGCAAAGTCCATGAAGTGCGTGGCGTCGTCCTCCATCGTCCTGTTCATGTTAAACGCTTACCAGTGCACCTTGCCCCTTCAACCAGGAATTCATCATCCGCACGCGACGGACAGGGCAGCCAGACGTCTATGTTTCTCGGCGGTACGGTGATTTCCGGACTCTGGCGGAGGAGGCAAGTGCATACCCTAGATAGGTAGGAGCTGCTGCTTATACTTATAGTTTATCACAGTTGCGTAAAGCACATCCCGACGAGAACGTACCTTCGCCCCCCGCGAAAGATCGTACAATCGTCAATGCCCCGATGTCCGCCCCCATAACGCCCAGCCCTTCCACCGCGGGGCTCTTCCGTACTACGACGACCTCCACCACCGGGTCCTCAGATTCACTAAACGTTCCTCCATCCCCAAGCTCAGCTGCTTCGTATGGCGGGTTCCCTTCCCAGCCAATGCAGTCCAGTTCTTCCTCGCAGCTGCGCCTGGCGCGCGAGAAGAACCGGCTCACGCTCCGGTCATATCTGCACACCCTGCTTGCCAGTTCGACGCTGGGCAGTAGCCCCGTATTGAAGAGCTTCCTAGTTTCGATGCCTACGGCATTGAGCGAGGAGGAGAAATGCGATGCCCAGAGGAGGGAGGAAGCCGACCGCATGCGGGATGACGGCAGGAAGCGGTTTGCGCAGGAGGTCAAGGACCGGGTGGAGGGGCTGAGGGGGGCAGTGAGAGGTGTTAAAGGCGACATTATGGGGAAGGGTGGGTAACATATCTTGTTGCTTGGCACCGTTCGCGCCACGACATGAGACTGATGTCAGGGTAGGCGGACTAACTCGCGTATTCGCGACCATAAAGACTACAGAGAGTGTGAGAGAGTTGCCGCCGGAGTACCAAGCCGTTATCGAGTGGGCAAGGATATCGTAAGCGGTTGACATCGAGCCTGGTGATGGTGCTTTGAACTTACGACTTTTCTCAGTCTAGCGTCCACCATCTTCCACCATCTCGTGGCGGCTGATAACGCGTCGGAAACCTTTGCGTCTCTGAAGCGCATACATGGCTTGATGCCGTATTTTATGCTGAAGACGGCTCTGCGAATAAGTAATCCGATGGGCATGATTCGAAGTTCGTAAATTTCTTCATCCATATAACCCATTTACCTCGTATGCGTCCTTATATCAGTTCTCTCATAGGCGTGCTGGATCTGTTCCTGGCTCAACCGTTCGGGCAAAGGAGTCTCTTGCAACGGTCGGTAGCTTGCCACGCCGCGCACTACGCTGCATACTGACTGCAACACGCTCCCTCGCAGAATGTTCACGAGTTCGCTGACAGAAGAAGTGCATGCTCTCGAGGAAGATATCGAGGCGGTCAAGGACAAAGTCGACGATCCTGTCCTCTGCGAGAAAATCAGGGCCTTCGTGTATGCGCCCAGGGAGATTCAGGAGATCTACAAGGCTGATGCTGGTAGGCGCACTGCCATGGTAATATCCTATACCTCGCTGACTCTTTCCTACTTCCTAGCCGCGGAGAATCTTAACATCCTGACCACCGTTCTGCGATCCGGCGAGGCGCCCCCTCTGACACGACCGCAGATGCACCGGGTGATGCGAGCCCACCGCGCGCATCTGATATATATGCGGTATCGCCAGGGCCTCGCTGATTCGGACGACGATGAAGGACCTCAGGACGACGATGCTTGGCTGTACGAAGACCTTACTGTGTTGGCGAAGCTGTACGAGCGGCTTAGGGACCGAGAAGAGTTGATTGGGCTGATTTTCGAGGTCCGTCCTCCGGTTGAGCTGCGGTGTGGTTTGCGCTGACAGAATGTGGCTAGGGTGTGACGGCTGAGCTCCTCAAGGATATTATTACGATATTCTATGCCCCGCTTGCGCAAGTTTACAGAGCGGCTAGTATTGCGGATTCCATCGGGGATCTACAGAATTTCATCAACGACCTCATCAAGACGGTGGAGTCGACGGAAGAACGTGAGTACTGTCTATTATTTCTTGCTCGGTGGTGTATCTTATAAGGGGCGTGTCTCAGTCAGCCAAGAAGATCCGCAGCGCACAGTGCAGGCATTTATTGAGCTCGTCCAGCGGCATGAGCAGTCATTCTACAGTTTTGTCCACAAAGTGCACTCCAAGGGAGAGGGCCTCTTCGACAGTCTCATGCGGTGGATTGAGCTCTTCCTCACTGTCATCCGGGAAGGCATCTCAGATGAGCGAGGTCAGAACACGATCAGCTTGGAGTTCCTGCTCCCTCATAAGGGGTCTGAACGCGAAGCCATTATGAAGGAGGTGGACGATATAGCCAAGTATCACTACAGTTTGAAGCTGGCCCATGAGGATAAGATACGCCGGCGATTTGGAAAGACACAGCAAGGTGTGGACCAAGGCGACGCTGAGGCCGAGGACGAAGCGGCCCAAGCACTCGTGAACGGGGTGGTTCGGGAGCTGAGTTTCGGCGAGCTTGTGAGAGGGGACGCTGATGAACTCGCGGCCGAGGATTCCGAAGAGGATAGTGAAGAAGATTCTGATGAAGAGACTGACTACGAGGAAGAGACGGATAGCAGCGAGTACGAGACCGGATCCGACGAAAGCAGTACAGAAGTGGAGAGGACCAAGACTAGCCCGATAGTACGATCCGCTACGGTTGGGCATCCTCCAGTACGGCGACGCATCGACTCATTGAAGTCGGCTACTCAAGGCAAGCAATCGTTGGATTCCGCGCGACCGCCAATACCCTCTTTACCTCTTCGAACTTCACGGTCAATGACGTTCTCCCACCCAAGTAATCCCCGAAGACACGACCACTCGAACGCACCCCCTGTACCTCCATTACCCCCATTACCGCCCAAGGACCACTTAGTCTCTCCCCGAGACAAGCCTCTTCCACCGAGTCCAGCGCCGCCCCGCCAGCGGGCGTCTGTCGACGAGCTCCGGAGAAAACCGCATCCCCTTCCTCTGAACAGACCTCAACCGACGGCCCTGCAAAGGCGGAAGAAGCGACTCAATCCCGATAAACAACCTGATCTCCACCACATACCTCAGTTGCTGCCATTATTCGTCGAGATGGTGAGTATTGAAGTGCACACCGCTTATCCTCCTTGCTTACAATCTTGCATAGATGAGGCCTCTACTCCGACCACGTCAAAGCTGATAAGGTAGCCTTGCATGGCTGCTGCATACATCTTGATCTAATCTTCCTGTCCCTACCATACACCCAGGGTTACTTGCTTGGTATATGTATTTGTATGTTCCGATGTATAGACGTATTGCAGTGAAGACTACGAACTTGATGTGCTGATGTATTGTACTGTAACATGCCCTGAAAGATTCCGAAGTGAAGTAAACGCAGACAACATATACAAGATAGAAGATCGATGTACAAAGCCGTCGACGACGTCAGCAGTGATATGATACAGGTAAGCAAAACCAGATGAATATCTAGAATGCGTTTGAGTTGAGGGTGAACCGCTTGAAGGTGTATCTGTAATCGTTACATAAGAGGATGTCAGATACTAAGTGCGGAAAGGAGACGTACCCCAGGAAGGCGAGGTCCTTGTTTGCACCCGATGGATCTGCGCTGACCGGCTCTTCGGGGACTTGCTCCAGCTCGTCCGTGGGGAAGTACGACGTGTCCGTAATAGACCGCAAGTGAGGAACGAAAGGCGCGTCGATGTGCCGAATCGTCTCCCAGTCCACGCCGTAAAAGAACGGATGAGCCTTGATCCGATCCACTTTCAGGCGCCGGTCAGCGGACGTAATCAGCCTGCAAACCAACACTTCTGTCCTCTGTCGTGGACAACATATTAATCAAGAACATACCGTCGAATCAAATCCTCGGCCTCGCGGCTGAGATGGATGTCGTCTGGGAAGACGAGGTGGTACTGCCACTGCATGATCTTTTGGTACGTCTCGTGCGTGGACTCGGAGCAGAACGGCGGGTAGCCGACCAGGCACTCGAACATGATTGCGCCGAGCGACCACCAATCGCACTCGTTGCCGTAACCCTCCTGACGGAAGATCTCCGGGGCGATGTAATCCGGAGTACCCACAGTTGAGTACGCCTAGTGGAAGGGATGCAACTGTTAGTCCTCGAAGTCAGCCTGGGTAAGAGGCGGACGTACTAGCTTCCGCCGATTGGCCTTCCATGTGGCGATCTGGTCTTTGCTCGTCATGGTCAGATGAATAGGGTCCACCATGACGCTATTCCTGCCCGTTTGCGCTTGCGACGTGGGTGACTGAACGCCGTTGGCAGAGTCAAGCAGGCGTTGGTAATAGCTTGCATCATGCTGCTTGTGGAACCCAGTCGAGAGACCGAAGTCAGAGAGTTTGATATGTCCGTCTTTGTCGATCAGGATATTATCCGGCTTGATATCACTGGCAACATATGAGTGAGCGACGCATCCACAAATGAGCAGAGTCACTGGAATCTCACCGATGGATGAACCCAAGCTTATGCACGGCCTCAATAGCAAGCACACATTCGGCAATGTAGAACCGGGTCACGTCCTCCGAGAACGTATCGTATTTAATCAACATCGTCATCAAGTCGCCTCCCGGCAAGAACTCCATGATGAGGTACAGGTACTGGGGATCCTGGAAGGAGTAGTACAGCTGTACCACCCAAGGCGAATTAGATTCTGCCAGCACATCACGTTCGGCGCGAACGTGGGCAAGCTATGCGTGCAATGAGCGCGTATAGGAGTATGCAGCGGCGGGGAAGCCTCACCTGGTCCTTCTTCAACATCTCCTCCTTCTTCAGAGTCTTCATAGCATAGATCTTCCCCGTATCAGTCTTCTGCACGAGCCGTACCTTGATGTCCGACGTCAACTCCGATCAAGAATGTTCGGAAGCGCGTGCTGCCAACGTACCTCGCCGAAAGCACCCTTTCCGATAACCTTGACCGTCCGGAAGTCTTCCAAGCCAAGTTTAGTCCTCCGCAAACGCAGGAACGCAGACTCCTTCTTCCCGAGCTGGAGCAGCTGCCTCTGCTTCCGGTCGTCCGGCATCATGTTATCGGCAGCTAGCTTGCGCTCCAATTCGACGCGTCTTACATGCGAACAGTAAGGTCGAGAGCCGCATAGAAGACGCCTAGTCCAGCACGTACCTGGTGTTCCTCTCTATTGCAGAATCGACGGCGACCTTGTAATAATGCTGCAATTTGAGCTGGGCAGCCTTGGCCCGCTGCAACGCGTCGTCCGAAAAACCAGCAGTAGTTCTGTCGAAATAGACATAATCAGCGGGCTTCCCGGCCGGCGGTTGCCCGTTTGTGGCCTGCTGCTGAGGCTGCGAGGATGCGGACTGCATGGCAGGATATTGGTGAGAGGAGAGAAAGAGAGAAATGAGTTGCTACTGTTACTTCGCGACGTTGTCAAATGTAATTTACCGACAACTCGTTCCAAATATGGAAGTCAGAGAGAAGCTCTGTTCGCGCAGATTGCCGGGGCGAGATTGGTGGAAAGGTTGATCGGGCCAAAGTGCCACCCTCCACTCAAGCTTGCGGGCGTTGTGAGTTGCACATACAAGGCGTTGCGCCTATCGCTCAGTAGGTATGGCTTGATTGCTGTGTCAAATCATTGGGCGGAAGCCAGACCCCGGATCTTGAGCAAAGGGGCCACCGTATGCCATATTGAGTGAAGCTTCGAGCTCAAAAGGGCTACATTTACTATCGTACATATAACCAACTTCATCTACATGAGATTTAGTTTGTGAATTGATATCGTAAGCACTACCAAGGAGACGAGGTATGTACAATAAATATTATCAGGCCACGACCACAGGATGTCCAGGAAAGCCCTGGAAATCAATGATAAATATCACGATTGATATCAACCTCAGACACCGCCCATCGGTTCGGCCCAGCGACTGTCACAGGCAATGAATGCTGGAAGCTCTGACGGCTATGCTGCATTTGTGGATGACCGTAAAAGTCCTGGGTATTGGCAGCGTTCAGATGCGGCCGGGGTGGGGGCGGGGTGTTAACTGGGTATGAAGGGTATTGTGAAGGCGTCGGGAGCATGGATTGCGGTCTTAACGGCTCCAGCCTGTTGGGTGTAAATGGGAAATTGGTTGGTTCGCCGTATATTGATGCCGACGACGAGCGGTTGCTGGACCAATTGGAATCAGATATTGTGTATGACAAAACAATCGCAGCGCTATACGCACGTCTGACCGACGGATTTCCTGCGCGGGGTGGGCTGCGCTGGTGACATATGGGCTTGGACAGCCGACCTAATGCATGTACCATTAGCGACTATACGAACCGCTATCATAAAACGTACTTGTAGAGCGAGGCTGCATTCACACCCGTGGCGAACGGTTCCTCCTCCATAGGCACCTTGCCAAATGTACTGGCCTTGGTATAGGCCACAGCAGGGTTGAAATCTACTAGAGGTGCCGGGGAGTTCCAGACCGATCCCCTCGACGAGGGCGTGTAACTCGTCGAAGGCCTAGGACTCGGTCTGTTATATGGCCTTCTCGGGGTAGCCAGACCCTGAGAGGATGACGAGCCCTCTGGTCCTGGTGAGGGAGACAAACTGAAGGGTCGGACCTGCGTGTTCGCGGGTCCATGGGCCTGCCAACCGGACGGTTCCAGTCTTGGGGAAGACAACGGGGATGCTATCCTCGAATCCGTGTCCCGCCAGGCTACATCCTGCACCCTAGGTGCAGGGGCAAATGGAGGTGGAGGGATTGAACGGACATCATAGTCGTCGTCCTCAGGTACTTCGTGTACCGAGCGATCATGAACAGACGAACCCGACCGACTCGACTGGTAACTCGGCGCAGAAGGCTGGCGCTCCTCATTCCGCACAACGAGCGCAAGCTTGCGCTTCTCCTCTGCAGCCGAGGATATTGAAGGAGTTTTCTTCTTCTTCACGATGCGCAGGGGCTGGATGGCAGAGGAGGAGGCACCGGATCCGCCGCCACTTTCACCAGTACCCGGCGCCGACGCCCTCGTCGGTGACACCGGTGAAGAGGGACCGGCACCTACAGTCTGAGCAGCACCTCGCGCGGCAGCAGCCTCGAATGCAGCTTCGTCCCACTCCTCCCAAACCTCCTCGCCGTCAACGGCGCCCAGTGCGCCCTGGGAAATCGACAACGACTGCTGTACCGCCAGTGATATTTTACGATCTAGTTCCTGCTGCGACGCCTCGTACGCAGGCGGGGGAACATCGTCTTGCAGGTCGTCTTCGAACATGATGTTCGCGGTCGCGGTAGAGAGAATCGATGTCGGTGACACTGACAGGGACTCCCATTATTAGTGTTGATATGGGTCTGCCCCGTGAGCGCTACACAACAGCCAGGCACAGGTCTCCAAGCCCGAATACACAGCCTTCTGGACGACATGATTTCACACAGTATGCATTAGACGCCGGGGAGATGTCTCCGAGGCGCCCAGGTAATTACGCGGAATCGGTACAGATGTGCGAGGGAAGGAACAGATGACAGGCATGAGGCCTGCAACGAGACAGTCGGATTGTGGGCGCCCGTGTCACAGAGCCGGGGACTACGGAGTGTACACCCTCTCGCCGCGGTACGTCCGTCCGTTCTCGTCGAGTAAACTCTTCAGTTTCGCAGCGACACCCCGCACCCCTTCCCGACAGCCCTCCATGCCCTTCCAGGCGCCAGATACGTTCCAGCACTCGGAACATGCTTTCGATGCCTCGTTCACGGTCTCGAGCTCCAGCTCGCCCCTGGCGTGCAGGGCGACGAGGACATCGACGAGTCTGTGGAACCCCGTCGCCCATGTTGTGATGCCTGTGTCTGGGTTCATGCTTGTGTCTGTGAGGAGGTAGGAGGACGAGAGACCGAGGCATTGCCGGAGCATCCTTTGGTCTATGGTGCCCTTTTCCCGGGTCATCCGGCCGAGGACGCCGACTACAAACGCGCCATAATCTGTAGCTGGACTGCGACCTGCCTAACACACCACGTTCAGATATCACTCGAGACACTATACTTGATCTGTGTGGCTCACCTGCATCTACTGGACTGATCAGATAGATCTATAAGTGGTCCTCGTGGAGGATCATGAAATGACTGCCAAGATACGGGATATCAGCGGGCAACAAAGACGGGTGGGCTACCATCGCGTACCTATGTCGTGGGCGGAAGAGAGGGCATAGAGTAGAGGCATGACATAGCGAGCAGTGGGAAATGAAACAAACTGCATCACACCCGCCGGGCGCTTGTCATAATTGACAGCGCGGCTGTTGCCGATAGCTTCGGTTGATCCAACCGGGCTTCGTCACAGCTTCGAATTCCAGCGGCAAGCAAGTCGTGGGCCATGTCTCTCGCCAGACTCCTCCAGGGCATCACCCCGCCGCCTCCTGTCGTCCCCGCCGAGTACAACGGCCTCGAGTACAGATGGAAGAACTTCGTCTTCAGGCCAGCCGGTGTGTAATGCTGTAAACGTTCGACTGTAACGTTCGTTGACATAACTCGTTGGAAGAATTCAAAATCGAGGGGTTAGCTGCGCTGGGTATCATCCTCTATCTTGTCTTGTTCTGGATTGGCAAGAACAGGAATGCCCAGCGTGCAAGCAAATGGTATACGACGGACAGCACACAACTCTGTTCCTGAGACTAACCTGCCACTGTAGGCTTGATGCCCACCTGCCCTTCCTGTCTACCCAATTCTCAAAGCCCACGAATGAAGGCCTAACCCAGGACGGATACTCCGACTTTTTCAACTTCTCCACCGGCCGCCGCCGTGTCGAGCGTCTCCATACCGTCTTCAAGCTCCGTCCCCGTCATGATCCCGTCCAATACCTCGGCCAGATCCTGTGGGGACTCACCGACCTGAAGTACAATCCCAAGGACGAGATTCTGCTTGACTTTGAGCTGAGCAGTGGCCCCGATTTTGTCTGGGCGGTTGTTGCGAAGGATGAGCTGGAGGAGATTAGGAAGGAGCGATGGGACCTTGTAAGTCGGTTGTTCTCAATGTCCGCGTACCTGGACCTATGCTCTTGCGCCGTATGTCATCTAGACATTCACCAAGACTACTGACAATGCCGCACTGCCAGCGTCCCTGACTGTCATGTCTGGTAGGTCAAGGACACAGCCGACAATTTCCCGCTCAGCGCTTACAGTGCCCCATGACTAGAATTTGCGGATGTCACGGATAACCTTCTCAAGCCAATCAACAACTTCTCACTCGTGAAGGCTCTGAGCGACCCGGAGATTCTGCCTTACTTCCGCTCCCTTTCAGTGGGTTCCATCCCAATACGGCCTCCTCTATCGGAATTCTAGTGCTGATACCGTAGCCTCCTAGATCACCGATCAACCCCAGACGCGCCCCAACTCGGCGGGTTACACTCGGTCAAAGCACATCCTGCTCGCGCTAAAGGCTCCTCCTCCTTCCTCAGCACAAGCCACCCTCCCCATCGTCTCCGCTGCCTTCAAACTCATCGACAATCTCGATAGGGCTGTCACAAATCTCCGGCCCGAAACGAGGACCAAGCTTAGGAAGGTCAGAGAGGAGGTAGACAGGGAACTCAGGGTCGCCGAGGAGAAGGAGAAACAGGAAGAGGTGTGTTGGTTGAGGATTCACACTGATCAGTCTCTTATCAAGCGCTAGGCTATCGAGAGCAAGCAAGCTGCAAAGAAGAAAGCCGAGGAGGAGAGGCTCTCTAAACTCAGTGCAGCTGAGCAGAAAAAGGTATGTGTGCGTTCAACAGTCTGCGAGACGCCGCTCACCTGCGCCAGGCGCTGGAACGCGAGCGGAAACGCAGTATCCGGAAAAAGCAAGGGAAGATGGTCAGAAAGTAGTGGGGTTCTGCACATGTGCTGTCTGATATCCACGAATAAACTATACCTCCATATACTGTACACACTTGCTTATGCTACAGGACAGTCCCGCAGGAGTCAACGTGGATAATGAAGTCACTAAGATACCTGAAGAACACAAGAATCCAAGAAAAGAAATCTTAAGATTCACCGGATCTGGGGGACGTCGGAGACGTAGGCGGATCTTCGTCAGACTGCGGGTGGGCGGGCGCGTCCGACTCATCTGTCGACGTCCTAGCCTTCACTTCTTTGGCCTTCCCCTTCCCCTTCGTCTTGGCCGTAAAGAGACCCCACTGACCAGCCCAGCTATTGAAGAGGTTCAGCAGCCAAGTAGGCTTCATACCCTGATGAGCCACAACGTCCTCTTCTTCGTACGGCGGGTAGAGACCGTACTCGTCCGGTAATGCGTCTTCTTCCTCCGCCTCACTCTCTGTCCTCCCATATCGATCGACCAGCCTCTCTCTGCCGTCTAGCGTCCACTGCAGTCGATTGAAGCGGCCATGGGCGCCGTGTACACCAGGGGGCAGCGGGCGCCCACCCGTGCCGAATACTTTTTCTCGGAGCTGCAGGACCTTCCGCCTGGGTGGTAATGCCATGTACCATAGCTCCGGCACTCGGAATTGCGCAGATTCGTAGGATAGGGCGTGCGTCTCTTGCACCATCGCATCGACCTTCGTACGTTCAGCGTCAATATCGGCGATGACTTGGGCTCTGGCTTCCAGGTCCTTCAGCGCCGCCGTATGGGACCGGTAATCCTCGCGTAATTGTGCATTCGTTTCCGACAGCGATCTTGTGATCACCTAACGAGTAGTGTTAAACTAGGCGAACCAAACGGAACACCAATTCGTTTCGCTGACCTGTAGACAATCAAGGACGTTGTGCAAGTGTCGCTCTCTACGCCGCATGATCAGCATCTGTCCGCACAACTCGACATCTATCCTCAATCTGTCGAGTGGTAAGATGCGAATCCCTGCAACAGGCACGGCTCCATCGAAGCTACGTGATCTACGACGTAACTTTGTCAATCGAATCCCGCTGGCATCAACGCTGGGGCCTACCTCCGGAGAGTCGGAACAATCTTGTGTTCGCCGACATCCAAGTCGTCCCGGGTACCCTCCACAAAGAACTCGCCGTGCTCACTTACTCTGGCTAAGCGTCCGCCGCGAAGGAGTCCTGATCCTTCTCGCTTGCGCCTCCGTTCCCGCCTTTGCTCGTCCTTACCACTCTCTTTTCCGCTTTCCTTGGCGCTTTCTCTGCCGCTCACCTGCTCATCCTCATCCATGATTCCTCTGGCACTGAGAGGGTCTGACCAGCTAACGATTCTGCTTTGGTAGTAAGGCTTCGTAGAGGGACGCTTCTGATTGAACTCGGTGATACGTCGCTCATAATCGGAAGTGGATATGCTAGGTGTGGAAGAGGTTTCGGTGCGCGGTAATTGTCCGATAGCAAGGAGAGAACGATTATACTGGCCCTCAGCTACATGTGATTGACTGAAGATAAATGCAACCTCCAAAAGGTAGACGTTGAACTCACGAGTGGGGGAGACCTGACCACTACTCAGTACCTCTTCTTCGTCAGGATCTCTGATATATAAATGCTAAGGATAAGATATAGGCAGGTACGCGTCCACTTACGGTGAGATAACTAGCTCAGGCACTTGCAGTGATTGCGGCTTCGAAGACGAGGGCGAAGTTTGTTCGCTTTTTGCTTTGCTGAGATCTACACTATGCCTCTTGCGACTGAGCCTGTTATGGGCGATAGAATGGGGCAAGGATGAGTGCATACTTGCAACATCACAATCCCTCACTTACGCCGCCCATGACTCTATCTTTTTCTGGACTCGACCACCCCAAGGTGCGGTGAACTTCTCACCGTCACTATCGGAGCTTCTGCCATCTGTCTTTTCATCTCCTTCGCTACCAATGGAATCCTTCTTGCTCCTTTCGTTGGTCAACACCGGTTCAGGGGGTCTTCGTCGTTCTTGCAAGACAGATACTCGACCAGTCCAGAGCAACCTCAGACTGGTAATCCCTTCCTTCTTGTCTCCACTCACTACACCTCTCACGAACAGGGCCATGTCGAGAGTAGGGTTGATCGCCCAGCCCCCGGCATCACCGGACAAGTGACCGTCTCCGCCTGAAGCTGCACTGCGTATGTCAGTTGTCAAGTCATCCAGCTTATTGAGAAGGACTCTGTGGACTTTATACGAGTCCGACTGCCTTGCTTTCTCGTACGAGTGAGATATAGCTTCTATCACAGGCCGACTGAGATACAACACCGAGGAAGATTGGGACCCGTCGCCAGGTGGGCTGCCATTGGTCGCGGGGTTGTTATGGTATGACGAGATAGAGAGGTTGGGGGTCGAAGTCAGTGAAGTCGCCGACGAGCCGTGTCCGTGATGAGCACGACCACTAAAGTGGTATTGTGACAGTCCAGTAATAAAACCTTCAGGATCGAGAAACGGATCTTTCGGTATCATCTAGTCATCAAAGCACCATGAATACTTATATCTATAACGTAAATGGGCCATGACTTACATGGTTAAATCCAATGGCCCTGAGTTTGTTGCGGACCGTTACGATGAGGCTCAAAAGTGCAGATACTACGGTAGGGTCGGCCAGTCGTTCCATCGGCTTCAAGTGTCGGACATTCCGGGTAATCCCCAAGGTAGTGATCAGATCCAGGTTCTGACGTGATCACCAAGTCAATCGGGGATAGCACTACCCACCTCAACCCCAACCACGGCCTCTCCAATCTCCAGGACCCATCGTCCGATGCCGTCTGCGGTATCGTCGCACAGTAATCCGTCAATTTCCCTGCACCATTTATCCCTGTCTCTTCCATCCGTCTGTACCGCATCATACATATTGCACATGGCAAGCCCTGCCTGAATGAACTTGACCAGTTCAAGGACTGTAGGATTGAACAGCGGTGCTGATCGTATCTTGGTAGGGAAATGATACATGGATACAAAGCGGTCCTTCGTAGTGTCACTGACAAGCTATCAGATCGACATTCGGGGACCTCGGGCGGGATCATACCTGGGCTCCTCCAACGTTAAAGCACTCCGCCCGCTGCAACCCATACGAAGCAGGTTGATGTTTGTGTACAATTGCTCTTGGATATCTAGAAAATTCCCACCGGGGATGTGCACGATTGTGAAGTCAGACCGGAAGTTCGCCAGAGATGTTACCATAAGCGTCCCGTCGTCTGTCTTTGAGGAGAAGTAGTTCAACGAAAAGGTATGTCAATATGATGACTATCAGAAGAACAGACCTCTTTAGGCCGGGCACCGTCTCTGCGGAGACCGTGTAAGACACTGTCCCACTCTTGCTGGGCTTCGGTTTGTGATAATGAGGCAGATGGGCTCAGCGCTGTAACGGTTATCTACCGGCATAACCGACGATAGTGAGGAGCTGCCTCAAACATCCGGATAAAGAGAGACCACACTTTGTGCTCCAGGTCACCTGTGTAGACCGTCAAGACAGTAATTGGTCTTCTTTCTACGATCCTGATACCAGTTGTTGCTTAGCAGTAGAGATTGTGCTCATAAGTCCAATCAAAACACACCATTTCTCGACGACATACAGTTGATACCCCGCGAGCTCAATCTGTTCCTCAACAATATCAAACCTACATTTCTGCCCCAGCCAAAGCTCGCCCGCGTATTCCGCTACAGTAGACGGGTCGGGCGAGGATTGCAAGGACGTTGAACCCGACCGTGATCGTATGAGCTTAGACCCGGAGTGCTTATGCCTTGATCGTGGGGATGCACTGTTGGACTGGCCGTCTGTACCATTCGCCGTAGCGACAATAGGCAACTTAGGGGCTCGCACAGTGGGCATTAATAGTCTCCTCGCTGGCACATTCAGAATCCCTGCCATATTTGCTGAAGGCACCATAGGGCTGAGAAGAGGTGAAGAGGGCACTGACAGCGAGCGCGACGAAACATGGCGGGGGAATGGAGACGACGGGCCTGTCAAAGGCGAAGACGGTGGCGGGGACCTATGCGAGGCTGAGCGTGTCGGTCTTTGAGTCGTCATAGTTGCCAGTGTCGGTCTCGACGCGTTCGACGCCATCGAGGCTGCGGACGTGCCACCCTCGCTGTATTTCCTTTTCAGGCGTACTTATGATGAAGGCGGGACGGAGATGAGAAAGTGCAATCCTCCCTACAAAGTTAAGGACGCAAGTCGCTATAAATGGAAGGTCGAGACACTGTGCGGTAACCCCGCAGCGTCGCGAAGGACTTCGTCTGAAGTCGGGGCGACTCGCTTCGGAATGGGAATCCTAAGGCGGTGAGGAGGTTGTGTACTCACTGCAATTCATTCGTACACCGGTAACACCACCTCCCATGATCATGAGAAGTTGAATGGTTTTGTATATCAGTACACATGTAGTTTTAATTTTTTGAAACTGAACCCCAAAGTATAATACCAAGTGAAGGCTTTGTGTATAGATTCGCCCTTGTCCGGACTCAAAGTGCCACAATGTCATCAATATCGGTGCCTTGCAATGATTGCATGATGAGACAGAGAACAAAAGAAAATTTCCAAGTTGCGTTACGGAGTGAAGACAACTAGAATCATCACAAGTGAAAAATATTGTCCGTAGGTGGGATTGAACCTTGAGCTCACATCTTTGCATCTGAAATAACCCATCACACTAACCGCTGCACTAGCGACACACTAACAATATTAAAAAACAAGATAATATGTTACTCGGGCAACCGTCTGGGCGCATCCGCTGCAATGGCTCCGCGTCCACTTTGCGAGCCGCTGCGCGACTCGCTTACATAATCTGCGTCCTCAACTTTGTAGGGAGGATTGCATTTCGTGACGGAGATGCCACCGGATCAAAGTGTTTCGAGGTGCACGAGCCCCTGCGAACCGGCTCAGAAACAAGCTCCAAGGGGACAACCAAACTCAAGGGTCTGCGCAGCTGATTGTCGTCAGTAAATAGGATCTCACCGCCACGATCCGTTACTCGAGATCAAAGAAGATGGCGGTTTCACCCTGTGGTCAACGCGGTTATGGAGCATGTCGTCGTTTGGTGGCACAGAAGTCTCCTATAAAAGCGAGGGCAGAAACCCGGAAGGAACCCCAAGGTTGAATCCATTCTCTGCCTCACTCTCTTTTTCGAGCCCGGTGCTCCTGTCCTACGCTTGTCCTAGCGACTGAACGATTTTTATTCACGTCCAAGTAGTAACTAAACCCACCCATGGTCCAACTCAGTTCAGTCTTTGCTGCCTTCTGTGCTATTTATGCCGTCTCTGCCGCCCCTACGCCCCTCCAGAAGCGTATCGCCCAAACGATCGCTGACTCCACTGCTCAGTGGGAGCAAGCTTGCGTACGTGCAGTCAAGAGTATGATTCCCCCAGGTGTACTCACGAGAGAGTTTGTACCTAGTTGAAGGCTGGCGGTGGTCAGCAATGCAACCCCATCTCCCAAACCGCCTTCACGTCGCTTCTGGCCGCAGGCAAGAACTGCGACCAGCAAGATGCAGCCGATCAGATGATCGACCTCGCCAAGCAGCTCAACAACGACGCTGAGATGATCCGCCTGGCCCAGATATTCGTCCAGCAGCCGCGGAACGCCCCTGACAGCTTGCAAGTTCCCTACTGCCAGACGGCTCCCAAGAACGAGGAGTTGAACGGACTTTTCCACTGCCAGTTCGCTGGCTCAGACTTCACCAAGTTCAGCGGTGATCAGACTGGCAACGTCCCTCTCGGTCTGACCGCCGTGAACCCTCCTGGTTCTTGCCCGGCCAAGCCTGACGGCCCCGTGCCTGACGGGGTTCAGCTGAACACACTCGTTACCAGCCCCGGAACACCTGGGTAAGTGGTTCCGGTGTTGCGGCAAATTATTCGTGTTTACGTATGTGTAGAAGTTCAAGTGGCAACTCTACCGGTGAAGCCTCTACTACTGCGTCTGCCTCCGCGTCTGCGACTGAGTCTGCTTCGGAGACGGAGTCTACGGCCACCTCTTCCGCCGCCGCCGCCAGCTCCGCTGTAACTGGCAACTCCGATTCTGATGGTGCCGCAGCCGGAAACAACACTGGCTCCGGAGGTGCTGCCGCCAGTGGAAGCACCAAATCGTTCACTCTCAGCAACGGTCAGGAAGCACAGAAGCAGAATGCCCAATTCGCTACCCTGTCCGACTCGGATTCGTGCACTGATGGCGAGAGCGCCTGCGTGAACGGTGGCTTTGCCCAATGTGTCGGCGGCAAGTTTGTCACCACCCAGTGCGCTGGTGGCACTCAGTGCTTCGCCCTCCCCCTTGTCAACAGCGCTGGCACTGTGAGTGATACCAGTCTCGCTTTCTTGGATTGGTTTCTCATCTCTTCTTTTAAGTCCATCACTTGCACGACGGAGGCTGATGCCACCGCCCGTATTGCCGCAACTGGCGCTACGGGAGGTATCACTGGGAGCAACTAAGGGGGACCTATCGGGTCAGGTGCCTCTTGATGGGGTATCTGGAACGGAGCCGGTTGTTCAGGAAAGTGACAAAGACGTGAATGCTTACCTTATCTATTTACGGGTAATGTACAAGCTAAGTAGCCCTCCCTGCCCTGCATGGGTTGCGCATGGAATGAGATGCAGGTTCACCCATTTATGTCCAATTGAGCTGAGTATTGAGGCGCGAATGATTAACGATAAATCGATGGCCGCAATTCGCTCTCATGAGGCACGATCGCGACGCTCATCGACGTGACGTTGTGACAAGCATGTGACGACCGCGTTTGTGGCAAAGATAGTTGACTCGTTGTTGTCCGAGTTAGCTGGCCGCAAGCTCGCCGTATAACTCGTCGCTTCATGACTACTTGTCGCTGTCATTGAGGACGTCATGTCATGGAAAGGGCATTTTGACCAAGGCGTTAAGGCGTTCCGATCCTCCAACTTGGAAGACGCACTAGATCACTTCACAAAGGTGAGCTGCAGCCCTTTAGTCTCCAGCTTACCTACCTCCTCTGTTCCCAGGCTATTGAAGCGGGAGGAAATCATTATAATCTCTACGACTCCCGCGCAGCGGTCTTGGAGAAGCTAGGCCGGACGAAAGACGCGCTTAGGGATGCCAAGGCTACAATCGATGCAGGCCCGTCTCAATGGCAGGGTTACGCGCGGTCGTCGAGACTTTTCTTCAAACTGCAGAAGTATACGCCTGCTGTGACTATGGCTGATTTGGCTCTCGAGAGGCTAAAAGAAGGGGATCAAAAACGTGCGGAAGACTTGCGTCTCATCAAAGGGAATGCTGGAGCTGCTCAGGCTGCTCTTGCTCGGGAGAAAAAGAAACAACATGCAGCAACTTTCTACCATTTTGGTAAACTTCCGGTGGAGATCATCGGCACTATATTCTCCTTATCTGTCGAGGAGGACTCTGCCCGTGTCATTGTCTTGTCACATGTCTGCCAGCATTGGCGAGACATCTCGCTGAAGACTCCGACTCTCTGGAGTACCTTGGTCCTCTCGCGCAAGCGTCCTGGCAAGAAGGCAATGCTGTGGGATGCCCGCTCAGCTGGAATGGTCAAGGACTTGAGCATAAGAAAGGATTTCAGTGACACCGACCTAGCGCCAAACTTACCGCGCTGGAGTTTCCTACGGAGTTTCCGGACCTCATCGTCACTGTTGGGCTTCCACCATATATTGCATCCACTCAATGCCCGCGAGCAGGAACACTTGCTCCGGAACATACAGGAGATAGCCTGTGAAGCTGGAGACCCAAGCAGTCTTTCCAGTCACCCAATGCCAGCACTACGGCGTCTGGAAGTCCGTTCGATCTCCTTCGATTGGAATGCATTCTCTGTCCAAGTATCCTCCCTCCGTGAATTAATTGCGTATGATTGTCCTTTATTTATGGACGGGGTGCTGTCCTGTTTACGGGCCAATCCCATGCTCGAGACTCTATCGTTTGCCGGAGGCTTGACCGAACATATGCTCATGGGTATCAGACAAGACGACGATGTCATCCCCTTGGCCTTACCACATCTCCGATCCCTGGAACTGGCCCATTGTAGTGTCTGGTCAGACTTCCTAATCTCTATGATATCACTCCCTTGTCTCGAGACTTTGACACTCACCGCACTGCGTGGTCGTCAAGATCCCAGTCTACAGAAACTTATACATGATGGCGTGCAACATCTTACGGAGTTCAGGATGCAGAAATGCAGTGTATCTCCATCTACTATTCTCAAACTTCTCCGTGCTGCCGATGCGCTCGAGACACTCGAGGTGTCTCATATAGGAGGGGATGCTACCGCTCGCATGGGTGGAGACATAAACGATATTGTCGAAGCCCTTGCTGCCCAACCTCCGGCTGGGTCGACGCCACTATGCCCTTCATTACAGCACCTAAATGTTTCACACTGTCCCGCTATCAAGACAGGGCCACTTGTCCGCCTTGTCAAGTCACGTTTGACAGATGGACAGAGCGCTACGACGGCGGTTGACTCGGAGCAGGTCGAGAATTCTGTCCGACGTGTCAAGCCGCTGCAATCTCTGGTAATGGATGGATGTCCACTAATCGAGGCGGAAGCATTACCCTGGCTCAGAAGCAAAGTACCTCTTGTGAGTTGTGTCTATATGACGAAGAAGGCCGCGCAATACAAGCGATGAGGGCGTGGCTCTGCTCCTAAGCCGCAATCACCATGTTGTGCAGTTTCTACACTACCGCAGTGGATGGCTTGACACAAAACGAGTAGTTGCCGGGCAGTAGGAGGTCCATCGCGGGTGACATAGGTCCGGCGCGCCGGGCTTTGTCGTTAAGCGTCGTTAGATCTCACATGCATAATGTGGGGTGTGATAGTTGTGCGCTGTTTGTCATAATTCGATACCTTCGAGGTTTGTTCCCTGTAACAGATAGATCAGTCAGTCATCTGAGATGCGGGACACTCGACTCACTAATTTCGGTAGACGGATATAGGCGTCGGTTCCTGAGTGAAAGTTAGATATGCGCAAACATTACGAAGGGAGCCCACATACCCCAACCGTCTAAAGAGATGAGTTCAAGGGAACCTCCGAAGTACCTACAATAATGCTCAGAAGGAGGGGTTCGCCATTCGCGTCTGCACGTACCTCGCGAAAATGTTACTCATCGGCAGTCCAATACCGATTCTGGGATGAGGGGCAACGCCTGCCTCCGTCTCGATATCATCCGACCGCGCATCAACATCAAAGCTTGGTGCGGAGTCCCGTCTGCGTCGCTTCCACCACTGTAGTTGTTCGTCGACGGTAGCTTTCATGCCCTGTTTACTGGAGCTGACTGTGCGAAGCGCTCCGATTCGCGACGTTTCCAAACGCGCAGCGTTGCGGGTATGGGAGAAAGAGAAAAGGTCTTGTGGTGACCTTATATATGGCATCACCAAACCACCTCCTGTAAAGCGATTTAACGCTTTGATTACTCTTCCGGAAGTGGAAGACATGCCTTGATCTGATATGCGGATTCCGATTTCGTCAGTACTAGCAGCAATGGTTGCATGTATAGGGGGCAACGTAGACTTGTCGAGATGTTTCAATCCAGTAGCACGCATCGACTGAGCATATGAGTTGCGTCACGGATGAGGAGGATATACTATTAAGGTCGAAATAACCCACATTCTTCAGCAGTTCGAAGACTATGTATCTGTGTGGGATCTTAGTTTGGGTCATAATTCCAATAGGACTGGCGTACTCGAGGTGTTCCCTGATATACGAGAACTTCGCATTCAGATGGCCCTCCACTACGACTTCCGGCCACTCTTTATCTTGATCTGGCATGTCCACTCCATCTTCCTCAAGATCAAATCGACGGTCCCTAAGGAATTTCACGCATTTGTTCACGCTCTCGCTGATGTTTAAGCCAGTATCGATGATACCGACATCCCCAGAGCGTGAATCGCGCCGCGCAAAGTGTTCTGACAGAGCTATATGATGCTCTGCAAGGACGCGCCGAGATATTCTCGAGACTAGCATGCGTCGCATGAAAGAATCCAGCTGGTCCGGAGGGAGATAAGGGGATGACAGTGATAACCCGAGAGAAAGGCTAGGGATAACTGCCGCACTAGAGACCACGTAAGGTTGAGCATGGCTGATCAGAAGGACAAGGAGGTGTAGCGTTATTACTGTTCTTCGAGAATGTCACGCAGGAATGCGCAGAACGCCTCGTTGTCGGACAAGGTTTTGATTTCTGGATACCGGCGGAATCTGGAACCCCAGACGGCGTGAGGATCGAGCGTATTCAGAGTATAGCTCCCTACTTCTCGAATGCGGACCAGTATAGCTGTATTCGATCATAGTTCGCCTGAAAACCTTCCATTCATTCTACCGACCACGTACCTCATAGACCCGGGCTACGCCTTCCTGCGTGACTACGACATATGGTAGAGCTTGGAGGTCCCGTATGCGATGTGCTATACGAACAGGTAGTTCGGTCCGAACATAATTCCCGCTCTATGTTGCATTAGCCAACGATGCTCTTGAAGTCATGTACGCCAGTCATGAACCTGGATTAACCGCTCCTCATTCATAGATCGGCCAAAGAAGACCTTGACGTAGGATTCAGAATAGCGACCTTGCGTGCCAATGCATGAACAATACCAGCTGCCTCAGGGTTAACCTCTTGGTCTGCTTCGATGCATACAACTCCAGCTGCCTGTTTTGATAGAAATGCAAGGCAGTGGACTGGCGGCGTTCAGTGTTGACGCCGTGCGTGACTGGAGCGCGACGCAAAAGCCGTTTCATGGCACAAGAACGACATATCCAAGGGGTCGAGGTTGTGAGAGCAGAAATCATAATGCACGAGGAGGGCAACGCGCGCAGGACTTAGCGGAGTTGACGGCACCGAGTCATAGCAGTGAGTGACAACCTTGATACAGAGTTGGATATCAATTGGGTGTGTATATTTGCAAATCCTGACTTAGCCTATGGCACGTCGATAACAAGCTCAAGTACGACTTCAGGCTACAACATTTGTATACGTGCACATCCTCTCGAGGACAGACAAGAAATAAGACATGGCGATATTGATAGTGTCAGAATATACCTTCCGATCTCAGTGCACCAATAATCAGGAACGCGGACCGGCGATCACGCTCTAAACCTATCCAGTCTCCTTTCCTTTGAACAGGCAAGTCTTGGTCACCAGAAACAAAGATATCATCGACGATCTCTTCTTGCTTATCCTCAATATTGTCCTCCTCTTGTTCACGATCCCAAAGTACCTCTTCCCATTGCGAGTCGCTGATCGTGACTGCTACAATCTTCGCGTCGCGGACATTCGGTAGTATAGCGGTGAGGAGGTTCGATAGTAGCTCCGAAGCACTATCCGCTGTCTGGGAGTGGAGGACGGGCAAAGGCCGATATTCGGCCTATCCATCTGCGTGGGTGCATGCAGATTGACGAAGGGAGCGGCAAACGTACCTCAAGAAGCATACCTTTCGTGGAATTAGTGCCGCCCCCTAACAACACCGTTCCCGCACGAACAATCCAGTCACTGCCAATGGAGAAGATCCGGCCTTCTATCCTGACCTGGGAACCGGAGGAGGATCCTCTTTGGGAGGTATCAGGTGCTGATTGTCGCGACGACACCCATTTTGCTTTCAGTTGAGCCAAGAGTTGCTCCAGGGCGCCAGGCGGTCTAAGGGTCAAGAACGTCGACCGGTAATGTGATGGATCCGGTACGGGTTGGGACGGGTCTAGAGTAGCAACATGTTGCAAGAAATCTGCTCGAGTAGGTGCCATGGGATCCTCTAGGACGACAAAGACGTTGTTATCCATAGTAAGAGCAGCCATGGAACGCTCAGCAGGTATTTGGAAACCAGGTATTGTACCCAGGGTGGATCGGTAGGAGCGGATAGACAACTGCCATTTACCAATCACAACACCCTAAGACATCCAAAGTTTGACGGAAATTAAACGCTATACCAAGAGTGGTGTACGCACCGCATAGTTGTGTTGAATATTTTCCGTAACGAGATCCAGTCCAGTGCTGGGCGCATTAGTCCATCGAGCCAGCCTATCCAAACGTCAGCTTTAGTAAGAGCTTAAAGCAGCTCATAGGCCGACCCACTGAAGCCCATAGTCAACAGATGTTTGTAGGGAGACGTGAGTATCAGTAAGGTTTGGCAGTAAGCAGAAGTGTGGCAAAATGGCCAATTGCAACGGCGGTGACAGTAGTCACGGACGCAGTTATGGGTGTGACCCGTCGCGTTCCTTGTACGCGTCGCGTTATCTGCTTGCCACACCGTGACCGGAGAATCAACTCGACGTCCTCGAACTCGCGTCTACTATCATCATCGCTGTCGTCGGACTTGTTATACATGCCTCCAAGACGCAAATCAGCGCCTGACGCGTCCACGTCAGCTGCTCCGGCTACATCTTCCAGGCCTAGGACACGCTCCCAGAAGCCCGCATTAGAGGTGCCGGCATCACCGCCCCCTCCACCGAAACGGCGCGGTAGACCTCCTGGAGCCAAGCCTGCTGGCTCTAGCAACAGCTCTGGTCAAGCAAAGCGTACAGTGGCTACCTCTAGCAGTACGCGCAGTAAAGCCCGCGGGAACGACACCCAGCTCGTGGTCGAGCCGATCGAAGAGGTTTCTGAGGATGAGCTGAATATCTCTCCCTCGAAACGAAGATCTACGAAGGATACGAGCTCTACTGCAGCAACTAAGACGGAACCCAAAAAGAAACCCCGTATGTTTATGCATTCTGTGGAGATTGCTTCTCGGCCAAAACTCTCCTCGCAAGGTGCAAGGGCCCCTGCTACCCGAGGGCGTAGAAAGCTCGAAGAAGCGGACGATGACCAGAACCCAGAGGTTGTGCCTTTGCAGACCCCGTCATCCCCATCGAAGAGAACTAGAGCAACGGAGAATCCCCCGACTACGCCTGCCAAAAGGCGAACGCCGTCACCAACCAGGTCCCCGGCGAAGCGCATGAAACTCACTCATGCACCAGAGTCTCTATCAAAGTTGCCCCGTGTATTACCTAAAGAATTGCATGAATCTCTCGACGCTCAGAAAGCTGCTGTATTGGTGGCACTGCAGCATCTCCCAATGCAGCAGCCACGGGCTGACGAGGAGGATGAAGATGAGGAAGCCCCTGCAAACGAACTGACTCTTCAACAACTGGACGACCTGCTGAGAGGTACAGTGGAACGTGGGGAAGGCAACTCCTGCCTGTTAATCGGTCCTCGTAGTAGCGGGAAAACGCGAGTAAGTTATATTATCTGTCGCGCACCTGGGGTTCCCTTACAATCACTACGATAGATAGTTGAAACTGCTCTGGCATCTCAATCCCAGAAACCAATTGTAATCCGTCTATCCGGTCACGTCCAGACCACAGATCGCCTGGCTATGCGCGAGATCGCGCGCCAGGCAGCTCAACAGACGGGCTCTTCCTTTTCAGCCGACGCTGAAGTGGACGGCGTCGCGGACGAAGACGACGACGTCCCAGTTGCACTTCCCCCCTCATCGCACCTCCCCGCCCTTATTTCGACACTACCTACACTCAAGCGTCCCACAGTAATTATCCTAGAGGCATTCGACCTATTTGCACTCCATCCCCGACAAGCTCTGTTGTACTGCCTACTGGACACCGCTCAGAGCTGTCGTGTCGGTGACGACATGAAAGGCGTCGCTGTCATCGGCGTCACCACCCGCGTGGACACTATCAACCTGCTCGAGAAGAGAGTGAAGAGCCGCTTCTCGGGCCGTATGCTACGAACTGCCAGTCCGAGAAGACTGACGGATTACATCGCTGTAGCGAGGGGTGCACTCACTACGCCTCCCCCAGACAATATCAAAGCCGAGGAATGGTCGCCGCTGTGGAATAAAGCGGTGGAGCAATTCCTCGCTGACCGGGCAACAAGAGAGATCTTCAACGAGACGTTTGCCTTAACCCGCGACGTGTCTGTATTAAGCCGAATACTTGTAAGGGTTTCTGTACAACCTAGCATGCATTAAATTGACATCACTCCGTCGTAGACAGCGACAATCGTTGGTCTTACACCGCTGAACCCATTCCCAACGGCTGTCCAACTCACCTCCGCGGTGGCTGAGCAGCGATGTCCCCCTAGACTGTCCTTCCTGCAATGTAAGTATTGACGCGTCCTTTAAGCCATGTCCCCGACTGACCACGAGCACCTTCAGCACTCTCCTACCCGTGCATGTGCCTCCTCATAGCCGCTACCCACGCACGGACGAGCGGACACGATGCCTTTACTTTCGAGATGCTCCACGAAACATTCCGAGATCAAGTGCGCACATCCTTGTCGGCCCCTGTTCAAGTAGAAGGCGGCGGCATCGGCATGATGAAATGTACACGGGAAGTTCTGCTGGCAGTACGTGCTTCTCCGCTTCATAGTAGTTCGAGCACCTTGTAATTCCTATAACCTGCAGGCATTCGAGTATATGATCAGGGTGAGGGCCTTTGTGATGTCTGGGCCTTCTTCATCGAATGTCGCGAAGGAGTTTGGAAAGTACAGGTGTATGGCTGAGCGGGAGGAGGTGAAGAAGATAGTAGATAGACTTGGACAGACTAACTTGAAGAAATGGTTCAGCAAGGCCAAATAGACACGTTACTACTTCGATCGCGGTTCTCGGGGATTTTACAGGGAGCCCAAACCGAGCATGCCAGAACGCTGACTGCGTCCTCGATAGTACTTCATCCGGAAGGTAAGTGCCAAATACAATACACGGACTGCGAGTAGCTCTATTCTGTCTGTCGTGGCCACCAGTCGGGCCACCAAGGGGAGATTGACCAATTGGTCTTCTGTTCACCTTCCTCAAATGACAGACCGATATCGCCCTTCTCCCAGCCCTCAACGTGCTCCAACCGTAATAGAGCGAGGCCCACTCCTTGCGTGGAGCTCAGCAACTTCCCGGTGCCTCGCGGCCGTGGCATCGGTCTGCTGTCATCAGGTGAATGGTTGACGGAAGCGCGAACATCAAGGCCTGGCTGGAAGGTCGCTCCGTTTGCCGGTAAGGTCCCTGTCTTCAAGGGGCTAAGGAGGGACAAGTTAAGGCCTGGGCGTGCTATGCATATGAAGCATACTTACGCCTCATCACCTGAGTGGATAATCACAGGAAGGACCCGTTTTCTGACAACGCCGGTATGGTACGTGCGAACTGTCAGCTCCTGACCGACGTAACATCCCTTCCGGAAATCCACTGCACAGAGTCAGAGTGGCGTTGACCTACGAGTTTATCATGGCACTCACATGCACCCATTACGTCCAAATTCGAGTCCATGGGGAAGGCCTGCATGGGCACAATGTCCGTACTGGACTCGGGGACACCGTGCAGTATCCGGTGAAGCAAGTAGGCATCATGCTGAGCCTCGTCGTGGGTAGCGGCCTCGGGCGCTGGAAGTAAGTATTGGTATCAGCCAGACATCCCGCCGACCCTATCCCATTCTTACGTCTGTCGCCCTTCCTCACAAGCCTCCTATGCCCCATACCCACGGCGCGTCTGTCCCGGATAAGACAGTCCTCCGCACCCCACGGCCAACCCTCGGAGGCATCCCAGACGGGCTCGATAGCACCGCTCCGAGCAAAATTCCACTTCCTCGGAGTCTCCCAGATGCTCTCCTTCTCAGACCCCCAGGACGCCCAGACGTCATACTGATCCGACGCGTCGCGGATCTTTACCTTCGAACGCAGGACGTACCGCTTCAGCATAGGCATGAGCGGCGGCGCTTCGGGCGACCGTGCATCGTACTCTATGAGGTAGCTCTCGCCCCCTTTCATCGGGTCGGTCTGGGTGTATACAAAGACATCGTAGAGCACTCTTCCCTGTAGTAAGCTTTTGAGTAGATTGTTATGATCATGTCCAGTGTCTGTGCGTACCTGGGCATGCAAGAAGGAAGAGAAGAACGGATTTCGTTGCGCAAGCGGAACGGTCGAGGAGAGAATACCGTTCAGAAAGTGCGGCGCATCGGAGCCAGAGACCGAAAGGATGGACCTGTGCGGGACGGGTGCGACGGTGGGCGTGTGTCGGAAGAGAGCTCGCAGGGCTGGTGGCGGCATAATGGAAAGCAAGTCCGGCTCGGACCGGCTGCCGGACTTGCTCTTCATCGCTGCCCGCCATGTCCTGCGAGCCTCTCCTTGCCGCCCTCAAAGAGTGCATTCTACGCTCGGACTGCGTCAGCAAGCAAGGTCTATTGCCGTCGGAGTGCTTGAAGCACCATGCTGATGAGCTCCCTGAGGAGTGCCAGTCCCTGAGGCAGGCGACATTTGAATGTAAAAGAGGAATGGTGCGTGCTACGCTATTAGGATGTTATAAATTCGCGCTAAGGTGGACGGCCTCTAGCTGGATATGCGGAAACGATTTAGAGGGAATAGTGCTGCCATGATGGCGAAACAGTTGAAGAAAGACGGTCCAACGACATCAAGTCCGGCGCCAGCCAGTGCTAGTGATGCCTCATAGCACGAAGCTTTGGATCTTCGCCCGTATGCTTGCCTTTCTCCTAGCCCATCCTAATGGCTAGTACTCCAGGTGCTAGCGCGCAACCGCAGGGGAAATTCCCTGTTGTCCTTGCTTCTTGCACAGCCAGTTAGTACTAGGGCATCCAGTAATGCAAAATACTACGCGGAGCCTGCTGGAAGCAGCGCGTATCTTGTAGATGTGTTGCCACGTGTTGTAACACCAGGTCGTATTATGGTGACACTTCTCATCAATAATACAGCGACTACTAATACACTCCTTAAGAGATACCACATCACTCCATGTCAACGAAGTCCCCTTCATCGAGATCATGGGGCTAGAGAATGCACTATTAGCGAAACCTCAATCAACAGTGTCACCCTCGACGCACCTCTTTTGGTTCTTCGTCTTCACCGTACTGCATGGTGTAGTCAATGTGGCTCAGGACCGTTTCTAGCGAATCGGGGCTCGAGAGGTCGAGAGGTAAAAACGATACTAGGGGATGATCCTCAATCTGTCGGGCGAATTCCCCTGTCAGATTAACACTGTGGAAGCACGTCGGTCAATTACGCACCAGCTGGACAATGGCCTGGTTGAGCGCATGGAATCGAGGGTTCGTGCTCGTCGCAAGATCCCCACTGCTTTCCCCAAACGGCGCCGCTATGAGTAATGGGTCGGGATCCAGATACCGCGCTATGTCTTTCCGTTTCCGGATACCATTTCTGCCAGAGGCGGGATCTTCGCTGTTGGACGTGACAAGATCCATTTTGGACATGATATTGATCCAGGGAACTTCTAGATTCACCATTGCAGACATGGCAGAGAGAACACCGCTGTGTGTGATAGAGGATTTAAGTGGCGATCGGCATAAATGGAGAAGATACACTGACCTGAAGAATTTGTACTTGTCTTCCATGAATTGCGATTCAAGGAGGTATGTGGAGCATACCCGCATGCCCGTTCGTTGCAGGTCACGAACGAGGGTCGGAAGGAATGGATGGTGTGTATACAACTCGATCTGGCCTTCGTAACAGAGGAACCATATATTTAGTACAATTCATGACTACCGATATATGGTACACGTACCTGGGCAGTCAAATATGAGATAGTCATTCTCGTACTCCCCCAGCTCCTCTTCAAGCCAGTCCATATTTTCCAGCAAATACCTACATCACCCCGCCCGTAATGAGCTATTGTCCAACCCCCCAACCGCCGTCTGCAAAAGATAGAAGCGCACTCACTCACTCAAAGCAGTACACCAGCCCGCCATTCGGTCCATACTCCAGCTCCCCCATGACGTCCTCCAGGCTGATCAAGTCGCGGATGTCGATGACCGGCTCGTACTCATGCGACTCTGGGTTCGCGGCGGGGTCGAGGTTGACGAGGTGGGCAGTGCGTTTGGAGGCGACGAGGTGGTTCATGAGGGCGCCGCAGAAGGTGGACTTGCCGGCTCCTGCTGGGCCGCAGACGAGGACTGCGTAACGCATGGCGAGCAGAGACCCTTGAGAGAGATACAACCTGAAGCCGTCCAAGTTGTCCGAAGAGTGCGAGAAGAATTTGTAACTCCGATCGCGCTCAGTTCACTGCTAGTAATCACGATCGTCCAAGTAGTCACCTTTACAGGCTTTACTAGTACACCTGTTTCATCTGTCTCGTTCACCCACACACGTCCGTACCGCAGCCATGTCGAGGACGACGCTCCCTCCCGTTAATCCCGAGAAATCGCTGGCGGGCATAACCGTCGACCCAAAGACGCTCGAGCGGGTCATCCCTGAATCACGCAGGCCAGATGGCTCGTACGTCCCCTCCCCTCGCGATCGCCACTCGTGATATTCATTCCACACGCCCTCCACGGACACAAATGAAGAGTGCGCAAGCAGCTCAAAGTGCGACCGGGGTTCACGCCACAGGAGGACGTGAAGCGTTTCCGGAGCACGAAACAGGCCCAGATAGAGGCTAACCAGCTCCCGAAGGGCCACATCGTCGGCTGGGTGCCCCCGCCTAACGCAGCGAAGCCCAAGCCTGCGGGGGAGGGCTCAAAGGCTGCTGTGAGTAAGACTGCGGCGAAGAATGCGAAGAGGAAGGAGAAGAAGAAGGCGCAGAAGGAGCAAGAGCATTTGGAGAAGATCAGGGATAATTGGGAGAGCAGCGAGGATGAGGCGCCTGAAGCGAGCAAGAGCACAGATGGGGCGAGAGGCAAGGAGCCAGAGGCTGGGGCGCATACAGGGGACAAGCCAGAGTCTGCTGCGGCCCCTGCTGCAGGCACGTCGGACGCAGACGGGTTGTCTGAGAAACTTGAGAAGCTCAATGTCAAATCATGAATATAATCTGTATGTTTATTTGTATAATTAGTTCGATAGATACCTGCGATGCACGCCCATATGGTGGTCTATATGCTACATCTCGAGCATCGTCGTGGACGCCGAATATTAGGGAGGCAATAAATAGGAGTACCGATGTCCGCCGACCTCTGTGAGTCCCTTGCCCGAGCATAATATCGTCTTGTACACCAATCTGATACACACGTTGATCCTTCTAATGCGCTCTAGGATTTGCAGTCCAGGCTTGCTATGTGATATAGTCTGTGTGCTCGAGTCCCTCGGCTTCGGGATGGCGCACCTCCTGAGGGGGCTGTGGCGGCGGCTTTGGGGGAGCCTTGGGTCTCAGCTCAAATGAGAGGATAATCAGGACTACAACGCATGCGAGGGATGCTGGAGGAGCAACCGGTTGTAAGAACGGTGGCATGGAGTATCGATCCTGGGTCACTCACCGACTGTTCTCCACATGATAACCCATTTGACTTCCTCCATAGTTACTCGGAGATCACCCAAGGTCACGATCGACTTATTCAACACTTCCTGCGTCTGGCGTGAGTAAGGCGTTTCTGACCTTGCATCGAAGAGAACGCACCTCGATCATGATATCCTGCCGCTTCAGTTCCGTCTTGTACTCCGTCTTTCGATTGTCCAGCTCCATCTGCAGCCTAGCGAGACAGAATAAGCGTCATGATGATGAGTGGGCCTATAGAGACCTACTCGTGCTTCAGTGTATTGATGCTCTCCTTCATGGTCTGATCGAGGTGCTCAACCTCACGCCTTAAACCAGCGGTATTGGCCTTGATGGCCCCGACTTCGTTCCCGTGGCGAACATTAATCTCTGCTCGTAGTTCAGACAGCGCTGCCCGGAATAGGTAGGCTTGCTGAACATGAAGTGGGATCACACCGCAAGGGGCCGTCCTTCAGTTATCAGGCTGTCACAACGCGAGACATAAGCACAGAACTCACGTTCTCGAGATCCTTCACAGTTAGTCCATCCCTTCTTACTCTCCCTATTCGGTCGACAAGCAGCGCCCGGGTAGCTCTCATAAGCCCCCGGGCTATAGGTGTCGGGAACGTCTTCTCCAGCACTTGAAAGAACCGGTGCGTGTGGAACGGCGGGCTTGTGTATTGCGGAAGAGAGGAGTGAGATAGTGGAGGGGATACATGAGGCGAAGGCAGATTTGACGGATCGCTTTGACTAGGTCCCAGAGGCGTCGAAGGACCCACGACGCCCTCACCAACGCTAGCGCTGGTTAGCTGGGGTGTGGACGGATCCTTGGGATGCGGATGCAGTGATACGTCCCGTGGAAGGTCGTCAGGTGTACTTGGATTTGGTCGCGGCGGGTCGGATATTGTCTGGGATGTGGTGTGCGCGTCCCGGTGCGGACTCGGGATTATGGAAGTTGACGAGGACGGTAAATGGATGTCCGTGTGCAAGGAGCGGTATCTTCTTGAGAACTGGCGCGCGATATTCGAATACATAAACAATAACTGAGATTAGGCCGGTCGGGATGAGAAACTGGAAGGTTGGTAAGAGTCAGTAAAGGAGTGTACAGCACGGAGATTTACCCACGTGTATAGCACACCTCGATCTATATTGATCGCATGTCGAAAGGCTGGCTTGACAGTAGCCACATCTTGAATCTGTGGCATTCTCGGTGGTACTACTTGTCATACTCACTGCAAAGTCAGAAATCTGTTCGCAGATACGTTAAGTGTGTGATGTAAGTTCAGATGACTCCCACCAAGCCGGCGGGCCTATGCTGCGGGGACTGTCTGTCTCAACCCGCTGACTTGCTGCAAGCTAGAGCTCATACAGCGAGAGCTATGGCTTTGCGTATCGTTGCGCACATCTCGCTCGGTCTTTCAGTCTTGATCTACCTCGGCTATTCCTCCCAGCAGCTCAACGAGGAGGAGAAGCGCAGGCCCCTGGCCTTCGTCTGCCGAAATGCGGTTTACGACTGTAGCCTCCAGGATTGTCCGTACCCGTTCTTCACGCTATCAGAGACACACCCCCTCCTTCACCGTGTCCTCCCTGATGCCACAACGAAAGCGCTGGATTGGTTTACTTGTTTCGTGACGCCGGCGTTCGTTGCAATGTATAGTGATCCCTGGGGCAATGCGGTTATCGACCTCTTCAATCCTGTCTTCTCGGTTCTTATCGCCTGGGCAGCGGTTGAATCCTTAACGGGGCGGTCTAGAGGATGCCTCGCAAAATGGATAATTAAAGCTACCCCCATTACGTTCGCACTCGGGCAAATCGGTGAGAGACATAATCTGCATTGTGGGCAAGAATAGAGCCTGATCGTAGTCCGCATTTGTCTGTAGTGACTATAGGAGCTGTCTCCCATGTATTACTTTTGCCTGCAATCCTTATTCTGCGTTGCAACAGCGAAGTTACTAGACTTCCCACTGCAATGCACCTGTCGACCATCCTGGTCCAAACTCTTACCATGATCATCTCCATGGGAATTACTACCGGCTCTCCAAAAGTAGGCGTGATTATCCAAATATGCATCCAGGGCTGAATAACGCGAACCCTTTCAGTCCGTTATGTTGTGGGCAATTGCCTTCCTCCAGCTCTCACCCGTGCTCGGTCCACTACTATATCTGACTCCCTGTTACCGCGTTATCGGGCTACCGTTCAAAAGCCTATTTTCGAAGAAGTCCGGTCACCCGCTGCAGACGTTCTGGAACTTGCTAGCTGCTGTCGCTATTCTCGCGCACCTCCAAGCGGTAGCCCGTATCATCGCACTGGTGTTGACGTACGACTCGCCCACCCCTGCGTTCTACGGCGTGCTACCGTCAACAGACTGGTCTTCAACCAAGCCGCCCCTGTCTATCGCCGCTATTTTCAGCCACCTCACGGCATGGCACGACCAAACGGAACTTGGTCGAGCATTGATCGTGTACGACTTCATGCTCACGTCATTGGCTTTGGCTGCACTGCAGCTACATAACTTCTCGGGCATCGGGGATGTCGTGTATTATGCGTCGCAGATCGTACTGCTAGGCCCCGCAGGAAGCTTCGCCATATGGCAAAGTAGGGCTTGTGAGAAGGATATTGCGGCTGTGGAGCGGCCGGGTAAGAAGAGAAAGTAGGGTTGTTGACAGGGAACGCGGAAGACATAGATGTGTACGCGAGTACATAGATTGACATCAGTCGTATGTATCTCCGTCCTTTATGGGCTAATCAGATCACTGCTTTAGCAGGTTATGTAACTGCTACCGGACGTCGTAGAGGCATGTCGTAAGCGCTGGTGGATCTGCATCTTCTGCCTTTAGAACTGCTCCTACGCAGAAGCTCAAGGAATTGGTGATTCAATTTGTGGCACTAACAGGCCCATTAGATTCAGCAGGTCTCCGGAGCTGGGGGGAATTAATAGCTCCCGGTTCTTTATCGGTATATCAGCTCAGAGGTCAGCTCTTCAAGCCTCAAGATGTCCTGGGATGTTGCACTTGTTTCTGTGAATTCCTGTTATTATTAGTAGGGGGAATTCTCGCGGGGAGCGCAGATCAACCGGCTATCGTTTAAACTAACACTGGCTGCTATATACCTAGTACCTACGCGCTTAGGTTGCATTCATTCCTTTACCTTCCGCGGTGATACGCGGGAGTTCGCGGTTATAGTTTGATGCAAGGTGGTCGCCCCGAGCGTAAGTGCATGTCTTCATTGCTCGCCCAGCACCACGTCAGGGGCAGCGTAGCAGCACCCTGATTTGCACTGCGCGCCCAAGCAAGGAATCCACCCTTCCGTCGCAGTATGAAGCACCAAGCAGCGTGTTCGTAGAGTTCATGCCTGCTGCCACCCTTGATGCCAGCCTCGAGGCTACGTTCCTTCTCGCTCATGGCGTCACCATAACCCGGATGCCACTCTGCACAGCCACGCGATTGCAATCTCTCCCCGAGATCTACCCGCCACGTGTTCTGCCACCGCGACGACTGCAATCAGCGAACAGGGTCAAGTATAGCTGCACCCATTCAACGTCTTCTAGCCTCGAAGTCCTTCATGTGCCTCGAGATGCCTGAATACTCCTACTACCCCACCGGAAATGCTGAGGTAATCAAGCAACTGAACATGAGCAAGCATCCCGAGGGAGGTGCGAGCAGTTGTGCTCCTGCCGTGCGTCTCTGATAGACTGCCCGATAGGTTACTTTGCGGAAACTGATCGGCGGCCCGAAACTGTTCCGTCTCCTTTCGCCGGTAAGTCCTGCAGTTTCTCGAAGGTGGACGGACGGAATACACACCAGCGCACGTCTAGATAATGCCACTCGATCGCTCGCTACCTCGATATTCTACTTACTGACGCACGAAGAGCCCAATGGATATATTCATATGAATAAATCAGTGGTAGGTATCTACAATATCTAGTTGCAGCAGGCGTCCGACTGAGGCTCTTGTAAGACCTATCACGTCCTCCACCACGGCCGGGCAGAATACACCCTCATCCACCCAGGCAGCCCTCCCCGCATCGAGAAGAAAATCGTCGGCACAAACGCTGCCGCAGGGGAGCTGCGCCAGCTGCTCGTCGGCACAGGCGTCTGGAAGATGTCCCGCGTCCTACCCGAGGACCGCGCCGCTGCGAAGACCGACGAGGAGAAAGACCACGTAGGGTGCTTGATCACGGAGGTCGTCGTGCCCGGCTTCGCTTGGGAGGACCATCAGTATCTGACTCTCGATGGGCTGCATAAATTGTTTGCGGGCGTGGAAGGGGCGGAGGAGAAAATTAGAGTACTGAGCATCTTCATTCGTAAGAACTAGAGTACAGAGCCCTTAACAGTGTTAGAGCGTCGACCCTGTATGCATCGCACATACGAACAACAGGATGGCTGTGAACTTTAGAGCGTAACAGCATTTCCGCCCCCACCGCCTCTATCTGAGTCCTTGGGACACGCACGTTCAACGTCGTACGCGAGTTAGGCAAAGAGGAGGCATAGAGCTGTACCCCAGTCAACTGATTGTTGTACCAGTGGCGCATTGACACCCCAGTCGATAGGTCACCTGGATAGATATGACGGCGCCGGCGCCTCCTGTCGAGTCATCAAGGGAAAGATGTCAGAATGCATCGGAGACCCGTGATCAGCCCACCCCCCAGCGCCCGCCCTAGGCGCTCGGGAGCCGTCGCATTGAGTTTGTACACGGTTCATGATATCCCGCAGCACCTCGGCTTAGATACAGCGGCGCCCGTGGCGCGACGCCGTACCCCGATGCGCGGGTCGAACAGCTTGAACCGCGAATAAACCATATATCAGGAGATAGCGGGTGTCCACGCCATAGGGGGAGCATAGCTGGCAGTGTGTGGCGCGCGGACGTCTTGCAGCGCCTTTGTAGGAAGCAGTCTGATGGTGGCATGATGCATGTTGAGGGTACTACAAGAGAAGGGGGCGTTTAGCAGAAATGGGCGCTTCAGGATTAGCTTTAAAGGCCGGGAGGATAATGGGCGGGATATGAACTCGCCGGTGGGATCCCGCGGAAAACGTGCGGGGTGCGGCCTAGCATTCAGGTATGCCAATATCAGTCCAAGGGTGTCAAACAGGGGGCGGTTACCTCTTCGACGTTTATGAAAGAACATTGTATATACTGATGTCATCACCTGTCCGATTGCAGACTAGCCCGAGCAAGGACGAGATTGGCTCGCCATGTCGAATTGCTGTGAAATCCGAAGGATCGGGAGAGACCGCTGGATTGGCGTAGCGAGGGCAACAGACGTCGCTCGGGCCCTACAATCCCAGAAGAAGGCGGGGCGTTGATTAACTTCAGGGTGTATCGGACTTTAAGGAGATACTCGGTGGCTGATGCCACACACTGCTGTACACGGCGGTCATGCAGCCTCTACAGGTCGGCGATGAGTAAAGAGCCGCGCCATACGCAGCTCAAGCTAGTATACAGCCCGGTGTCAATCGGAAACTTGAGTTCGGGTCGGGGACTATACATTGACTTCGCCACTATTCAGCCCACGAATAGTATAGACTGCGGACGACGGAAAACGAACGTAGCACAGCAACGGAGACAGCGCCCTATGAGAGCGCAACGCTGTTTCGGGCTCGGGTTCGGCGCACGTTGAACGTGTTTCGTCATGGAATGCACGAATAACACGCCGGCGCCGGGATAGCTCAGGTAGACAAAGAAAGCGCGTTCTTGCTCGCAGTGCCACTTGTCGGTTCACAAGACGTGATTCGTGAGGACGCAGAGGCTGTACCGCCTCTTTTGCTTTCAGACACAGCCCTTGTGACAAAAGTCATGAGGATTTTCGCTGGTGATTCTTCCGGAACACACGCAGTCCCGGATCAAGCGCGAGGCATTACCAGAAGGCTCGTAGCAGAGGGAAAATCAGCAGTTTTCGAGGAGATGGATGGGCCGACAAAGGAGGTGAAAGCACAGATCAGGATTTGCGGGTTCGCGGGCGCCTATCTGGGAGATCCGGCAAGTCGCGGCATCTCCATTTCCTTAGCTCGTGCAGTCACTCATTCCACTTTGTGACGTGCTCCTCTGGGGCCTATAAAACAATGCCCGCCGTCGCCCTCCACCCGATATCTTTCTTCCCTCAAGCCACTCATCGCTCTGCCAATCCACCGTGAACCATGTCCTACTACGCATCGCCCTCCCACCATCGCTCTCATTCCCACCTCGGCTACTCCCAGTCCCAGTACTACCCGGCCCAGGGCTCGCAGTACTCGCAGCAGCCGGTCTACTACACATCCAGCGACAGCGGCCACCGTCGGTACAACTCGATGGGCGCGGGCGGCAACTACGCCTACTCGGTCCCCGCGAGCCCGTACCAACGCGGGCGCACGTACAGCGCGAGCCACCCCGGGCACGGCAGCCCCGCCGTCCAATACGTCTCCTCCCACCGCTCCCATTCGCATCGCAGACACAACAGCACCTCCTCGCCCGTCGTCGTCGATTTGAGAAGGCACCCGAGTCGGCATGGCACCGTGCACGTTCAGGTCAGTTGACAACATGTTCACTCGTGATTCCCATCAATGAACTGATCTTATCCCGCTCTTCTATCTCAGCCCGGTCGCTCTGCTTCCCACCATCGCTCATCTTCCCACTCTCGTAACTACACCGACCGGCACAGGCGCTACTCGGAGGGGCACCTCTCCTTCACCGACCGTCTGCGTCGCATGTTCGGCATTGGGCCGTGGGCTCACCATAATGGGAGCCACCACCACGGACGCGAGCGATACATTGACGCCAAAACCGGGAGAGAGACAGATCGCTGGGGCAGGCCGATCTACAGGGTCTGATCGGTGACCCTGAGGTTTTGGAAGCAGATCTTATTATAGGACTGCACGACGAACAAGCACACTGTTGGCCTTCTTGGTCGACGTGCTGCGAACAGCAGGAACGGGGTTCCTCGAAAGCATACCCCCAGGGCCCAGTCCCTTCGTAATCTACTCGGCATCGCGACCGATAACTTCTTGCCCTTCATCCAATCCGGACGCACATTATTTATCCTGCATCCACGCAGTCGCAGTACGTTGTACGAACCCTTATGAAGTATAATGCCATCTCGCCCTAGTAACCCCTTGTCATTATTAGTGCTTGTATACCGCATATGTTGTTTGTTATTAAAGTCTCGTTGCTATCTCAGGACTTGGGTTACTGCCATTGTACTACTTGTACAGCAATCGATCTTCGCTTGGCTAGGCTCTTGGTCGGTGCTGTGTGATCTCACCGTGTGCTACGTAAACCTGAGATCCTCAATCATGAACAAGACTGCGACCTGTTGTAGGATATCTGCTTCAAGCTGGAAAAGATAAGGATCTGCCCCTGATGCACCCCCCAGCCCGCGCTGCGTCCCTGAGCGTGTCGTGCCCAGCTCCAAGCTGGAGCCTGGAGTCACACTCGAAAGCTCTGTTGTCAGATCCCTGCACCAGCTCCACAACTCTAGCAGGATCTCGATCAAGATTCCCCTTCCCCGGTCCCGCTCCTCCCGAACACGTCCTGCCACGTTGGCGCTCAGCGTACACGCCACCCGCTGCTTCCCAGCTTCGGTATGAACAGACAGGAGTTCATAACCGTGCCCTAGGGTACCTGCCGTGTGGAGAAAGGGTCATGACACTCTGCTTCACTGCCAGCGTTGTGCGTCAGTTGGTGCTCGTGATCACGGAGGTACAAGTCACCAATGGCTGCTGTCTCATACCCATATCAGTGACAGCGAAAGAGGCTCTAATGTCATTCTATGCGTACAGCAGCAATTAGACGAAAGCAAATCATAAAGCGAATATAAGAGTGAATACACTTCTCGTACAGCAAAGAGAAACCTCGTGATAAGATTACAGGGCCAATGAAAACATAAAAGGCCACATCTTATGATATACCAATAGCGGGAAGAATATGCAATCTCTCCGCGTGAACGTAGTACGATACCCACGGCCAGTGTGTCGCGATTCGGAGAGGTGGTATCCAGGAAAGTGGTGAAGGACGTCCACTAGGTAGCAGATGACAATCGGTGGATCCGCTCGGCATCCAGCCACAGTTGAACCTGGGCAGTAATGTCCGACATCTTCCGCACCAGCTCGAGGCGCGCTCGGATGGCAGCTGGGTCATCGCGCTGACCTTCCCAGAGGACGGCCAAGCTGACTTCCACCTGGAGAACAATTTCGTCACGGTATTCGTAAAGTGAAGATAGGTCGACTTTACCTTCTCCGCCAGGGCTGCCAAACCTTCTTCGAGCGCCTCCCCAACAGCTTCAGCTGCTTGGGCGAGACGGTTCATAATCACATCTGCGCCTCCGGTGAAGACCTCGTCTTTCACATCATCGATGAAATCATGGAATACAGTCTGGACGTGACCAAGAGGATCAGGACGATATCAGTACATCAAAGGTCGAAACAAACCTTCTGCCGGGCAACACTTCCCTTGCCCCTTTCCAGCATGGCGCGGTCGTATCCCTCGATCAGTTGATTCTGCACATGCGGCGCTAAGCACCTGGACACTTCCTTCTGCTGATTGTTCATTGCTTCTCGGACCGTCTCTAGCGTCTTATTGAGAGTGACGCTGGCCTCTTCCAGGCTCAGCTCGGCTTGATTCCTTACGCGATCCTTCAGAGCCGGAGCCGCGGACTCTTCGACTTCCTCAACCAGCCTTTTGATCGCCGCCTTTGTATTCGCTTCGAAGGCCGCGAAAAGGTCAGCCTCGAAGACCTTGCTCCAAGAACTTGCAATGTTACGAGTCATGGGATTGATTAGCTCGACATTTAGGTCTTGTCTAAATGATCCATGGCGGCGAAGGGCTGCTGGTCATCAGCGGCTGTGTGCCTTGTAGCCCAGTAAGACTCACTTGCTCGATACGTAGCCCAATGCACAGAAGATGCGAAAGTGTCCGATGTAGTAAGGGCGGAAGAAGCAGCCTGCCGCCAGACGTTAGGACACGACACACAGTATTCTAATCACGACCAACCATCTCTGCGCCGGCCTGGCACTTCTCCTCGAGTCCATCCTTGAAGCGCGCCTGGACGTCTTCGATCGTCTTATTGATGATTCCCGCGAAATCCTGAGGGCTGATGTAAGAATGGATAATACGGCGGCTATACGACGGGGGCTGACCTTAATAAGGCGAGGAGTGACACCCGTCGGCTCGCCGTAAGCATCTACTTTCTTCGCGGGCTTTCCGTTCATGGAATAGAGGGCGCCCAGTTCTCCCAGGTCAGCCAAGTCAAAACCCGCATTCGCGAAGTCGCCAGCGCCATCGTCTTGAGGAGTTGACTCCCACTTCTCCCGCAGGGTTGCCCTATCAATCTCCGTAACCTCACCAATACCTTCCATATAAGTGCGAACAGAATTCGCGAAGGTTTTGAGGTGCATCAAGAAATTACGAGCAGCTCGCTCCCGCGAACTGACCGTCAAGGTGTGACACCACTGCTGCAGAGCAGGGACTCCTGTGTGCTCCATATTCGAGAAGCAGCTGGGATCTCCGTCTCCCTTCACTTGGTCTTATCAAGTAAGATTGTCAGAGATAGTGACGTCCGTGATTGAATGGAACTCACTCGTCAATCTGACGTAGTCTCGAGATGATACGGTGAAAACAGGCAGGTCAATCTCGTCGTAGTCTATGATTCACCATGTCATTAGTAGCAGATAGTCCAAGTCCAACACGTAATACGTACTGCGTATGTTCACGCTAGGATCAAATGAATCTGGGTCCCGCCTCTCGGCTTCGGCATCTGTGTCATGCAAGTGAGTCTGGAGCTATTCATTCGAGACAGTTTCGTATAACGTACCATCGAGGTCCTTGAGACCAGTGCGGAAATCTTCCTTCAAGACATCGCGAGAAAACTAAGACGATACTTGGTTCAGTATTCCCCGCGTCCATTATGATAGGCCTGTAGTACACACCTCAGACCGTTTCAATGAACAGAAAGCATTCTTCTCCTTCTGCGCTTCCGCCTGCTTCTTCTTCAGCGTTGCCAACATGTCGTTCGCTTCCTTCCTTTCCTTCCGTGCCTCGCTCAGCTGCTGCCGCCCAACCTTGATGGCATCGTCTGCCTCCTTGATCTTGGTCTGCAGGCTCTCGATCGTGACTTCCTCTTGTTCCTCGCTGTCGCTACCGGACTCGGACCCGTTTTCAGCGTCAGTATCCCCATCAGATTCCTCGTCGGTGGATTTATCGGCCTCGCTACTGTTCCCGTCCATGTCGACGTCGGAATCATCGAAATCGTCATCGAAGTCGTCGTCATCGTATGCCTCGCTCTTACGGCGTTTCGGGGAGCCACCCTTGCCACCTCGAGCGTTCTTCCTCTTCTTCCCCGCCTTCTGAGCCTTTTGGGCGGCTTTTCCCGTCAGACGGGGAGTAAAAGGTTTGTTGTTCTCTAAGGCCGCCATATGTTCTTTGTATTCTTCGCGGTAAGCGCGGATCTCTTGCAGCTGCTTCTCGACTCCTGTGACATTTAAGTGTGAATCAACAGTGGAGTCCTATAGCTCTAATCTCATACCTTTGACAACCTGGTCGGCTTCTGATTTCTTCTCTTTCCATTCTTCCATGTCATCGTTGCATTGTTCGATCCGTCCCTCGATTTCAACGAGTTCAGGCTCATCGTCCAGGTTGAGAGCTCGGATAACCTCCGAGCAAGAGATGTCGTCGCACTTCGTAGCTGCGCGACACAGTGTCTCAGTGATGCACGAGGCTAAAGTGCACCTCTTAGATACTCACCGACAAAAGTGATAGAGTTAGCGTCATAGCTATGCACGAGAAGGTCAACGAGCAGCACTAGCGCACAGGGACATATACGCACTTTCCGTCTGAGAGAATTATGAGACGTGCATCGTCCGGTCAATAAAGTAAAAAGGGGCGAAGTACAGACTGATACAACATACCCACTAGAAGATGGAAACGGTAAGCAAACAAATAAGCGGGAAAGGACTGCACACGCACTCATCAACTGTGTCTTGAAAGCGTCGCCAAGTAAGTCTGTGGACTATCGTCAGCTGACGAGGTTAAAGCACGTTTCTCAAGACATACCTCGCGCGGTCTTATCATCAACGGCTCGAGTGATCGGCGCCAGAATCCAGACGCAATCACACTTCTTCATGTAGTCCTTCGCAATGTTATTTCTTGCCGCATTCGCGTCAGCGACTCCCGGCAGATCGACGAGGACGGCGCCCGTCGAAAGAGCTGCAGCATTACAGCGCACCCGGACTTGTCGGATAAGGGGCCAAAATGCTGCCTCGTCCGCCGGGTCCTTTTCTTTTGCCTTCTCCTTTGTCCCGCGAGCGTCCTTGAGCATGTCCATGAAGCTTGGAACTTTGTCCTTCTCCTTCTCTTTCGGCTTATCCTTATTCTTCTTCTTGTCACCCCGCTTCTGATCTTTGGAGTCAATGTATCTCGATATTTCCTGCGCGAAAGCCTTGGAATCCTTTGCTACGATGTTCTTGGTGGTACCCAATATCCTAGCAATTTCTTTGCCCGTGATGTCAATGCAATGTAGCTCGTCGCGGAAACCAAATCACCCACTCGGATCACGTGCAATAATCTGATCGACACTCATTTGAACAAGCTGCTCTTGAGAAATAGACGGATACACCGCATGGACCTGGAACGTTCGTAAGGTTCTCGCCTTTCGTCAGCTGGGCGTTCCGAGACTACCTTATGCCAGGCAACACCAGAGTCGCTCTTGAGATCGGTAGTTCTCTTCAGATTGCCATCTTCGTCTACTAGATCCTCTAGCAATACTGCAAGCTCTTCTTTCCACTCGGCTTCAGACAAAAAGGACACGTCCGCATCAATGGTCTTCTTCGCATGGTAACCGATCTCGGTGACGACGGCCGTGCATGCTACACAATTATAAGTACCAGCGACCGGGCCGGCTGAAATAAAACCTCACCTCTCATTCCACTCGTCGGGACGATATTATCTACATATGTCTTATGTCAGCACGGAAGATCAAGAAAAGCCCACTTATCATTACATACCGTCAAGGATGGCGTTCAGAATCGACGATTTGCCAGCACCAGTAGCTAGATTCTGTTAGGACCATAGAGAAATCCTATAGACGGGACGTACCTCCGCAGATGGCAATCATGGTAGTAGGGGAGCCTTGACTTTTGAGGCTACCAGAACAGGCCTTGAGCGACGAATCCTCATTCAGGTGAGAGCGCTTACCTCTCAATTTCCCTAAGCCACACGTCTTTGCGCAACTTGCTCCCGAGGTTGATCTTCTTAATCTCGGCTTCCATGGCCTTCACCATCTTCGTACCTTCGCTCAGAGCATCCTCAGGAGTGTAAGGAATCTCATCGGCAGTTTCGAATACTTTGTACGTCGACGGTGCCGGTAATGGGGCGGGGACGTTCCCCTCGTTCTGAGCAATAGGGGCCGCATGTCCGTTCTCATTCTTCACGCGGGTTTCAGCAGACGACGCATCCTTCAAATCGGCTGCAATATATGAGGGTACAGGAAGACCCCTCTCGAGAAACTAGGTCAGAGTGAGTCAGTCGCCAACATACATAATAATGTGGTCAGCCCCTTACAACGCGTGCAGCGTCGCTTGGCTCCGGTTTAACTTTTGTTGACGCGTCTTTGATTGAATCATGAGAGTTTGACGGCGACAATGGGCTAATCTTGTGCTCAGAAGGTTCTGGCTTAATGAACGTCGATGCCTGCGGCTACCAGACACGTAAGGACCAAACGCGGAACTATAAAGGGCATTGTCTTGAACTCACTAAAGAGCCCGACGCGACGTTCTCCTTATAGTCCATCCTAGACGAAGCTTTGGAAGGCTCGAGTCATGCAATGATGTGAGATGTGAGTGGGAATGGAAGTGTGAAGTGAAAGCACGCGTCGGAACGCGAGCGCGTTTTATTGGCAGTGACAAACAAGCGTAAATAACGCGTAATTGTTGACATGACATCGACGCGCCACTGGAGTCGATCACGGGTGGGAAAGCGCACGTGGTCTGCAGGCTCAGCCACAAGCGCGCAGCTGCTCCTTGACTTTACCCGTGCACGGCGACATGACGAAGAACCGCAAAGCTAACAAGTCTCATAAGCCTAACGAACAGCGGCTCGAGATCTCTGAAGAGGAGCAATGGCGGATTATCAATCAGTCGGGGATTCTACGACAGGTAGATGCCGCGGCCAAGGCGACCGTGACGAATGCTAGCTCGGAGGAGGAGCCTATATCTCTTGCGGAGGAGATATTTAATTCACTCGTCTTCATAACGCCGTGTTCCTTTCTCCTATTAATGATGGAAATGTATGTCGTATGCAATGATTGAGCAGTCGGCAGCGTCTGACACAGCAGAAGACTAATACACTATCAATACGGCAAGCACCCGACATTCGATGACCTTGCGCGGCGAATGATATCTGGCGTTCCAAGTACGCATCTCTCACCGACACTGCTGTGACTTGCTACGAAAAAATGCTGACATCCCTCAGTTCTGTCCATATTTGTGTTTTACAGTACGGATTTAACTCTCAGATGTATCCACGTCTAATTCTTGGGAACAGCCGTCCGACATAAGCAGGATCGCCGCGTACAATTCTTGCTCTTTCTGCTATCACTCGCCACGGGGATGAGGCTGATCTGGCTAGTCAACCGTGGCAGCTGGCTTACGAACATGCGGCAAGTGAGTCCCGAGGCTTCCTGGACTTCCATTGCACTGAAGAGGATCATCCAGTGCCCCCCACTGGCCACCGCCTGGATATACGCAGTTGTGCAGCTTGACCTCGGTCCTGCAACTTTGAGCCTTGTGATCGTGTTCAGCTGGGTATGGTGGGCCGGCTTGAAACTAACCTTCTAATATCAGATGCGCTACGTCTCATATACATACACTAATGGTACATTCATACGCTACACTATTCATGATGTCTCCTGCGCTAGACATTGCGTTAAACTACACTGTCACCACCTCCCCCACCCACGTGGACCGCCAATGGAATGGAGCGTGGGCAGGAAGTGAGTACAAGCAGGACTGGGTTCAATATCTGCCCGACAATACGCCACAAACGGGTAGCGACCTTACACCCGAGCAGCACCTTTTACGGGCAGCGAAATATCTGGCTGGACAACCCACTGCAGAAAGCAGGGGTCGTTCTGGAACGAGCGGAAGTGAGGCAATCACACGCCTGGGCCTTCGTCGAACTCTGCTTTCAGAACCTCGACCTTCCGCTGGGTAGAGCTACTTAGTCGTGGGCGCGGCGTTGAAAGTCGAGACTGGTCATACCCTATACGTTGTCGCTCGAGTCTCTAATACCGCTCTCAAGACTCGTATCTGCCATCTCAATCTCCGTGAAGCGGTTCGCTGGATAGCAGCTTTATGGTCGTCTATCCTCTGACAGAAAGCTTTGTACACCCGGTCGTCTCGGGCGAAGTAGTAAACCTGAGACAGGGTGGTTCTCAGCCATAGGTAGACAGTAGAACTGTGCACCGCGTACAGGTATTGGCTCACCCTCTACTTGATCCAGTACTATCGACCATATGCCCATCATAAGAAGATCCACAGTTGCGTTTGCCACACTTTCTGAAAAGTCAGTCCGGGGTCATATTACGAGAGGCGGTTCGCCTTACTAATCCTCAAGCGCAGCGATAGCATCTGCTTTCCCTAGCTCTCTTGTCGCAAAATTCCTCACCGCAAATTCGGCGGTGGTCACCGGCTTCTCAGAGATACCCGCCCGCAAAGCGGTGGCCATGGACGACACCTGAGAGTATATCCACCGGTCACCTTCACTCATAACCAACGTCTGCAGGAAAGAAGCTATCAAATCCGTATATGACGCCTGCAAGCCATAGTCAATAGCCAGCTTGAGATTCGTGCCTAGATATCACAGCGGAAATGGAAATGAGAGAGGACAACTTCTCACATAGTCAAATGGCTCACGAAGCGCTTTCAATAACGTCTTTGTGGCAGGTTTTGAGAAATCTTCATCAGAAAGGTGATTTATCCATCTGGAGAATGCACCAAGTAAAATAATGGCAACATCTTGGTGAGACCGGCCAATCCGCATAGCATGGACCAGGGGCGTGGCGTTGCCATGTTTTCTCAGAAGCAACTATTTTGGCATGGTAAGGTTTCATTCTTTCGGCCAAGAGAAATGAAGACACACGTGAAAAGCGCGATCCCTGACTTCCATGAGGAAGACTAGATCCTTCTTCTCAATGGCACGGTATACTTCATATGGCTAAAGACGCACTAGGTCATCCGACATTATCTCAGTGCAAGCAGATCTGTATCATACCTCTGGGTCCTTCCACGGTCCTTTGGGTTGGGAAGACGCCTTCGGGAATGAGAACCTCTTCGTAGGTGAGCTGGGAGGAGACGTTGCAGCCGAGCTAGACGATCTCTGCTGCGTCGTCTCAGCCTTTTCGGGAGCATCGTCTGCCTCAGACTCTGGAGGTGTTGGGCTCCTGCGTAGCTGACGTATATAAGCGTACGGCGCTTCACGCTCTGCTTCCCGCTGGATGAATGCTTCGCAGACAATAAGTAGAGTCAACATCGGCGTTATGAAAGCAGCAGACCATTATTTGGCAGACGCGCTGGGAGACATGGATCGCTTTCAAGCTTAGGCCTAGGAGTTGGTTCACTGTCAGGCGGCTGGTCCAAACGTTGTGCAAGACGGGCCAGTATCGGTGCGTGATTGATCGGCATTGCGCAAACGCAGTCTATCGGATCGTGTTGCGCAATGAAGTCGGCAAGTAGCAGCTGTATCTCATGCACTTCAGAGCGCTCGCAGTGCGAGGCATTATTCCAAGGCCCAGTACAGCAGCGTGCAGAACCGGTTCAATGCATCGCCATGCAAGCGTCATACAAAGTCAGAAGTCCTGATTTGGAACTTACTGGGGAGTGACACAGCCACAATGTACCGCTTGTCACGTGAGGGGGAGATCCAACTCGATCGCAAGCCTCAGGCTCAGCTCGAGCTGTGCACCGTTGAACTTGACGTTCTCCACCTCGTCCCCTCAGTGGCTCAGCTGTCTACTTGAACTGCCAGTCAATCCATGCTAAATGTGTGGAAGAATGCCTGGAGGAAGGCACAATCTGCCGCCGCCACTTCAGGTCAAGACAATAACGGGGAGCCTCAGCCAAGTGCCAGTGGGGCTAGCTGGTCCGCGGCATCCGTTGACGCTGTTCCAGCGGTCCCACCACAGAATGGCGAAGGACCCGTGTCTGCTGAACCGACGTCGATACTGTCGCAGACGCGAAAGCTAGATCAGGTAGACGGTTGGTCTTCTGTTCCTCCCGATCGCCCTGTAAAGCGGCGAAGGGACACAGATGGCACGCCGCCTGAAGCTACTAATGGCTCATTTCAACCCGAAAGCGCTGTTGATTTCGCTCCTCCGAGAGAACTTGTAGTGTCATACGAGTCTTCGAAGGCGGCGGAGGAAACACCGTTGACAAACCAATTACGAGCCCTGGATCCAGACGGACGAATAGGGGATCCGTGGTTTCGCTACGTGCATTACATTTTGAGTGATTTAGGGCCTTGTGGTGCCGATCTTGTCTGGAGACATGCCCTATTGGATCGTGATTTGACTATACCCGAGCATTCAGCAGTCCGTCAAGTTGAGGCCAAGCTTGCTGCGCGACCTATAAATGATGAGCGATTCCTAAAAGTAGTTCAAGACTGGACATTTTCCAACCCTTTGCTGGACTCGGCTCACACAGATAAGAATGTATCAGACAAGTTCGTGAAACTTGTACGAATCTTGAAGTCTTACGAACCCTATCGGAACAATCTTCGAGCTGTTATCTTCGGTGCGCATCCATCTTAAGCTGTGATGGGGCTCTCCCTGAACCATTGACACTAGTTCAAAGGAGGGTCGCGGCTGTAATGATCTTGAAGATGCTTTCAATGCTTCCGTCGCCGCTTAACTTGGACTTCATTCGTCCACAGGTACTAGTCAACCATGATATGGATCAGCAGGTGAGCTGAATGCGTGAGCTCTTCATGCGGTAGTTAATTTGAAACCATGTCCCAGCGTTCCGTTATGGATAGCTTCGCTAATGGGCAATGTAATTTGCTCATAGCGACTAAGTCAATGGAGGACCTTGATATTCCCAAGGCAGACGTGGTCATCCGGTCTGCATCCTCTCCACAACTGTTCCCTTTCGTATGGCTGACAGCCTCTTAGTTTTGACCTCTTCGAGAGTCAAATCTCATATGCTTATGCTCGTGCATGTCTACGAGGTCCAGAAGCCTGTCTGATCCACATGGTCGAGGAGGGAAATGACGTGCATCGTCGCATTCTCTCTGCCCTTTCGCCCAAGACGGACGCAATGAAGTCGTGGCTAATGGGCATGAGGAATCGCTCGGCCGCCTTCCCGCCTGCCGGTTTGCATGAGACCACGGACCCTTACCGCTCCGACGACGAAGATAACGATGATTTGGGACCCTGTGTCGTGGACCCCAGCACCAGTAGCCGGATCTATCACCGAGATGCGACTGCCATCGTGCTGCGGTTTGTTTCTAAACTATCTGAACACCTGGGAAAGGAACTTTTCATCGTCAGGGAAAGCGTCAAGGCAGAGCCGAAAACGTATCGGGTCATAATCTGGCTACACGGGTACAATCCCATCCAGGGAGAATACTACGAATCGTTGGCCCATGCACGGCGGTCCGCCTGTTACAAAGTCTGCCAGGAGCTATCAGACCGGGGGCACTTGGATTACCGCATACTCCCTCGGCCTCCGTATCCTTCTGGGATATACGGCCCTGCGCGGAGTGCTCCGGAAGTCAACAAGTCCAATGGAACTCGCCGATATCCACGGAAATCCCCAGACTTCTGGGCGAACTGTCGGTCTGTAGGTTGGAGCCGTGTTTTTCCTACCATCATCTGGGTAGATGATGGGAACACACCGACCCACGGCCATATCGTCCTGTTGACTCGCTTACCCTTGCCGCCCTTGTCCAGTACTAAGGTATTCTATACCGGTGTACCCGCGACGGTTTACTTTACGCGAGCCGCTTCATTCACCATGGACGGACCAAAACTCCAGCAGGTATATCACTATACCACGAGGCTCTGTCGCGGGATTATGAACAAGTCTTTAGACTGTCCCCTGGAGAACATGCCGTACCTGCTACTTCCGCTCAATGGAGCCTGGAAGCATGGCCCGAAGGACCATAACTCGGAAGCGTCGGACATACAGAAATATATCCCATGGGATCTTGTGTATCATGCGGCGCAGAATTTCGTTACTCCATTTCGGTACGAAAGTATCGGAGCTGTCGAGGAGGATGTCAAGGACGCTGTGGTCCAGGACAGATGGGTCGAGTTTACCAGACGGTACGAGGTAGAAAAGGTCAGGACGGACCTATCACCCTTGAGTAAACCAGTCGATAGCCCCGTGAGTCATACTGGAAGGTTAAATGCTCAGTTCTGACGGAACCACATCTAGCGGGAAAGTGCGTATGAAAGCTTCTTGGAATACTGTAAAGCGCGACGCAAGGATTTCGACGGCCTCAAGAGCCATACTCAACCGCTTATCCAAATAAAGCGCTTATCTGCTGTGCTCAATCGTTTGAATCCGACGACACGACCTTTAACGGAGTCATCGAAAGCAACCGCTAAATGTACGGACCTCGATCTCGCCTTTGCACGCGATCTGACTGTCCTACCCAGATCTCATACCTGAGTTGTGTGCGAAATATACTATCCCGGCGAGGTGCGTCCAATTGACATGGTGATCGATCCAAGCTGTCGGTAATGAGGCCGTCTAGCACATTCCGAACAGCACTCCTCCTACCATCAATAACTCGGAGAATTGATGATATGCTTCTCGTGAAGGAGCTAAATGCCAAGATATTCGACCATTCCCTTCAGGAAGACTTACTGCATACAGCAATCACAGCACCAGCTGCTGGTTTCGAGTTTGACTATGAACGCCTGGAGCTGTTAGGTGAGCGGTTCACTTCTATTTCGAATCACACACAAATGGTTGACGTCATCTACAAGGTGACGCCTACCTGAAATATCTGTCTTCGGTCTACCTGTTCGTGACAAACCCCGAGAAGCGCGAGGGAGCTCTCCATTTTGCGCGGCAACGGATAATCAGCAACAAATCCCTGCTAGAGTACGCCGACAGCGCGGGATTACCTCCCTTCATACAGTCCAAGCCTTTCGTCGCCAAGTTATGGCAGCCTGCTCCTCTTGAGGCCGCTACCTCACCGGATGAGGCGTCGGTCGGCAATGCCTCGGCAGCCGGGGCAGAGTCGAATACATCTGTCGTACCACCCAAGCGATCGAAGCGGAAAAGACAGCAAGACGATCAACATATTCAATGGCTAGGAGACAAGGTGCGTCGCTATATACCGGCGTCCGTTCAGTGAATTTACTTCCTCTGCAGGCGGTCGCTGATGTGGCTGAAGCTATCATCGGAGCGGGATATATAACCGGCGGTCGCGAGGTTGCTCTGAAAGTAACGAAGGCCTTGAACATCCCTGTGCCCCGTATCGACCGGTGGTCTGACTTCGGTAGGAAGGCTCTGGCTGTTGCTCCAGAGGCCGTCTCAAAATTGGGCAAGGGGAGTATTGAAGCGGTGGAACGTATCATTGGCCATAAATTCCAGCGCCCCCAGTTTCTCGCTCAGGCCTTGGTACGTGTTGCGTTAGTATCAGAGAACTGGCTCTAATAGTCCAGGTGACACTCAGACGCATGCCTCCATACAAGGTTATGACTTGACTTCTTACGAGCGGCTAGAGTTCCTTGGTGACGCGATCCTGGACTTCAGTAATGTCCGCATCCCTTTAACCATGGATCGCGCTGACCGTGCCATCCCCAGTGGTGATCCGTCACCTGTATTACAGGGAGACCCAATTGTCGCCAGGAGGTCTAACTCTATTGAAAGTGAGTATTCAGCCCTCACTCCACTCACACCCTCGAACTAATTATGCGCAGGGTGCCATGGTGTCGAATTCCGCTCTCGCCGCGGTCTGCGTATGGTCCGGCCTGCACAAACATCTGCTCTTCGAATCCCGGGACCTCGCGAACGGTATCCAAGCCTACGAAGTACAACTGAAGGCGAAACAAGAAGAGGAATATCGCTTAGCGCGCGAAGAGGGCCGCTCGCCCGGTCAGTATTGGCTAGATATAGAGCCCCCGAAGGTAAACTAGCCAATCTCGACTTGGTCGCCAATCACTCGGACTGACGTCTGGATAGGCACTGTCAGATGTGGTGGAGTCAATCATCGGCGCGGTGTACATCTCCGACAACTTCTCGCCTGTCGGGTCGGAGACGCTCTTTGTGAATGTCCTCAAGCCGTTCTACGACAAGCACATCACGCTCAAGACGTTGTCGCATCACCCGACGAAGATCCTGTTCGAGCTGTTCCAAGCGGAGGGGTGTCATGAGTTCGAGATGCTGAAACAGCAAGTCCACCCTGAGCGGAGTAGTTCTGACGGAAGGACGGGAGGCAGTCAACAAATAACTCGCTGCGAAGGTAGCTGTCCCTGCACGTAAAGGTTATGTGGACATCACTGACGATGTCTCCCTGTACCCAGTCATCGTGCACGATACCATCCTCGCTGCAGCAGAATCTGCAACGACTCTGAGCGCGTCCCGAATGGCCTCGTTCTTCGCGTTGGACGCGCTCGAGGGCGACTCCGAGTTCATGAAGCGCACGTGCGACTGCCGTTCGCAATCCCAGGCCCGCAAGGCGGTGAAGAAAGCGCTGAAGGACATGTGGGAGGACGACGGTAATGACGAGGAAGTAGAGGCCGCGGACGGGCGGGACTGATATGGTTTGCTGGACAACTCAACTGTGCGCCCGGACTGTGGTTTCGAGAGCGACATCTATACCCAGCCAGTGCTATTAACACGCTCGAACATGCTTGGTCTACGTCGAACGTGGCATGCACTATGTCTCTACTTGTATAGCTAGCGTCCGCGCGAACCACTTGCTTAATCCTGCGCACCAGCGCCGGACTTCTTCCTTTGGGACCGTCCGTCAGATGACCGCGAGCAAGGACAATCATAGCACGCGTTATAAATGGGCGACTCACAATTGGTAGGCCGCGGCCACGAAGGGGATGCTGAAGCCGCCCACGAGGTAGGCGATGGTCTTCGCCGCGAAGGCGGGCTTGCTGTGGAACGAGAAGGGGACGGGCTGCACCGGCGTCGCGCACGGATATGAGCAGACGTACTCAAGGGCCGATGCACGGGTTGGACACGTACGCTGTGGTCAGCATGGGCCCCGCGAGCTTGGACGCGGCGGGCAGCACGGGCGGCCTGCTGGCGGAGGAGCGGCGAGCGAGCGAGGATGGACTGCATTTCTGCGCGAAGGGCTGGCGGCGGATGTGTCTGGGTGCAAGTACGGAGGCGGGGCGAGAAATGACGCAAAAACTTGCCATTGGTTCGGACGAGCATCGGGAAACGCCGGAGGGGCCCGCGGCTCCGACTCCGCGACTAGTTTTGCTTTCAGCGACCGTGCACGCTTGGTGCACGCCATCGAGGTGCCTTCAACTGCAAGTCCTGAATTGTCGGTATGTAACCTGAGGCCATTGTATATTTTGTCCCCCACGCTTGCGCCCTCTGGCCCCTTGTATCCCCAATAAGCAAAGACATAGCACCCAAATATACTAGAACCCGCACCCCATGCGTGGTGACCCAGAACCATGATGCCTTTACGTCGACAACGTGTCCTCACGTTCCGCATCTTCAGGGGATCTATCAATTGTCCCCTTGGAACGAGAAGCGATCGGGTATGGCCAGCGCTAGATACCGAGTGCAGGGTGGATCTCGGGGACGACGAATCATTGTCCTAAATCGGTCTCAGCGATCGAAGAGAGCTTATACCACGCCAACTTCCTTCGCTGATCAGCGTTGGCTTGAGAAAATACGGTACATAGCAGAGTGCATGATATCGGGGCTTTTTTGGGGAAGCAGCGAACGGCAACGACGGTCCCCCAGCCCTGACGTGGTCTATATTTTTCACTACTTCCAACTCGCCATCGTCTGGCCACATTCTCGTGGCGGAGATCTACAATCTCTCCGCCCCAAAAAATGGTAAGAATCAAGTCGTGGGCCGTGACTATTAAACACCGCAGCTTACAGCTTGATGCAACGTCTGGAACGATCGAGTTGCAAGCAGACGAGAAACGGTGAATTACGTGATAGATAAAATACAAACCAAATCAGACCCTAATATGACCTAACGCAATTATACCCCGATAGAGCAGGAGAAACGATACTTTCGCTGAGGCTCTAGAACGCCACGATATCTTCCTATAATCCCTGTGGGACAGCGCCCACATACCGGAGCAAATCTAGCCCACCGCCGCCCTCTCGCGCGCGCGCGACTGGCGGCCGGAAAGTGCGCATGAGCAAGTCTATTGATCATGTCACGGCCAACGTACTATAGGACTCCTCCCGCGCGGATCTTTGCCGCCGGGGTCAACAGGCAGCGAGGTGCTCCTCGCCCGCACGCATTCGGCGGGCACTTGCAGCGGGCCTGGCACGAAGTCGTTGGCTTGGAAGCCCGTCTTGGCTGGGCTGCCGAGCCGGAATATGTCGTAGAGCTCCGCGAGACTGAGGTTGCGCTGGGTCTCGGGGCCCGACGGCGGGTCGAGGCGGTGCTTGCTGAGGTGCAGCCTGGGGCTCGCGAAGCCCGCGGCCTTTTGGGATGGTGGTACATTGATTGGGACGGGTGGTTTCGCGGGTGACAGGCCCGCGGGATGATTAGGGCGGGCGGGCTTCTCCGAGTCGTCATTAGCGACGGAAGAGGACCACGAGGCGATGGCAGAGGACGGGATCGGCGCGAGGGGGTACGATTTGGGACGGTGGACGAGAGCCGGCATAGGCGAGTGCCGAATGTGGCGATTGGCATCCCCGGCGCGGACGGGCGGCGGTACTTCTGGGCGACGCCGGGTGCAGGGCACGCTGTCAAAAAACGAGTCGCCGGGGAACGGAGTGGGCGGCCATGAGTTGTTCGCGCAGGAATATTCGAATGGAATGGATGGGGAGCGGAGTGGGATGAAATCAGAAGGCAGCGGGAGATGTTGCCCTGCCGCAGCAGCAGGGTCTGACAGAGCTCGCGTGTAGTGAGAAGCCCCGAGGCCGTGGCGCTGGAGCAGGCCGTAGGAGAGCTTGGGCTGGTGGTGAAAGGGCAGGGTGACTACGGAGTCGGACGCGCAGGGTGCCCGGGACGACGTGAAGACATACGAGGTGGGCGGGCGGTGGTCAGCGGCGGCATCGAAAGACAAACAGGGCGTCCGGCGGTGGGCACGGGGAGTGTGTTCCATGCTCAGCAGCAGAGCGAGAGCAAGAGTCGGTGCAGCTCGCAGTGGTGTCGGAACGCTCTTGAGCCGCCGCCTGGGATTGAATTACATAAGCAAGAGATTAGATAGCGCGTCAGATTGGCCGATCTCTTTCCTGCGTCCCTCCACCACACCGCAATGGCCCAGCCCGTGCAAGTCACCATTCCCGCCACAGGGCGCAAGATCACCGTCCCAACAGGGCTCTTCATCAACAACGAGTTTGTGCCGTCGGTGGATTCCAAGGATACCATCGAGTGAGCGGTTCTTGCGCCCATCACGAATCCCCGCCCGCCTGCACCCTGCGGCGCTCGGCCACTCATCACCGATGCTCTCTTTAGGACCGTCAACCCGGCCACCGAGCTTGTCATCTGTTCTGTCGCCGCCGGTGCGTGCCCTGTCATCTCGCCACATCTCTCGCTCTCTTCCATTCATCCGCCCGACTCCCCCCATTTTATTTACATCTCGCCCCCTGGCGCGCTTTCGCACGATCGTGCGAGGCCATCACTGTTCCCTCTTCTTTTCGCTCCGCCCTGGACCTTGCACGGATGCATTGACGCGTCCCACAATTCTAGCGTCTTCGGCTGACATTGACAGAGCCGTCGCTGCCGCCCGACACGCCTTCAATACAACATGGGGCAAGAACGTGACCGGCTTTGAGCGTTCCAGGCTCATGAACAAACTGGCTGATCTGATGGAGCGAGACGCACAGGCCTTGGCGGAGTTGGAAACACTCAACAATGGCAAGCCCGTGCGCGTTGCTAGGTGCGTCCGCGCTCTCCACCGAAAATCCTTGTATTTCGGCTAGATCTCCGACGGCCGCGTTCGGACTGATCCTGTGCTGATATCATTATTCGCGTAATCCCCAGGGACTTCGACATTGGCGACTCTATACAATGCATCAGGTACTACGCCGGCTGGGCCGACAAGATTACTGGTCAGGTTAGTCCCATCCCGAGATTCGGGTCCGTGACTCGGGAACCCGCGGTAGACGCCGCCACGGCCCATTGGCCTATCACTCCGTGCATTTCCTTTCTTGTCCCTGTCTTGACGCGCTGACGACGCCCTCTCTTCCCAGACCATCGAAGTCGACAACAAGACCAAAGTTGCCTTTACCCGCCACGAGCCCATTGGCGTCTGCGGCCAAATGTCCGTCTCCCCGCTTTTTCCTCTCCATGCCTAGGCTTGACGTGCTTTCTCGCGCCATGGCGTCCTCAGCATACCATGGAATTATCCTATCAACATGTGGTACGCCCCCTTTTTTTTCTGACGCGATCACAGCGACCTCAGCGATTCATCGCCATCCTCCAGGTCTTGGAAGGTGGCCCCTGCTCTCGCGGCAGGCTGCACAATCGTCATGAAACCGTCAGAGGTCACCCCGCTCACCGCCCTTGTACGCCCACTGCCTCCTACCGCGGTGTCGCCCGTTCGCTTATTTTTGCTTGTCACGCCACCGCCGACTTAGAAATTGTCCGAATTATTCGTCGAAGCTGGGTTCCCACCCGGCGTCCTCAACACGGTCCCGTCCCTCGGCTCGGTCGGCGGCGCCGCCCTTGCGTCCCACCTCGACGTCGACAAGGTCGCGTTCACCGGCAGCACCCTGACCGGCAGGAAGATCATGGAGGCAGCGGCCAGGAGCAACCTGAAAAAGGTACGCGTCTTACTTCCCGGCCGTTGGACGAGCGGATGATGGTTCGCGCCATCCTCCACTCGGCCATGGCCAGAGTATCCTCGTCGGCGCCCTGACACTGCTCGCGCTTGTCAGGTCTCTCTCGAACTGGGCGGCAAGTCGCCCCACATCATCTTCGAGTCCGCCGACCTCGAGCAGGGTCCGTCCTCCTTTCCTCCAATATCTGCGCGTGCGTCCTGACCGTGGCCGGCTCTAGCCGCCAACTGGGCCGCCCTGGGCATCCTCTACAACTCCGGGCAGGACTGCACCGCGGGCTCGCGCCTCTTCGTGCAGGACACGATCTACGACAGGTTCACCGCGCTGCTCGCGGAGAAGGCGCGCGCGCTGAAGATCGGCGACGGGTTCGGCGAGGACGTGAGCGGCGGGCCCGTGGTGAGCGACCTCTGCCGCGTGCCCGGCGCTGTATGGATCTTCACGCGTGTCTGCTCTAGGTCTCCAAGGCGCAGTATGAGCGCGTGTGGTCGTACATCGAGTCGGGCAAGGCTGAGGGCGCGAAGATCCTCAACGGCGGGGAGAAACGGCAGGGCAAGGGGTTCTATGTCGATCCTACGAGTAGGTCGCGTTTGGGTACTCTTGCTCGACCTTGTGACTTACGCACGGCTTCAATGCAAGTTTTTACTGACGTCAAGCCGTCCATGAAAATCGTGAGTGCTTGAAAAGGATATATGACCGCAGCCCGTCATTTGTTCATCGTTTTGTTGTACAGGTCAGGGAAGAGGTGTGTGGTGTTGTATATCTCTGCGATGCATGGCCGCCTGACTGCGGCTATTGTCCAGATTTTCGGGCCCGTGCTGGCTGTCGCCAAGTTCCACACGGAAGAAGAAGCCATCGCGCTAGCAAACGACACGACGTACGGTCTTGGCGCAGGCCTGCACTCCAGTAAGCCCGCGTGACACGCTGTGCACCCGTTGCGAACTCTAACGCGTGCCTCGTAGATGACGCCAACCAGTGCATGCGCGTCTCTTCGGCGCTCGAAGCGGGCACGGTGAGTCGATAACTCGGACCCTGAAACGCTTGGAGCCCCTCACCTCATGGCACACAGGTTTGGGTCAACCAATACAATATGCTCAACAACAACGTACCTTTCGGAGGGAAAAAGCAGAGCGGCATCGGTGGGTCTTGTTCGATCATTGCGAGGTCTCACAGCCGCTGAGTACCCGCTATCCTTTTCAAGGCCGCGAGCTGGGCAGCTACGGCCTCGAGGAGTATACCTCCGTCAAGGCTGTGCATTGGAACTTTGGCGAGAAGCTCGACTGGCCTTTCTAGACCGGGTAGCGGACACATGTAGCGAACAAGCGGACAGCGGGGGAAATCTTGGATATGAACATGTATGGTATCGAAGCCTTGTACGAATAGTTCGCCGCTCTGGATTTAGTATGCGCAATTCATGACATCTACTATACGATGTGCTAGACAGGCACTGCAGATGCAAAGGGGGATAAGCACGCCTCGTTCTTGCGTGGCCGTGGCCCAGGGAGATCACATCCTGACGTCCCTGCACTAAGCGGTGCAGACTCGAAGCGCTGTGGGCGGTCATCTCTTGTTGTGCGACCTCCTCCTGAGCACCATGCAGTATTCTTGATAGCGTCCATCACTGATGCATGTCTTCGAGGTCTCATTATATCATCAGATTGACAGAGTCGGCAAAGGTAGGTTATCCGCCGGGCATCGCCATATACTACAGGGTGTGTAATGTAATTATCTACCGATTCACAAGTCACTAGTACCAAGCGTGCCCGTCTTCGTTACACGGAGGGAACGGCGCATACTGGTGTCCCGACAGTACATTGTTATGAACGGCAAATGTCTGGGGGTCAATGGTCCAGTTGAGGTCTGGAAACAAAGGAACGGCCGCTGTAGCTGAATTCAACGTGGTACCCGAGTGAGCATAATTAGCGACGCTATCTCCCGCGCTGGCGTTGGTGGCGCGCGGGATTCCAGTGGCGAGATGATTCGTGTGTTCCCATGGAGGGCGAGTAGTGTACGAAGAAGTCGAGGCGTGGCCAGCGGTTGGCTGATGGTGCCTACCATCTTGAGGACGTGGGTGCGTCTTGGTGAAATCAGTGTCACTACCGAAGGGGAAATGCCACTGCATCTACCCACATTCCCAGCGACGGAGTAGACCGATCGCTGCATTTCGCCAAGGGGGTGAAGGGTAATTGGTATGATAGGGCGGGGCGCGATTCTCCTCGGCTCTTGCGGTCCACGTACGACGCCTGCGTCTGTGGATGGCCCTGAGGTGCAGGCAGGAGTGGGTTGAGCTCCGCGTTTCCGCGCATGTGCAGAGTATAGGCAAGGCCGGCCGGCCTTGTCACACCGAGAGCAACAAGCCTTGGAAGTTTTCTCGCACTGTGGACGATGAGGGGACAAATCCGCGCCGTGCGGAGGGTACGGACCTTGGCGTGTGCTCTGCGACATGCATCACACGCGATCTCGGCCTTGGGCCTCAGATTGGGAATTTCTGGAGAGTCCGGTACTGAAGGACATTAGCGACTACTGAGAGCCATTGACCAGCTGTCAACACACCTGTTTCTTCCCTTCCCCGAGTGCATGGGCTATGAGGCTTATTCTGTGGGGTCATTTGGAAGGGGAAGCGGCGGTGCGAGCCAGAGACAGAGAATTGCAAGGAAAAAAGTTGATGGCTGCGGTTTTATCGCCTGATACTCGAGGCCCATGGTTCAGGTATTTTGGGGAAGAACCCTCCGATTCAACTGGTACTCCTTGATGCAAAGAGTGGTGATCCTATCATAGAACATAGACGTGCAGTCGCCGCCGCAACGATCCAATCGCAGGACGTCGTCGTGGCTGGAACCTTAACTGGTAATAAGGCCATGCAGACCCGGATATTGCAGTAAGGGACCCTGGCCGAGAGCAATGAAAGATGGCTCATATGACATCATGTACGACTTCCTTCGCCTCCCTTATCCGTTATGCTTTGGCAAGTCCCGCTATGATCCCGGGGGGTTGGGTGCATCTCCCACCCCTGAGGGTATGGAGAGATCCATACAGAGCATGTTTGAAATATCGGCAGGAGAAGGCTAAATCCTATCGGCGGCAGACTCGCGTCCCTTGCTCACATAGCACCGAGACAGCGCCGCCACTGGCAGACGCTGTGCCGGGGAGTTATACTTGATGTGCTGTGTGACGGACCTGAATCCTCAAACGTCAAGTTGAGGATGCCAGTGAATGGCAGGTTTAACCTAGCCGCGTGATTTAAGCAGTTAACTGCCGCTGCAGCCATGGGGAAACACTAAGTAATGGTCCCGCCTCGAGACGTTACTGATGCCGAGCCATAGAACTATGGCGGAAGGACATAGGCGAGCCAAAGTCGTCGAGCAATCATGATGCTCCCTGAGTTGCGTGCGAGCTGTTGACCGGAATCGAAATCGTACTTGTTGGAGGAGCCCCGCGCGGGTTCTACATAGGAGCAGCAACCGCGCGTTTTTGGCTTCCATGTTTGCCACGCGTCCTGCATCGCTTAATTCTCACACACGACCTCGCTTCTGGGAGAAAACTTACGTAAAGATCCATCTGCAGAATCTGGGTTGCAGCCACTCAGTACTCAGTAACCGGTCCTCGACAAGCTCGCGCAGTGTTATCATCGGCATATTATGGAGGCTACTTCCAATTATTTCGCGGAATGGCTCGGGGCCTGCCTACAGGCATATTATCCAGTTACTCTGACCGCTGCAAATTCATCCCATAAGGCAAACTTCTGAACTAGATCCACCGCTGTCAGTTGTAGGTCTCAGTGGTTGTGATGGCTTCTGCGCAGTCTTCCCGCTACTCGTGGGAAGTATTGACCATCATGCAAAATCGATATACTGTCACCGGGACCGGTCGCTTCTCGTTTCAGCTCGGGGGACGTCGCTGGGTTGCCCGTAAGCATTACCCCAATCAGAACGGCGAAGTTGGGCGCATGTTTGGGAACACCACGGGCTCGGGTCCGCCTCAATGACTCGCATGCCCTTTACCCTGCCCGAGAAAAGGTGTCTCCTCGTTCTCAAGAGTCTTGGAGCCGGCCCATGAGGATCCCCTCAGAGACGCGCTTACATGAACTGCTTCCACGGTCCCAAATCCTGCTTCTATTGACAAATCTCATTAAGATTGTAACAGATGCATCGCTGTCTCCGATGGCTTCCGCGGCTTGTCTGGCAATCAGGACGCGTCGATCTACACCGGGGCTCTGCAAGACGCTCGGGAAATTATGGAGTCGCCTCGGCTAACTCGAAATTTAGTCCTGTGCCCTGCGTATGGCATCCCGAATGTTGCGCCGGGCAGGATCGCAGATGATGTTATTCAATTATGTGGTCAGCAGAGCGTCGGACAGTTTATGGGGCTGGGCTATAGCCCAGTCCTTTGGTTCAACGACGACAACACCACCAGCTGTAATACATCTTTATGTCTATCCCGCGGAATACTTCTATGCTTCATTTCATGCGTTTCGGTACTATGATGAACCTTATGCTATGGCTGCTATGTTCCGACTCGACCACGTTTCCCCGTGTTGCAGCACCATGCTTTTCTGTCTCCGATCCGCGTTTGAACCTTGTCCTGTTCAAGGAAATGCTCGTGATGTCTCCCCCTTTACGTCTTTCTCCGCCCTGTCAAACCCGACATCTTCTCAACAGACTATCAACTTGACATGTGTACTGTACAGCTATCCCTATCTGCAAAATCCGCAATAAAAATAATAGGCTCTGTCTAAGGTAAGTCTATCGTCCAACTCTAGGATCTGGTGAACTCTATGAAGTCTAGTTTTACTAAGATAAATTTAACTATTGTAGAAAGGGGTGGAGAGGCCCGGGCTAGCACCCAGCAACATTGGGTAGTCAAGGAGTCAAGGCTGTGTCGTTGGCCCCCACCCAAACGGCGCCTGTCCAGAACAATAAACTAGTCTATTCTACCGGGAGGTGCCTTCCTCGCGACGCAAGTTCTCTCCAACCTCCGTCGTACCTGCAGCTGCCCCTCTATAATCCGTTTTTTTTTCGGTATCTAGGCTCCGAGGGATGTCGTATCAGCGCTCTGCGCCTCTACGTCCGTTGGGGAGCATACGTTCCCGCATACGGCAAGGAACGTTGCTCCTGGTCGGATTGGGCAACGCCGGGAACCATCTGATGCGTCCAGCTATCGTAGAGGGTCGACAATCCCTGTTGGTCCATACAAGCGGGGTATATGTGGGCGTTGGACTGCGGCAACGGGTGGTTGGAGTAGCTGCTAGGGAAAGTCGGCGGCCAATCTCCGGCGCCTGCATTGGCGTAGGCAGGGAAGAATGAGCGGGGGTGACCCGCGACATTTGTATGCTCCTCCTGGTTTTGGTAATCCATGCCTTGTCGATGGCCCTCTCGTACATCTGAAACCCCGCAACTTTCGCGTCAGACATTATTTGGGTGCGACGAACGACAATCGTACCTGAGAAGTGGGTATTCGTCTCATCTACGCGCATCTCGTTGGTCGAAGGGTAATGACTAGGAGAAATCAGTAAGTGCTGTGTCATCTGTGGGACAGATGTCGTACTGGTATACGGAGCCGGTGGGAATTGACATCGGGATGTTTGGATTTGGAGAGGACACCGCATGCGGCGTGGCAGAGGACGAGGCGAGACAAATATGTGTCGGCCGTAGATTGTAATGACCGTCCAACTCTCGAGCATGGTCCCCTGAAGACGCACTGTGATGCGTCTCGAACGAATGCTCTTGTGCGCCGCGCCACGTCTGAAAGCTGGGAGTAGGCGGTTGAAAATTCGCCTGTGAATACGAGGGGCCGAAGTGGACGGAGGAAGCAGCGGAAATGGGGCTCTGCAGGACACCCGGCGGAGCCTGCGCAGTGGGCGCATCATCGGTCGCTGGCGACCCGAAGGGAGGGGAGGGAGAAGAGGTAACGCTGTTGGTCCGGGCGGGTTGAGCCACGTGAGTAGAGTCGCAGGTCAAGTTCCTCTGTCTGCATCGCTTGCAAGGCCATTCGCTTTGATCGCACTGGCACCCGCACCGGTTAGAGGGCGCACCCGCGAGGAGCACCTGTTCCTGTACCTTTGACTTCGAACGCCGACATTCACTACATGCCTTCCGGACTTTAGGTCTTAGCAGAGGGATGACGGGGCTATCAGAGCAGCCGTCCTGGGCCACTTCTGGTAGAGCAGACGATAGTCAGAGAAAGGCGTCAGAGAAGGGGACGCGTAACGAGAACAATTCGGCGCTAACCTTGCATTTGCTTTTCAGTCTCCGCCCCGCGGAATTATGTCGAAGACAGGTGAGGCGACAAAATCTGTGAGCTGTAGCCCAAGACAGGAACCGTAGCATCTTATATCAAGGGGGGAGGGCAACTGAGCAGGGCTACGTCAAACATTAAATCAGCGAGGCATAGGAACGCTAGCAAACGAGACTCGCGAGGCGAATCGAGCGTCGGGTCTCTGACAGCACCAAGACACCGAAGCATGAGGTCCTAAGTTCTGACACAAGCAGCTGCTCGGATCTTAGGTCCGTCTATACAGGACTTCAACTGCACGGCGTACATAGGTTCCGCCTGGCATGGAGTGACTACTTTACCGGCACCTTCTCTGAGCAATCAGAGTCTGCACCATTATGCCGCAGTATGAAGGAGACGCACATGCGAACGGCAATAGAAAGCCCGGATTTGCCGCATAACACCAACAAATATAGTACTAGTTGAATCTGGGACATCTGGAGCTTTGTTACGTCGCAGACGGTGTATCGGAGACTCGCTATTAACGCCCTGAGAACGAATACACCAGCCCAATGACTCAAGCAGTCTGTGTGCCATGCAAAGATAGCTGCTTGCTTCCTGCGCGAAGCTCTGCACGATTTCAAAGCATGAAAGTGTAACGGTTGTCGTATTGTGGACCAAATCGGTTTAGAACGGCCAGAGCAGCGACGCTACTCCCAACTAAAGCGGAAGCAAATTCCATCCTTCGCCGCCCAAAGGGTCCGGCCGGGTACCTTCCTGCCTTTTCCGGCCAATCAGCGTTGGGCTGAGCTGCTCGGACATGAGCAGTCGATGAAAGGTCCCCCTCGCTCAGGTAATAGGCGTACTTAAAGACTGCAGGCGGCGTGCAGCAGTCTCTGAGTACGATGATACTCTGCCTGGCGTGGTGCTCGCCTTTCCATGGGCACCCGGTATCTGGCACGATTCCTTTCTCGGAACGATTTAAATCGGGGGTAGAAGTGCTAACAGGCATGCTTCCCTCTACTTTAGCCTCTGAAACGCGAAGAACGAGCGGCAGTCACAAGATATACCTATCAGACTTCTTGATTTTGCAACGACTCTGCGCCCAGGCCGCGGGATCGGTGGATCATGCAGCGTCGTGTGCGTCAGGCTCGAGGTGGACCTTCCTGTCTCGCGTGCCGTTGGTTCAGTTGGCTCCAGTCTAGTGTCGCCCTGCAGTAGCTCTTTTCGGTTGCGTTCACCGCTGGCTCATTAAGCGCCGATTTCCAGACTGGTTACCATGGCTTGACTTTGACCTCAGCTTCCGTCATTTGGATTCTGGGCCGACACTTGAAAAATCAAGCTGGCATCACCTATCCTAAGGCTGATGTGAGTATACCAGCTAAATGCCGACAGGAACACTCGTGCATGCTTCCCTCCCACGCGCCAGCTGCGTACTGCGCTGTCAGAAATGCCCATCGTAGGTGGGAAGCCCCTCAAGTTCACCATATTCATGAAACGCAAAACCGGATCTCAATTGAGGTCCAATTTTGCCTTATCGCCCTGCTTCTTCATTTTTAACTGATAGGACCGTGCATATCGGGTTAAGTCTGGCTGAGGAACTGACAACCCAGACGAATAGTTTGCTGCTCTTTGCTACATCGCGCCTGCACCTGCGCCGCAATCGACCACCCTTCTCTGACGTGCTCATCTGCGGAAAGGACACACCAATTGCATGCGTCGCCCATTCCGCAACGCCACCATTGGATCGACGTTGCCACATATCAATATATACAGAGGGCCTAGGATGGCCGTGCTGAGCGGATATGAAGTCGTATGAAGGAAGGTGGAGGCATAGTTGCGCTAGAAAGGCATGTTTGGGCACTTGCGGCTCGCAACACTCGTAGAGCCTGCCGATGCGCGGTTGGTTTGGGGACATACGGAACACTCACAAAAGGTATGTCGATTGAGCACTTCGTTCATAGTGTTGTACGGCGAAGGTGATACAATGAATTAGAATCAAGCGGCGGGCATTACTGATAACCGATTATAGGACGGAATAGCCTAGGAGTGGTATAGGCCGCTCTAACTCTGCCACTGCCTGGTCTGTCCAAAGAGGATCAGTGTCTAGGTGACGTTAGAGATCACGGCATTGCCTTACTACGGGATCGAAAAACTGTCCTTGCGATACGAATGACATGGTGTCCGTTCGCTCTGTCCCCGGATGAGACTGATAAACCGAGCCTGTATTGGGTTGGAAGTCGCTGGGATCACCATGGTGAGAACCGCTTGGCGACTTCTGCTATGTAAGTACACTCACGAATAGTTGCCGGGCGAGGGTGGCGTATAAGAAGGTCTACTGTTATGGCTCCTGCTGATGTCTACGTGGTACGCCTGGCTCTGGGAAACATAGGGAGAATGAGGATACCCGACAGAATTGGGTTGGTGAGTAATCGCGTGAGGGGAGACTCCGCCTTGCGCCACGACATATGGTCCTCCGGCACTCGCTACGGGATGCACTGCATGGTGGCCGTACGCATCGGGAGGTTCATACGGGCCCGCCGGCGCCGAGAATTCATAACCATATGGAACCGGACTGTGCGGAGCCGGTGTGTAGTACGACGTTCCATATTGAGGAGCGTTGGTCAGGAGTGGTTCCGTATTCCTCGTCCATTCCGGCCCAGTCGTATCCCAATGCTGCCGGCTACCTGGATGTGATGGGACAGTAGGGCTAGATGGGCTGTACGGCATGTCCTCACTTGCACCTTGGTCGGCGCGTATCGTCTGTGAGGGTCGACCATCGTCTCCAGGTGCGTCTCCAGGTGGGGCTGAGCGGGCAGCACTTGATAAGTATTCACATTTGATACCCCGCTTCTTGCAGCGGCTACACGGCGATCCCGGGGGTAACTGTTCGCACTGGAAACGCGCACGTCAGCGTCTGCCGTGACTCGGAGATCTGGTGAGCTAGGCACCTTCACCTGTCGTCGCCGGCACTCGTTGCATGCGAGCTGCGTCTTCCTGCGCCGCAATGGAATGATAGGTATAGCATCTGTGGTCGCATGATGTCGCGCAGCTAGTTAGAAAGGTAAGCATAGAGTGATAATTGTAGAGGCTTTGAGCAATGACCTGTGGGGGCGTCTGGTCGCGCATTTGCTGGTCGCTGGCTGTTCGTGCTGCGCGTCATGTCCATCTGTTCTCCTTGAGCGGAGAATACTGGCCAAGCAGAGGCAACCTCACCAAGGTATGGTAAGGGAGGTATATATCCGGATGGCAACGAATGGCACCCGGTGTATTATACGGCAAGCGCGAAGAGGGCGTTAGAGTGATTTTGGCTTTCCGTATACTCCGAAACACGAGGCGGAAGCTGCGCTATTTGGACCAGAGCGAATATTCGTGGGACCCCAGAGGGAACTAGATTGCGCCACTGCTACCGGTGATTGGCGCGGCGCTCAGCAGGAGTCTAAAGAGGCGATGCAGATGACTGCTCCCAACAGAACCATCTTTTATAGACAGAGACCGGACCAGATCACGAACCCTCCTGGCCAGAGCTGTTGCAACTCCAAACCATCCACGAATGGTTGATCCAGAGCTGAGTCACTGACAACGAGGTGCAAAACCTAATCAATCAATGAGGTGCTTGAACGGTCTGAGAAATGGCCTATAGGTCCAGCATTTATTATTGACCTATCTTCCGCATTAGCAGCTGCCCCTTTCGGATTTGCCCGAGAATCTCTTCGCGAATCGGAATAGCGTTTGATTTAGGACGTGCACCTTAAGAATCATTCCATAAGCGCTCGAAGGAGAAAGTGGGGACTCACTCCAGAGACAATGCCAAGCTCGGACCAGATCAAGATTCGCAAAGGAATCTCTTCCGAGCAAAATCGCCACGGTTTATGAGACCAGCATGGCAGCATTGAATTGGATTTGAATAAACTTTCTCCGTACAAGATATGCCCCATCTTCGTACGGGCTACGCAAGGCACGTATTACATACCCCTGAGAAAGTGGCCGGTCAAGTGGACAGCGCACGCATCCAAGGCTGACCAAAAGTGATTCACTGGACATGCCGGATATGTCGACCTAGCCGCAATGTTGAAGGACGTCTGACTTGTCACTATAGCCTTAAATAATCAGAAGCATGCATTATGCGTAAGAAACACAGCAACCCAAACTGCGGGCCCAGTTGATTACTATACGGTTTGCCGGTACATTCGTAAGGGCAAGGCAGATGCGCGTCACCTGTTCCTCGTCGACTGTACTGATAGTTCTCAGAGAAGGAGAGAAGTCGGAAGCAAATCTAGTACATATCTCGCATGCGGCAAACGCGAGAGCATGCGTTCGAGGCGGTAACAGAATGCCTAATAATATACACGAGGAGTCAATAACCGGCCCAGTTATTAAACTACGGCAACACTTGCACGGTGACCATAGGTCTATAGAGCCAGATAATCACGGACCTCCTCCTCCGATAACTTCCTGAACGTCGGCTTCGGCCTATCGTTAGGCCCGGCCATCCGTTCCGCATCGATCTCCTCAGGTGTAGGCACGGTCACCACACCAATCTCGATTGTCTTTTCGGTCATTTGCCCCTCAAATCCCTCCTTCAGAGTGAGAAGAGCCGTATGGATGGCATCTTCGAGGCTGATGTCATCGTTATACCTATTCACGGCGAAGACGATGTTAAAGCCGCAAGATTTATGATAAGACACGGTTAAGCTCTGCGGAAGCTTTGCGAGTAGCAGGAACGGGACGAACCGTTTCTCCAGAAAAGTTTTGGCATTGACCATGTTCTTGCCTATGGCTGATGCCTTCCATGCCCAATATGAGCCGGAAGGATCAACTTGATACAAACTCGGGCCACGGTTGATATCCCATCCTGCAACTAGTAAAGACACGCCGTACGGACGCACCCCTCTACCGATGCACATTGAGTCTTGGCCATACATTGACATGAGTAGGACTTACCCCGAATGCGTTGCCTGCTGCATGACTGTGGCAATCTCTTGAGTTAAGACCCGTGTCGGAGGATATTCGCCGTATAACTTCCAGTATGCTTGCGCGCTTTTCCGGGCTTTCGCCACCAGGACACGGAAGTCCGGACCCATACCAGAGTACACGATCCCGATATTTGGGCATATTACACAGACTTTGTCCAGCATAGAGTCATCGATAAGGATAGATGAAGTCTTCTTTTCCGTGGCAATCACGATGCCGTTCGATGCTTCAAGCATAGCAGGTTCAGGGCTTGAAAGGAGACTCTTGAGCTAGACAACGCACCTTTAATGCCCAGACTAGTAGTACCACCTGCGACCGCCGCCAATGCGTGCTCTATCTGAACCAGCTTCCCGCTCGGGGAGAACACGGTAAGGGAGTAACTGCCCTGTCTATATGAGGATATACACTGCCGAGACGAAGGCGTTGTCGCCTCACCTGTATGCTCCTCCATCAGATGCCATATTGAAGCCGTGCCGGAGGGTAGGGTAGAGTTAGACGGAAAGGATGTAGAAAGGAGACCACTGAGTTCAACGCAAGGACGCGTGTTGGCCCTGGGCTTGGGACGCGTCACTCACACAAGCCCATTATCGACCACGTGGCTGTGGCGCTGCGCGTACCTACATTCGGCGATCCGGCTACTTCGCATGTGACCGAGCCACAAAACAAGCCAAATAATATCTGCGCTCGTCAGGCTAGCGAAACACTCGTACTTGTTCTTATATTCCGTACTCACAAAGGGCAAGGACGCGAGACTACATATGCAATTCCGACCTATCAACTCCACAGGTTGTGCGCTAAGTACAATTACATTTACTGCTTCTCCTGCCCATGGAAGGCATACACCTCACTCCACCTTCAGAGGCGTAGTCCTTAGGTAAGGCTGCGATAGAGTCAGTCACAGATCCATGTGCGACGACAAGTCAGCATACCTTGTGGATGGTAAACTCGGGGAAGAGGGTCTTCGCCTCCTCGTTCGAGACAGAGGGGTGGACGATAACATCATCACCCTTCTTCCAGTTCACCGGCGTTGTGACCCTGTACTTGTCTCCAATCTGAAGAGCTGCGAAAGGACATCAGACATCGCGGTCTCGGTTCCGACTTAATTACATACAATCAATGACCCTAACCCCAAGCGATTAATGATCGCCCTGAAAGACCCGATAGGATTTATCACTCACCGGAGGATCTCATCAAAGTTGCGGCCGGTCGAAGCGGGGTAGGACAGAGTAAGACGGATGATCTTCTTAGGGTCGATGACGAAGACCGTGCGGATCTGGAGTGGAATGAGTCGTCAAGGAGCACAGAATGATACAAGACACGAACCGTGAAGGGGATACCCTTAGCGTCCACGTTAGTAGGATCCTGGGCGTCCAACATGTCGTAGAGCTCGGAGATCTTTCTGTCAGGGTCCGCAATCTACCAGAGACTTTAGCCACCAGGCCGCGATAAATCCACCCGACGACCTACGATCGGGAACTGGACGTTAGTGGGCGCGAACTTGGCCCCATAGTCGTTGATGTCTTCGACCCATTTGTCGTGGTCGTTCAAGGCGTTGGCGGACAACCCAATGACCTTGACGTTCCGCTTCTCAAAATCGGGCGCCCTCCGGGCAACCTCTGCCAGCTCCGTAGTGCAGACGGGAGTGAAGTCAGCGGGATGAGAGAACAAGATCGCCTGTGCATAATGATTATATTGAGCATTAATTCCGGAACAATAGATACCGATAACAGACCCAAGAGTCGCCGATCCAGTCATGGAACTTGATGGGTCCCTTGGTGGTTTGAGCCTCGAAATCAGGCGCGATACTCCCGAGACGTAAGGAAGGCATAATGCTCTATGTATCGTGTCTCGATGATAGGCGATAACACACGGTGGGGAACCATATTCGCGCCGAAGATCCTCTTTTATACTGTCCGAGGGGTATGTGATTGAGAAACACGAATGAATATCGCGCCTTCCATTCCCACGCCATATCTTGCGTGGTTATAAGCACTTCCGCTTCGACAGCGCTCGACTCAGAATTGCGTGCTCGTCCCCAGGTCTGCAATCTCACGCGCATTATCACACACATACATAAACTTACACAGGCAAGAAGAAGAATCATAGCCTTGATCGATGGATCGCACAAATGCAGTCCAGATTCTTCTTCGTACATCGGTCGGTGTATCTCTAGTAGAATGCAACAGCGTGGAGCAGATTGTGTGGGTGCTTCTCTTGCTGTACTTGCAGGATCTTATCAATGTCTTCATCTATATCATCAGAAGCTTCGATCTACAGAGCGGATCGAATCAGCGCCGGAATTACTAGGAACACACACTTACGGCAGCGGCTAAGTCTAGCATTGCCTTCCCCGCAATGAGGGCTTCCTCGTGGTTATCCTTGATTTCGATATTTATGACATGAACAGGCCGATTAAGTTCTCCTCCGCGTGTCAGTAAATCTGTCAGAGATATTGTCTCGGCACCAGGCAGGATAGTTAGAGGAGGACACACCTTCACAAACGGCGTCAAAACATCGCTCCTCGCATGTAATTACAATGTCGGCGACCGTCTTGCTCTCCTGCCACCGTTCTGGAGCTACCTTGATCCGCCTGTTGCGGTCTAGCATTTGGAGTAAGCCGTTGGCAGTGTACCTGTGGCAGATATCACGGGTTATGAGAATGCGAACGTCGATCCAAGCTTACAATCGAGGATCCTTTGCATTCAATTCTTCATATATTTGGTTGTAGGGTGTTCCGAAAGCGTATATATTTGGCTTGTCGATTGCAGGACCTGGAAGTCGTACGGCTGAGCCGGTGCCATACGACACGACACGATATCCGGCCTTGCTTCATTGTTCTATGTCGAATCAGAGATTTCCTGGATGCTCGCGAGACCTTACTTACGCCAAGACGTGATGACCTTCCATAGAGCGATTCTAAACGCGAATGACGATACAGCTCGATGAATCACACAATTCACATACCTGATTGCTAGCGCATACGACACAGAAGAGAGGACGTGGTTTATACGTCGATGGCCCCGCCTGCTGGTGCACAGCCGGGGCCTGCAAAGCCTCAGCCATGGGTTGCAAAGCGGACGTGGCCTGTTCAAAAGGTTGGGGCGGAGTCGGGGCATAGGCAATTCCGTTGGACGTGGACTGTTGTTGGTGTTGTTGTTGTTGAAAGGACGGAGGCGCCGGCGAATTGGATGGCACCCTTTGTTGAAGACGCGGGTCTGCTCGAGCAAGACGAGGATCACGAGCTCTTCTAGGATCCATTATGAGGTACAATATTTCTAGATCCACGAAGGGTAATTCCAGAATAGTAAGCAACCGGGAATGGCTCAGGTAGGTCAAGTAGCAGACAAAGCCTCAGCAGTATCTAGAACGGTCATCATCTCAACCCCGCTAAACCAACCACAGGTGTCACAAGGCAGGTTGATCGAGCTTCCACTCTGAATCATCCTCGGCTTTGTCCTTGAAACTGTGAGGATTTACCTTTCAAGTAGGACTGGTAACTTAGACAGAACAGCAGATCGAGAGAGGACTTGGAACGTTGGGAAAATATACGCCTAATGCGGAGACTCGTGTCAACACCACCAAACACAAGGATGAGGCAGCGCCACCACGGGAACGGTCCGGCGCCTATTTGTGGAACTGTAGATAGATAAGCACCGCTCAGTATCAGCAATGCAACCCCGGAGCATTGGCAACCCCCGTATGCACTTCCGTCTCGCCGAAGTCCACCTTACAACCAGTACGTTCGTCAGCCTTGCACTATCCAGTATGTGTGCACTGTGCAGTCTGTCTGCCATTCCTAAATGCTTACTGAGCTCCTGGTAGCTTGACAATGTCCGCAGTTCTGTACGGCTACGACCCTTCGCCGGAGGACGTCGCCAGGATCCATGCCGAAATGCAGACTCATCAACGCGAAATAGCGCGCATTGACGAAGAGATACAAGGCCTCATACACGCCATGTATGCTTTGCGCGAGCGACGCGCGCAGCATGAAGAGAAGATCAAGCATTGCAAGAGCCTCGTTACCCTCGCGCGACGCATGCCGCCGGAAGTCCTTGCTAAAATCTTTTTACATTGCGTCGAGGACGGGTGGACGCATGGACCTCTTGTCTTGTCTATGGTCTGCTCTTCGTGGAGATACGCTGTTCGCAATTATCCGAGGGTCTGGTCGCATATCCACGTTAATATGGAGGAGCATGACCCTATAACGAGGACCCGCTATTGGCTGTCCATGGCTCGTCAAGCACCCCTACACGTCAACTTAATAGCCAACATAGAGACATCCGAGCTGCCTATTGTCCTGGATATTCTCCTGGAACAGGCTTCGAGATGGCGGAGTTTCTCGGTCACCTCCGCCTCCCTCCGCAAGACAAACAATATTCTATCTCAGTGTAAATATGTTATGCCAGATCTGAGGGAAGTCTCTATCACGACTGACGTCGAGGTCGACGACGTGGTGGCAGCAGGCACCACAGAGCTGGACGGCTTCCGGGAATCTTTTAGAGACGCTCCCCTCCTAAGGAAGTTGACACTGACTTCGAACGCACTACACACGACCGGGCTAATACCGATTCAGGTCGAAGATCTTTCTATTCATCTACCGGAACCTCGCCGGATTGACCTGCCCATGTCCGGGTCCTCGATTCTCCATGTGCTTGAAGGCTTGCCCAACCTCAAGCATTTTACACTGACGTTGCCTCCTCATCATGAACCTCAATACATACCGGAGCGCGACCTTGCGCGCCGAATCTTCCTGGGCAATCTTGAGTCCATGTTACTGTGCGTTCCCCCCGATGTTAATGGTTTGATGGTGCACATCGTAGCACCCAAACTCCGGAGCCTACAAATTCGATCCAACCTCGACCCGTTAGTGCGCCCACATGACTTGACCGGAGCATCGCTACGCGAACTGCTGGAGCAATCTGACCCGCCCATAGAACTACTGGAACTGCACGACGTTGACCTGACGGACGACGACTACATTCATTGCTTACGCGTACTGGATGACCTCAAGGAGCTTCGCTTGCACGAGAGCGAGATTTCCGATTCTGTCATTCGACTTCTGCGAGGTCCCAGAGGGTATTGCCCTCGTCTCACTCGACTGGACTTGAGATGGTGCGGGCAATTGACCGGTAGCACTCTGGTGGAGGTAGTCAGGAGCAGATTGGCGGTGGATGATCATCCAAGCCTCAATAGTTCAGAGCCGATCGCGGAGGTCGCCGTCATGAACTGCTGCTTCGTGGAAGAACAAGATGTGATGGACTTGGCAAAGGTGACGGTGTGTCGACTTGTCCTCCGGGAAACAGAGGACTATTGCAGTGAGTACTATCCATGTCATTATGAATGATCCACCGTTCTGACCGCCCTACAGGATCTAGGGGATGTTGTACGAACGCGAGATATAGGCAGAGGCTTCGTTTGCGGCACAATATAGGATTTGGAGGCACCGATCACGTACAACTCTTACTATGATAGACGTTGCTGGTTGGACAAGTACCTCGAGCTTTGCTCATTTGGAGGGTTATCACAGGCCACAATTATCGGAATAGATGAGGCGGTGTGGGGAGTGATTCGATGATTCTACAGTTTCTGCACGCATTACATGCAGAGGTTGTAACACAATTGCACTGCGATACATCAATAATATGTCTACAAGCAAGCTCCGCACCCCAATCGGGGGGAGGTACGCATTGTTTCGGTCTCACTTTCGCGTCCTCCAGCATATATTGTAGCATGCTGTAAGCTTAAGGTCCAACATAAGGGCAACGCCCTCAACACCATAATTGGATTTATAGAAAAATATGTCTACGTACAAATCAACTTGTGTGTCACACCTATGGCGAAGAGTAGTAACAAATCTACTATCCGCTTCAAACAAGGACACTACTTCCTTCTTCCACAGACGATAGGACCCATTGTCACTGGTATCGAAGAAACAAGGGCCGGGGGTCAGGATTGCTGTGGTTGAAGGGAAAGTGTTGCGCTCGGGATGCCTCTTATAAAAATTTGAGATCATTTTCACACGGTCGCTTTGCCATATTACGACGTCACGACACGAGGTATGTGCTATGAGGTCCGGGTACGGTGCGACCGTCCCTGCTCCTTTCGAAGTCCTGCAACGCGTCGTGGCTCGCTCATAACTAATAGCTGAATGGTGGTCTTGGACCGTACGCCTCAGTTTAGGCAGCTCGTGGAGGAGCAGAAGAGGCATTTAACCGATGTCAAGCGCCGGAAGGTTTCAAAGCCTTCGAGGACTAGTCCCGAAGACAGTCATGCCGCTCTCAATAAGGAATACCTCAAAGAGGCCTATGTCGTCGTACGCATTGATTTATCTTGGTCTTGTCAGGGCTCCAAGGGTGCTGAATATACACGTCCCGTAGTTGAAGCATGTGAACACTTTGATGCGCATGCTAACTGCAATTCGTAAGGCGTACTTGAATGTCGACTCGCGACAGCCGCCATTTGGAGGGAAGACTTCTTCTGGAGCGAACTTGTTCGACCTCGGGAATTCGGAGTCATCATGGGCATCCATCCGTTACCTGTCGAATGAGGAAAGAGACCAGATTGATTTGCAAGCGCGGGTCGTGTTGTCTCGCTGTGCCGATCGCGTCAAGGAATTGGAGGAACTAGAAGAACGTGCGTCTCTTTCTCGAGATTTCGGGCTTTGACACCAACTTTAGGATGGTATTGTCTAATCCGTCCCTATCGCATGGTTTCTGTATCGTTGTAGGCCGTCACAAAATGGAAATATCCCAAACAAATCCACTGGCGCGCCTCTTGCCAAGTCGGCTACTCCAATCTGCGTCGCCTGCAACGGCAACTTCGGATGTCATCGCTGCGCACCATGCCAGCATAACTTGGTACCTGTCCAGGCGATTAGCGGAAGTGAGCCAGGCGCAGAAAGAAATGCAAGAAGATAGAGTGAAAAGACAGATGGAACGCACCAAAACCTTGGGATCGGGCGCGGCCAGAGAGGCAGCAGCCTTGAGCTTGGGTGGTGAGGACGGCGCAAGCAGCATCTATGGCTCTGGCTCTGAACGGCACGGAGAGCACAGCGGTGGTTGGTTAGGGAATGCGTCCTCTACAATAGCCTCCACGTTGCTAGGCGCACCCTCGAGTGATAGGCCGAAGCAGAACAGTCCATCGCCCCCTCTGACTTCGGCATCGTTTCAGGACTCCGATCATTTTTCTGACGACGATATAGAGCTGACTCAATCACAAATAATGCAGTTTGAGTCCGAAAACTCCCAAATACTGCAGTCTGTCCAGAATACCTTGGCATCCGTTCAGCTGGCGGAGTCCAGACTGCTCGAAATCAGTGCACTTCAGACTGAACTCGTCGCCCATCTTACGAGGCAGACTGAGTTAACGGATCAATTATATGAAGACGCCATCACGTCGACGGGGATGGTGGAGAAGGGTAACGAAGAGCTCAAGGAAGCCAGAAGGAGGGCGAAGGACAGTCGGATTTTCATACTAGTGTTCCTGCTGGGCGCCAGTCTGTCTCTTCTGTTTTTACATCACTATTGAAGGGGCACGCATCTACTTTGTTAATTTATTGGATTGTGGGACTGTTATTACAGTTTACAGTCTGTACAATTATATATCGAGGGTTCGGGCGAGCGTCTGTATGTGCTCCTCCGCACACTCCTACACTTCATAGTTATCCCCCTCTGTGTCATATGGTTATGGTGCGGGCGATAAATGCCTAGAGCTTCCCTGTGGCTGAAGCACGTGCTGTCGTTCTATATCCACATCCGAACCCTTGTCCAATGATTCGGAAGAGAAGTTGGCTAACAACGGAGCTCCCTCTTCCGCAATGTCTTCAATGGCTTCTACAGCCAGCTCATCGACCCCTGGAGGTAATCCTTCTACATGGCGAATATGTCTCTGCATCTGATTGTACACGACCCTGCAATAATAAATGGTGAGCGGCCACAATATTCCCCGACGGCAATACTGTCTCAACGTACCATCCGGCGATCATTCCTATCATGATACCTGCGGCAACCAGGACGGCATTGAGTATCTTGGTCTCTACGCAACCGTATGATCAAGTTAGAGCTTAGTCAGTGGCACATATGGCCAACATACGGGGATCCATCTGCTCCCTCTGTCGGTCGTCCGACAGGGCGGCAAGCCGAGCTCCAATGAATACATGCAGAATCATCTTCGGAGCAAGACACGTCGTAGCAATGATAAATTGCCATATAGATACTGCTTCAATCGACTGATGGCGAGTATCAGGTAGAGTTCTGGCGGAAAGGACGGGTACCCACAGCGAACAATGTATTCGAATAGACCCATGGAGGGAATGGCGACAACCGGATTAAAATGATAAGGGGTAGTCCCTTGGACCGCTGTAAAATGAGAATAACGGGGTCGGTGATTAGCTAGCTGGAGACTAGGTAAAAGATGGCTATTAAATTCTACGAACAATGACGGCTTCTAGCGCCTGCCATTTCTGGTTCGAAGCAGACCACCTCTGCAGCCTCTTCGCAAACAGCAATCGAAGAACGCAGAAGACAATGGCAGATCCAAATATTGATATGGGAAGAGCTATTGCGACCCCAGCCATCCCGTATGCAAAACCGCAGAGAGTCACTGATGTGGTGAATCCGATGAAGGGCGGGAAAGACGTAACCACTGCTCAGCGAGCTGATGTCAGCCACGCTCATTCTATGTGACGGACACATGCACGTACCCATGACGGAACTTAGGACAAGCCAGCCCAGCCTCTCGTGACTGATTTTCTGAGCCATATCGTAGAAGAACTGTCCAATACGATGGGGAGTTATAAGGAGGACAGCGACCCCCAAACAGACATAAAATGAAATGAGGAACCAGACAAAGAGCTAGGCAGGGGTAGCGTCCCCGTGCCGTCAGAGCAGGGGCGAGCACGGAGCCTGGTTGTTACACGCACTTTGCCCAGAAGATTCAGCTTCTGGTACCTTCGATATGACATGGTACAATAGCAGCCCATTACTTCGACGGGCCACTTGAGCCAGTTAGCTACAGCCATGGCTAAGTAGTGTAGTGTCGTGCCTGCAAGGGGTTTCCGCTGTCGCGCGGCCGTCAATGCGCAGTCGAGACTCGAGAGGGGTATTGCCTTCCATAAACGGCAGGTAATTATATGTCGCGCTCCCGTGAGCTGCGTGGGATGTCACGTGCAGCCCACGGTAGCGGCAGTATATTTCGCTACTTACCTGAGGGTCGAGCAAAACTTACGAGTGCGAGCCAGCATATGGAGAAATTCTCCGCTTTTCGGGTCTGTGTATCCCTCTTGGATTGTATCGCAGATGCTAATATCGGCTCCCAGGATCCAGGCACCGGAATCCAGGCATGTTTGCTGTACTGAGCGACAAGTCTCAACTAACCGATTTCCCTTCCAGCCATTTCTTACTCCGGTTCCCCCGCTTGGATCAGATTCGTATGGGTGGTACTTATTCCCGTTTCAATACTTGCTCGGGGTGGTCAGGTTCATACTGGTGGTACTCCTCACTCTCTTGTATCTTGCTCTCGTGCAAGTACTTTGCCTAATTTTGGTAAGAGCGCTCTCCAGCAATGACTGCGTAAATACTTATGGCGTCGCATTGAGGCCCCCGTACCCCCTTTGTACCGTATCATCACCTGGTTCTTCACTGCAATAATCACGCGCCTAGCATTGTTAGTTATAGGACTATGGTGGATACCCGTAGAGGTTGTGACGAGGAAGCGCGGGTACGATGGTTTATCTATGCTTTATCTCATGTCTCATCTCAGCTCCCATAGTCGGAGCACTAAGGCTAAGGATTCCTGGAATCCCACTGCCGGCGACATCATCGTGTCTAACTGGGTCTCATGGACCGAACTTCTATGGCTGGCATTTAGGTATGGTCCTCGCAACGATCCGCTTCCTGATTATTTGTACTCATCCATCTATGATCAATCGGCCGTTTGCGCAGATTTAACCCGATTTTCCTTATACCTGTCGCATCGGCGCACCCTCAGACATCTCAACCGCTAGCTTCTTCACCCATAAGTCACACTCCAGGCCGCCGGACCGGAACAGGATCTGCTGCCATTTCCTCGCCGATGACTAGAGCCCCTGTTCCGCGTGTACCGCTGACCGGGTTTCGCCAAGTTTCACTCATGACTATGATAAAATTCACCGGATATGCACCGTCAGACGACTCGTCCACCAAATCTGCTGCAGACAGCCTCGATGACATTTTGGCGAGAGCTGACAGACCAGTGGTATTGTTTCCGGAATGCACGACAAGCAATGGCCGAGGATTACTAAGATTCTCGGATGTTTTACTCACTTTGAAGGACAAGCAGAGTAAGTTGTTCTTGATGTGCATTAGGTGAGCCTATCCACCCCTATCCCTCCACACGAAGCTAAAGTGAAGGCTTTAGATATGACCCTCCAACAGACCTATCGCCCAGCCTGGCCCATCCTATTCCGTCCAGTCCTTTAAACCCCTTGGGTCATCTGTTCACCCTGTGCGCGTCGGTGATTCCTTTGACCATGATGATTCGCCTTCTGTCTCCCGCAAGCTTTGAACCAGCCGATCATTCGCCTGGTGCGAGGATGGCCGAAGCCGAAGAAGCTGTAGCTTCGATTGGCAAGATCAAGAGAACGGGGATGGGTTGGGAAGACAAAGCTGCTTTTCTGGAGTTCTATTGGGGCACGAGGAAGTCTAGAAGATGAGACGTAAATGGCACGTATCCTATCACTGGACTGGACGTCCCTGTAATATCTCCTTTCCGAGACTGCTGTCCGGTATTGAAGCGGATTACCGAGGATTTCACCGGACTAAATAACAGTGCTGACCTATGCATCTTCATTTACCGGTTACTGCTAGGATCATATTTCCAGGTACGTCGTTCTTGCTGTTGTCCCCGCTGGAGTATCGTTTGTCCATGTGTCATGTCATAGCTTTCCCGGCGCATACTAAGGTAAGTACCGTGCATGCGGAAATGGTGTGTCCATTATGAGTTCCCACAGCGATGCAGAAAGCTTGTTTTACTAGGGATGACGAGGCGACACGGGACTAGCCAGCAGCGGCTGATCCATCGGAGCGTTCCGCGATGAACGCGGCTCTAGGATGGTGATACCACAAACACTGAAGCATTCATACGAGACTGTCGCCTCGAGTACGACATTCGGATAATTTTTGTGGTCCTACCGTGACACGCTCTTGTACTCGCTCGGGGCAACAGGCCAGCTGGCAGCACTGGATACGTTCAGTCCCTTCACGTCGAGCTTTGCTCGCTTTGATTTTCCACACGCCTCCCACCTTGCTGATATTGGCAATGCGATGCGTTGACTATCTGATTTCAGCCTCCATCGGCAACGGATGTATACGGAGGACGGCTACGGCAAGGGAGAGAACCCTAGGACGACTTCGAAGATGCCTTGTTGGGATTCATAGGTTCACCACACTTAGGAGAATTCCCATATATGACTTGCCTGCCCGACAGTTCCCTTGCGATTGCTCAGCGACCTCTGGGGGAGTATTCGATAGAACTGACCACCGTAGGTGACCATATGACTTGGAAAAAAGGCATGTCAAAGGACAACGATGGTCATTCGCGGCGTCGAAACTTCTCAAGGACGTGGAAAGCAGCGGGTCCACCTCTTAAGTCGACCATCTTCAAATTGTCAGGGCAGTATCTCTCGCCAGCGTTAGACATTATCGACGGCCGCGCCAGCTCCACAATCCGATGAAGTCGCATGCAGTGCCATGCAGGCCCATATAACGCTATTGCAATGATCAAATCGCCTTCTATCCATTGACCTCGATGCCTCGCTCACAGCGATACTGGTGCTCGGACATCCACACGTCCCATGCATTCGATTATGTTGAGCCCCTTGATTCAAAGGTCACGTACTTGTCTAGCGGTGTGTACGTACCCTCGTATCCCAATATCCTCGAGCCAAGTAATTCACAGTCAGTATTCTTCCTCGCGCACCCATCTAGTCCAGATCGAATTGAACGAAATACCGCTGCTGAGATAGAGACGATGAATCACCAGTGAATTACTCTTCTTACCAGCGTGGATCTTCGTGTCAACAGTCTCCCCTAGTTAGGGGGGTGGTGCTAGAGAGTTGAAGACCATGGACGCCTAGGAGTGCAGGACCAAAGTGATCAGGAAGGCCTCTCGTATCCACCCACTTGTCAGGTAATTGATATGGAGATGAGTTCCATTATGGACTCACCACGAGCATTCACAAGATTCGCCAACCACAATGAGGCGAGTGCTTAGGTTCCATAGTGCACTGATCCAGAATTTTATAGACAGCGCGTTGTGGCGACGGAGGGGAATGGGAGGGTAACGATCATCGGTGCTTCTGAGTCCAGATCCGCAAATGTTATTTCCTCTTCCGTCGTTGCAATGTGAACCTTCCTCACGCTAGCACACTATCTCAGCCGCAAGCTCTCTGCCTCGTCCTATTATTATGTACTACTGACAGCACTGTTCAGTACGTTCAGTCATGCGATCATGCCAATTCAATGATCATTGACTGGAAACCAGAAGCCATGATCATCATCATACGGATTCGACTCAAACCCTATGAGTGTGAAGGAAGCCCTGACGTTGCCGCCTGAAGCTGTTTGACCTGCGTGAGTGCCTGAATAACACGGCTGATAGCGTCGGCCGTCTGCGCGATCGAGGCGGGATCTAGCATGTCCGGCAGGCTGGAAAGCCGTACCAATCTCTCGCAGAGCGCCAGTAGAGCCTTCTCCAGGGCGCCAACGGGAGCCTGCAATGATGAGTACCCATCTGCGGCAGTCTGTAATCATAGTAATCAATCTGTGACGCATAGACATTCGGGTTGGCTTCCACGTACTGATGCTTTTGCGGCGGTTTCATAAGGTCTTACCTCAGGTGAAGGCATCGTCGAGTGAGCATTCTCGCCATCGATGGGCGGCAGGGATAGCCGAGGGACCTACGAGACCGTCAGTGAGGAACGAGCGGAAAACTGCATTCTCAGGTCTTCCTACATCAGGTATTTCGTCATGGGCGACGCTCTTTCCTTTATCTTGCGGCTTAAGCGGTTCACCGGAGGACTCTCCCGATGGTGTACTATTAGACGATGGCCCTTGATGGGACGCACTCGACGCTTCAAGTGGTACAAGCCTCTCCCACCCGCTGGCGTCTCTCTCGTCTACGTACACGGTGCCGCAAGCAACGCATTCCTGTAGACAAATGATATCAGGAACACCTCCTTCCCATAATAAATTTACTTACTTTCCTGGGATCCTTCCCTCCATCAGGTTTCGGGGGTCGCACCAAAGGTATGCCATAGCATCCGGGATTGGGACATTCGTCCGCGAGCATAGCCCAGCCCTTCAATAGCCTCTTGCCAATTTCAGCAGATGCAGCGTCTGATTGTTGTCTCCTGCGTAACGACTCGGCAGTGTCTAGAGGAGGAGCAAAAGTCGGAGAGCTCAGGGCGCTCGAAACTTCAGTCGGTGGAGTGGAAGCCCGAGAATAGTGGGTGCTCGGCGCAATGCTTGGGGAAGAAGGGGAGGTACGATCGACATATGGTCGTGTAGACCTCGACGACACACCTAGAAAGTGATGTATTAGCTCGAACAGCAAGTATTCGTAACTCTTACTGGAGGGACCTCCGTCGCAGTTAGCGCAGAATTGAACGACCGGAGTTGTTCCACTAGGAGATCTCATAAGGGGTACATTACATCCTCTGGGACAGGGTCGGTCTGTCAGAACCTGTGCATTCAATTTCGTAGACAAGTGTCAGGGCGCAGTCAAGTGTACTGCGCTGGCCCTCGTACCCATCCTTTGAGCATGTACTCTCCCAGCTTTGAAGATACATCAATCACTCTCGCCATCCCGGTCTGCGATTACAAGGTTCAAGCCGCCAGTGACTGCAGTGGATTTACTGACTTGTGAGAGTTAGAAATCTCGAGAGGATCTGGTCTGATGCTCGTTTTCGCACGGGCACTGTTCTGGTACATGTCCCGCCACGTCTGGTTTACAGCCAGGTCTCTGCAGCTTCAATGAAGACGTGGTCGCGGTGGCCACGGACGCTGGTTGCTCTTCTCATCGTCTCCCTCGAGACTCCCATATGGTCTCGCCAGGCTGTATATTTTGGCGCTGAAGCTGCTGCACATGGATGGTCTGCGAGCAGGAAAGCGGAGACTCGGTACGATCTCGTGTGTGCCAGTGGCCACTTCCTCACTCTAATTCACGCCCAAATAGCGAGAAGGTCCGTGGACTGTGGTACCATGGCTTTGATAATTACATGGACCACGGTGAGCTTTTTTCCATTAATAAGAAAGGCCCCATGTAACGGATCATTTATAGCTTTCCCTTTGGATGAGGTGGGCAAACCGATGCCGAAGTTCTTACTACCTCTCAATACCTTTCAATCAGCTTGCACCGCTGTCGTGTACTGGCAGAGGTCCGGATTGGACGAACCCGTGAGTTATCTTAGTGATCCAGAGGTACCCCGCTTGAGCTTCCCTCAGAACAAATATCGCATCTAATGATGTCGCCGGAAACTTCTCCTTGACGCTGATCGATTCACTGGACACTTTGGTCGTTCTTGGAGACAAGAAAGGCTTTGAAGACGCTGTCCGCAACGTCATTGGATGGGTATCGTTTGACGTGAACACTAAGCCACAAGTGTTCGAGACAACGATCCGTGTACTGGGTGGTCTGTTATCCGGTCATATATTTGCCAACGAAAAGGGCGGGCCCTTTCATTTGCCTTGGTATCAGGGAGAACTCCTTAACCTTGCTCACGACCTCGGTCGCCGTCTCCTTCCTGCCTTTGGTACACCTACCGGCATACCTTATGCTAGGGTACGGGATCTTGTGTACCATATCTCCCGAATACACTCTAACTGGTACATGAAGATAAATCTGCGGCACGGTGTCCAGCGCGGCGAAACTCTCGAGACCTGTTAGTGTGCTACATGAATTGCGTAGGGTCGCGAATCTGAATGATAAATAGGTACCGCGGGTGCAGGGTCCCTGATTTTAGAGTTCGGTACGCTGAGCCGCCTGGTCGGGGACGATAGATTCGAGAAGGCCGCGTACAAGGCTTTCTTTGCCCTATGGAACCGGAGGTCAGACATTGGGTTGGTGGGGAACACAATAAATACCTGGTCTGGGGTTTGGTCCTTTCTCCATAGTGTAACTCGCACCTTCTGACAATCCTACTCTGTCAGGTTTGGACACACCCAGAGGTAACCGGTATAGGCGCCGGCATAGACTCCTTCTACGAGTATGCACTAAAATGGTACGTTTTGAGCGGTGCGTAGTAAGTTTCTGCGATTCCGTGGTTCAGGCCGCCTCTTACCAGGGTTCAGGCGAGATGGAGTTTTTGGACGTCTGGCATGAATCATACGCTGCTATCATGCGGTATGCCCGGGCTACGGATGGATTCTGGGTAAGTGGGCCCGTGAACAAGTTACAGAACCCATAAAGTGAACACGATATAGTTTCGGAGCGTCAGCATGCACACAGGCGACATTGTTTATTATACGGTTAGTGGAATGCCCTTTTCCCCGAGTGTCAGGTCTCTGGTTGAACCTGAACAGACGGATTCCCTGTCTGCCTTCTGGGCTGGCCTGCAAGTCCTAGCTGGTGATGTCGAGAATGCAATCAAGGCTCACCTTGTCTGTGCGTAGCATTCCAACTCTCGGCTTGGCCGGAGCGTTACTTACCATAATAATGCTAATGATCAGATTGGAATATTTGGAAGAGGCATGCTGGACTTCCCGAGGTTTATGACACCAATTTTATGTATGCGACATCGCTTCAGTACCCCTTACGACCCGGTATGTTCATTTCACAACTGCCATTGTTCCTTGCGTTGAACATACGACTTAGAATTTGTGGAGTCTACCTGGTACTTATACAGGGTTTGTGTGGATAACGACTTTGCACAGTCTATCATCTCACGATCATTTAGGCAACGGGGGATCCATTCTATCTAGATGTCGGGGAGCGTATCTTGAATGATATCACAATGCGAGCCAAGGTCGAATGTGGATTGGCCGGCATTCAAGACTTGCGTACGAACCAAAGGGACGACCGCATGGAGTCCTTCGTGTTGTCTGAAACCCTCAAGGTTCGTCATCTTGCCATCGTCAACGAGTCTTTCATCGAATTCCTGCCAGTATCTCTTCCTGTTGTTTGATGAGGACAACCCATTCAATCACGACGATTCGAATTCCGTCTTCACGACCGAAGGTCATATACTCGTCCTTCCTTCTGAGCACATAAAACCCGTCTCCCGAGCTCGCCGGAAACTTCGGCGAGTAGAGCATTTACAATGCCCTGCCTATCGCCCGCCTTTAGTAGCGATTGACGACTGGGAGAGGGGCACAGGTTTGATAGGAGGACTTCTTGCTCGTGGAGACATCGATTATGCAAGAGAGTTAGTGGCTATGTTGCCCACCGAGGCGGACAAGATTCCATGGTCTCCCGAAGGTTGGTGTGATGTTCCTCAAGTGGAGCCATATGTAAGTCACAGCATACGAGCGTCCTCCATGAGGCACTGAACCTGTATTATCGATAGTCCTATGATTTTCTGCTGTCGCCCAACGGGCAGGCAGTCCCCGAAGACGCCAGTCCTGGCCTCAATAAACTGCGATCTGTTCCAGACGGGTTCATTGTTCACAATGTTACCGGGATCCGGACCCATATCGTGAGGCGGCTAGACGGTAGAGGTTACGATGTGACCAAGCGTATGGACTTCCTCTCAATGCCAGACTTTCGTGGGTCTCACTGTCAATGCAGTAGGTCCCCATGCTGTCAAGACCGGCCAACTGGTATACATAAACGACACGGAACTCATTCTTGCGGCAGTGGACGGTGTGGGGCCTGTGGACAGCGACCAACGACACCATCGACGAAGTGTGGACGTCCACCTGCGATTCTTCGTAAATGCAGTGGATCCTACACTCGTCGGACAAGTGGCTATGCCCGAATTGATAGACGAGTCTTTCGTCACAGCTTACACAGCTCTTTTCGGAGCAGATCCACGGGTCTCCACCGAGGGCGGGCATCCGATTCGGTTTGGCCATGGCCATGGCGTCCGAGTATCCCGTGATCGTATGAACGCCTTCGGTTGCCACACCTACGCTCGACAATACGACGACCATGCACTACTCGTTGACCGAGGAGGATGTACTTTCTTGGAGAAACTGCTTCACGCACAGGCTGCGGGAGCCTCGGGAGTTGTTGTGATCAGTGACGACGAACTCCCCTTGAACCCTTCCGCTGATCAAGCTGAGATTGAGGCTGCCGGGACATCCTTGGACGAGGTCGTAATCGTAGTTCTCAAGAAATCGGCAGGCGAGAATATCCTGGACATGCTGGAAAGAGCCGAGATGCATGGCATGGGTCAACTAATGGTCGCGGTTGATCCTGAAGGGTTTTCGATCCCCATGGAAGGGCGTCATCAAGCAAAGACGCTGAAGGTTTACGATGACGCCAATAGGGTGTTGTATCTAAATGGCCATCCGTTATTGAATACAAGGTTAATGGTATGAATGGCATCCCAAAACTCTAATCATCGCTTTGGATAATTGAATATACCGGGGCATCGAGCTTTTCGGATCCTTTGAGGAAAGCCAGCTCTATGATGAAAAGGTACTCCAGGGTCTTGCCTCCCTGTATCGCTACGAGCTCTCCAGCGGCTTTTGCTGAACCACCTTGAGGCAGTCCCTGTCAACTTATGTGTATGCGGCATGGAAACAATGTCAACTTACCTGTGGCGATGAGATCGTCTACGACGACTACCGTCTGGCCTGGCTGTATTCCTTCTGCTTGCATCTCGAACACATCCTATTTTTTTATCTAGTAAACCAGATCTATGACTTTGAACGTCCAAGACACTTACTACGCCGTACTCCTTCTCGTACGAAGCGCTCACGCATTGCCCGGGAAGTTTACCCTTTTTCCGTACGGGTACGAATGCTGCACCAAGTCTAAGTGCTATGATGGGACCGAGGAGGAACCCTCGTGCATCGAGCCCGACGACTACATCGATTTTCTTGGACGTAGAGTTTGGAATCGTGTGAGAAGTCAAGTGGTGAACAAGATGTGTGATGAGCGTCTCAAAAGCGACGGGATTCCGTAGGATAGGGAAGATGTCCAGGAACACTATGCCCTGAGCTCACTCCATTATAAAGTCTGGCAGTGGTCTACCATCGTTGGACGCACCTTCTTCGGGAAATCAGGGTGCTCAGATAGCTGACTCCTCAAGTACTCGACGTCGGACATCATGTCGAGGAAGCTGCGCGGATGGAAGTAAAAAAGCAACCCATGGTGATTTGGTGGTCGGATGTTATCATCGACCAGGCAAAAACCTTTTTTAAAACAGCCCACTGGATCTACCAGATTTGATTTCAGACAATCCGTCGTACAGACTACGTCGATGTCATGATGCTCATAGATTGACCCGCGTAGCATAATGTAACAGGATGGCATAGGCAATACAGAGCACATAGCAAAACAAAAGTAACGACGGTCAGACGGATTCCAGGATCTCGGGCTCCTTGAAGTCCTTCACCACCCGCGTGCCAGTCTCCTGCGCGGCAGTCAAATACCCGTGCAAGGAATAACGAGCAGTAGGGACTCACATCCGTCGACTCCCCGTGCAGCTCCAGCAACTTCGACACATCGAACTTGGGAGCCTTGAGGATCTTAGCCTTGCGGACGTAGACGTTCTGGAGGGGGTATATGCTCCTTGTTGCCTTCTCGATCTCACGGCCAATAGCCTCAGGGATGAACTTCTGCACCAACTCCTTCAAGTCGCAGCTAGTGGCCTCCCGTGTCATGATCTCGAACATCTTTTTACGGATCTCCCGAATCTGACTCGACTGAGCGTACGTTGTCTTCTTTACCTGCGACTGGCGGCGCTTAGTAAAGCCGATAGCAAAGAGGCGGAGGAGGTAGCCGTCGGTCGTCTTGACGTCAACGTGGGCTTCGATGAGAGTCTGCCATTTGCGGACGAGTGACCGCAGCTTGTCGGAGGTGAAGTCCATGCCGTGGAAGTTGGTGAGGCAGTTCTTGCCCTGGACCTCGTCGATCCGTAGCTTGATCTTGCGGAAGGCCTGTTCCTCATCCTTGTTGAGGTCAGCCAGCGAGACTTCGATGATACGACCCTTCAAGGAGTCATTCGCGTTCTCTGTTAGGTTCGTAAGTAACCTCGCGAGCTCGAGCAAGCTCTCCAAGACGCACTCAACCCAGAAGATCGGTTCACGAGGGTCTTGCCCGCATTCTTCACCTCGAAGATTGACGGGGCTTTGATATCGTACCAATCTACGCGCAGGAGCATAAGTCGAGATAGATGACACACAATCGAGGATATGCGTACCCTTGCGAGAGAAAGGGTCGACGACCTTCTTCTTGATACCCTTCTTACCCTTGGATAAACGCTTGTTCTGAGCAGAACGACCGTGCAGTCAGACATGTTGATCCTCTTCGACCTCGGCGGAATGGCAGACCCACCTTGCCTACAGCCATTTTGGAGCCCTACGCCGTACTATCGACCGCAGAGGATGAAAGCCGGCACTTGGTCGGGCTATGTTTTGGGACGAGGACGGTGTCTTGCGCGACACTATGAGGCGGATGGCCGATGCCGTGAGGCTTGAACCTTATCCTAGCAACTGCACAGTTGTTCCCACGCTGTGTCCCTACTGTCCGACGCTCATGTCAAGTTATGACAACGTCGAACATCACGCGTTCACAGTTCGCGGATGCGTGTAAAGCTCTTTTGGAGCGTCTGCGGGACGATGGCGACCGATTGGCACAACGGCATCTGCAAGGTTGGACCTGGGTAGAGCATCCTGTGCGCTGGTAGCTTCGAGAGGTCTTGCCGACTTTCTCAATGCAATCTGCAGACAATCGCTGGTCTAGGGTATCTTTCGAGAACGGCTTTCCTCTCCCGCAGGCCTGGGGATGAAGGAGATGTCTCTCAGGTATTAGAAGTTGAGGAAGAGGACATGGTAGAAGAAGCCGATGATGCTGCTACTATCCCGCACAGATCGGACGGCATCACTTCGCGCCAGTATATTGTCTACTCACCGACGTTTCAGGTTCCCGTGTTGTACTTCACGGTCCACGACTCCCGTGCGTGATTCGTTGTCTGTTGCATGACTGGCGAGACTCAACTAGTTCCAGATGGGACACCGCTGTGTCTCGGTGACTTGATCCAGACTTCGCTGTTTAAACCAGACTCTCTGCCTCCCTCTGAGATCACTTCATTCGGGCTTTCACCCGAGTCCTCCCCCTTTCCGATGCTATCCCAAGGCGATCACCCTACACTGGGGACACCATGCTGGTACTTGCATCCGTGCGAGACGCCGAAGGCCGTCGGGGAGATCATGGCGGAGATCCAGCGGCCTGAGTGGACACAGGCCGAGTATCTCACTCAGTGGTTGAGGACATGGTTCGCTGTACTCAGTGGTGTTGTTGACCTCCGACCGTAGATTTAGGATTGAGTATTAATGGCCGGAAATATGTAGAATTGTGACGCTAGCACGGAAGTACCATAACGATTCCAAGCCGATTCTGCCATCATGAATGGGACATGCATGATCATTCCAAGACCCGGTCGGCTATACTTGGGTGCTATTCACATGCCCGCCGCCGTGCAGAGGACTGTTTATAACCGCAGGTCAGCGAGGATGCCCGGTACGGCTATACGCTGCTATACGAGCCCCTTGTGCGGAGGTAGGTCGACTGATACACATCATTCCACGTCGAACGGCCGCTGCTGATTTGTCTCACTGCTCGCCTTATTCTCGTACGATCGGGCAAGGCCGAACTATTATCATATCGATAGGCGTTCTGCGGGACTCGTGTACGGTGTTGCAGTATAAAAGCTTCTGAGGCTAGGGCAATGTTTGCGTTACGATCTACATCTTACTCCCGTCCACACCTCAGGTCAGCCTTTACTCGCGCCATGGTCAGTGTGCCAGTCAGTCGTTGTAGTGGTGTCCCTAACCTGCCTGCAGTCTTCACACGAAGTTGTCATTGTTGCTGCCTCGCGTACCCCTGTCGGTTCACTGAATGGCGCGTTGAAGACCCTGACTGCCCCTCAGTTGGGTGTCGTGGCACTCAAGCATGCTCTTGAGACTTCCAAGGTTGACCCGGCAGTTGTCGAGGAAGTCTACTTCGGAAATGTCGTGCAGGCTGGCGTCGGGCAGTCGCCTGCAAGACAGGTTGCTTTGGGCGCCGGTCTGAAGACTTCCTCTGATGCCACGACGATCAACAAGGTCTGCGCCTCTGGCCTCAAATCGATCATGCTGGCCGCGCAGAGCATCTCGAGTGGCTACAGGAGTGTAGTTGCTGCCGGTGGTATGGAGAGTATGAGCAATGCTCCGTAAGTCATCGCGATATCCGCATCGCACACACCACTGATGAGATGATGTCAATAGTTTCCTCTTGCCGCGTCAAAACCCCCTCTTTGGCAAGATCACCGCCCAGGATTCTCTTGAGACGGACGGCCTATGGGATGTTTACAACAACTTCGCCATGGGTAATTGTGCCGAACACTCAGCCGACAAGTACGAAATCACCCGCGAGTCTTTGGACACCCACGCTATCGAGTGCTACCAGCGCGCTGACCGCGCATGGAAGTCCGGAGCGTTCGAGAAGGAGGTCGCACCTGTGACGATCAAGGGCAAGAAGGGTGATACGATCGTTAAGGAGGATGAGGAGTACAAGAAGGTTATCTATGAGAAAATCCCCACGCTTCCACCAGTCTTCAAGAAGAACGGTGGAAAGATTACTGCTGCCAACTCTTCAAATCTGAATGACGGTGCTTCTGCATTGATCCTCATGTCTGCTGAGAAGGCGAAGGAGTTGGGTGTCAAACCCTTGGCTAAGATTCTTTGTGAGTAACGCATTAAGTGGGGAGACAGGGCGGACGCTTATGAACTGTTAAGCTTATGCCGATGCCGGTGTTGACCCCATCGATTTCCCGGAGGCACCTGTACACGCCGTACCCAAGGCACTGAAGTCGGCTAACCTTTCGGTCGATGACATCGCTATCTTCGAACTGAACGAGGCTTTCTCTGTTGTGCCTCGGATAGCGGAGAAGGTGTTAGGCGTTGACCCGAAAAAGATCAATCCTAACGGGTACGTGAATTCTTGATATTGCTGTAATTCATTCACTGACGGAACTGGCAGTGGTGCGGTCGCACTCGGCCACGCCATCGGAAACTCCGGCGCTCGTATCGTCGTCTCCCTGGTACATGCGCTCAAGTCAGGAGAGTACGGCGCCGCTGGTATCTGCAATGGGGTAAGTCTAGAATGTCGCGACTGGACGGGTACAGATCCTGATTGATCATTCGTAGGGTGGTGCGGCATCAGCGCTGGTCATCCAGAAGCTATAATTGGACCATTGGCTGCCACATTTTTCCTAAGGGCATCGAGGACGACGGGAGGGACAATGATTGTATTACTGTCATATTTGTATATCCATAGGAATTTGTAGACGTGCGTCGAATCTCTCTGTTGCTCAGATGTTCGACGTGAATTTTCAGCAGTGTTCGTTGGGTGCAAGAAATGGTTTACGAATAAGGAACGACGCGATAAGGATGCCGTGATAATAGGCCGGCATCAGCTCCCGCACTTATCATGGTGTGGCTCAAGAGTATTTGCAGGTTCTGCACTACTAAGGGCGATGGGAGTGTCGTTGGTGTCCCTTATCGTCAAGCTTCCGGGATACTTCCGTCATCAAGAAGATACGGATGATGGTCCTGGGCGTATGTGGTCAGCTTAAGGTTATAAAGACCTGACAAGCCCCGCTGTGAAGGTTCGATTCTGTCCCTTTCCTCTGAGACGCTCAAGAATCCCTAGTTCACGATTCGACATGGCTTCCTTAGACGAAAAGAACGTACTCGATGACGCCAAGGCGGTTTCTGCTTCTCAGGAGGACTTACCGGTGGACGAGAAGCGCGGACCTCTCACAACTGTCTCCGAGGTGAGCTCAGCAGAAGGAGACGAGGCCTTGCAGCTTGTCGGGAAGGAGCGCACCGCTCAATTTAGCGATGAATATAATCGCAAGTTGAGGAGGAAGTTGGTAGGTCCCTTGCTAGTGGACACCACGCATAGCCGGCATTTTATTCACAAAAAATCAGGACTTATGGATCCCGCCCCTTTGCGCAGCCGTTTACTTCACTCAATTTCTGTAAGTTCGTGATGCGTCTTCGCTCGGGTTTGTGCTTACCATCCGCTCCCGTTCCTGCTAGAGACAAGACTTCTCTTAACTATGCTAGGTAAAGGCTTTTCACCCCTCGTGATCCTGTGCGACACTCAGCATGCACTGCAGTATCATGGGTCTTCCCATAACGGGGCAGGTAAATGGCTTGCATGTTCGCTCCCGTCAATATTTTGATACTCTTCATAGCATTATAATCTCGTGTCTATGGCGTTCTATCTCGGTAGGATTATGTTTGTGATTATAAACTCTGACCTCTCTCAATTCCAATTGCAGGATTCCTATTCTGGGAGTTCCCCACTGTCTATATATCTCAGAAACTGAGAGTAGCAAAATACTTAGGTATTTGGGAACAAAGTCTATCGAATAGCCATGCTGAACGCGAGATGACAGGGGCAAACGTCGTGATATGGGGGGCTGTCCTGATGCTGCACGCCTCGACGACTTCATTCGGTGGTTTCTTCGCCCTTCGATTCATCCTTGGTGCGATGGTTCTTTTATTTTCCTTATGACGAGTCGCAATCTAAGAGGTATTCCAGGCATGTGCGAGAGCTGCGTCGCGCCCCTCCTGATCCTCATTATCTCCATGTTCTATAAGAAGAATGAGCAAGTGCGTGCTAAGTAATGTCTGATGCAGGGTTTAGGGTGTTGAACAAATGTTGGGGATATGTGCAGGCGTCGCGGATTTCGTGGTTCTACGTCATGGTAAGTATTAGCTCGCCTCTTAACCCGAGCAGGTTCTGATCGGCCTTGCTTGTAGAACGGTCTAACACAAATCTTTGGCGGTTTCGTCGCATACGTACGTTGTCGCCAAGCTCTGAGGATGTGCAGCTATACACGGGCTTTTCAAGGGAGTCTCTTTCTCTAATGACCGGTCGATTGCCCCATACAAGATCATATACCTCCTTTTGGGTGGTATGGCCATTGTGGTCGGCATATCTATACTGATCTGGATGCCTGACTCTCCCATTCATGCTCAACTCCTGTCAAAAGAGGAGCGCATCGCGGCTCTGGAGAGAGTCCGTGATGACCAAGTAGGCGTGGAGAACCACCAACTGAAGAAAGACCAAGTTGTCGAGGCGCTTACAGATGTCCGCACATGGCTCATAGTTCTGACGACCATGCTGAGTGAGTGATCTCTTGAATTAATGGAGAGGTGGACAATATTTACGTCTGGCTAGCGAGTATTCCTAATGGAGCTCTGAGCAACTGTGAGTCTTCCTGCTTTGTTGCCATCATGGCGTCATATGCGAGCCCGAGTCCCAGTCAGCAACATTATCATCAAGGGATTCGGATACACGTATGATACTCCGTTCATATCGTCGACATAAGAATATTCTCACCACAGGCCGAAGTTCCAAACAGACGCTCATACTGTCCACTCCGGGTGGTGCGGTAGCCGCGGCCACGACCTTGCTCTGTGGCTGGTATTCTGACAAGAAGGCAGGTCTCGAAGGCTTCCACTGTCAGTAACAGACCTAAGCGAGACGTATCTTCAGGGCGAGCGAATGCTTCCAATCATATTCGCAATCGTGCCGACGATCGTGGGCGCAGGTTCGGAGACTAACCTTTGTATTGGATCCCAAATCATCAATCGATTGCATTTACAGCTATGTTGATTGGTCTGAATCACACCGCGCAGAAGGGTGTCCTCTTGTTCGGTAAGGTTTTTGCTAGTTAATGTTGTCACCTTTACCGAGTTTTATCCAGCGTCATATCTGATCGGAACATTCGGGAGCGCTTTGTCATCAGTATACGCCTATAATGCGAGTAATACCAGCGGCCATACTAAGAAAGTACGTCTCCGTTTCATCTTCTAGCTTCATGAATTTATCTTGAGAACACAGTCCACCATCAACGCCATGACGCTCTTTACCTTCAGTATCGGGAATATCATTGGGACCGAGATCTTTCAACCGAAGGATGCTCCTGACTACATTCCGGGAAAGACTGCTATTATGGTCCTGCTCATCGTGCAACTCGGTGTCTCCTTCTTGCTTCGCTGGATCAATATTCGGTTGAACAAGCGCAGGCAAGTGCGACTGCAGGAGGAGAAAATCAGGCGAGGCTGGACGGACGAAGATCTGCAGAAGGAGCGGGAGCGACACGCGTTCGCCGACTTGACCGATAAACAGTGAGTGAGGATCTATCCCTGCCTCGGCACGCCACCTGATGAGATCCGGCTAGGAATATATTCTTTGTGTACACGATCTAGTGGCAGCGTCGATAGCATACTAGATGAGGATGTGCATAGTATAAATCGTACATCTTCATACCCGGGCTCTGAAGCGCGGCCCGGGCAAGTGGCGCATGACGCACTAATTGAATGATACAGCGAGTAGTCAAAATTGAGGGTCCAGGATAAGTGTATCGGGATGCCATTAGTCACGTCTTCTGGAGACACGACTACCTGTGCATTCAGAATCAGAGGGTACGCGCCTACAGGCACCTCCCAGCAGTCATATGAGCGTAACCTTCCACTGGGACATGCGTGGCGGATGCCACGCCACGAGGGGAGTTATTAACACCAAAGTCGGTCTTGCCTAGGAGGGTCTGTTAATATCATGTTGTTAACCTGTTATCAACACGAGTTTGTGCAAACAATATTGAGCGACTTTTACACCGTACCCTAGTCGGGAGCTAACCGGCTGCTCAGGCCAATCAGCGTTGGTGCATGCTTTACGATGGTTGGGTCCTGGCATCAGACGAATACACTCGAGCTCTATTCTCAGTCTCAAGGCAGTTGAATTCGAAGGCGTGCGGCCAGCGTGCACGGTACGTAAGTGTAGGTCCAAGTTTGCCGCGTGGCCGAGAATACAGTCCGGTAGGGCGCTATACCCGAAAGGAAACGCATTGACAAGGACCCTGAGCCAGTCTCTTCGACTTCCTGAAGTCGATCAGAAAGCTACGTATAAATGACAATCAAGCATCAAGTAGCACATCCGATCCCCTCGGCGTCGTTGTCGCAGCTGGCTCTCCTTTATGGTTCTCTCTACCATCAGTTCAACAAGTCGCCAGTCCACCGACAGTAGTAGGCTGCCCAACTTCACATTTGGCGCCACCCGGTTACGGACGAACACGGCCCTCTCAATTGATGGCGATGAAGCCTTGAAGATAGTCACGGCAGAGCGGACAGTCCAGATCAGTGAAGAAGAATATAATGCTGTCAAACGGAAACTAGTGAGTACTTGGAGTGCCTCATACTCATCTCGGACTACCTTCACGTCTCCGTCTTCATAGGACTGGATTATTCCTCCGTTATGCGCGCTGGTATACTTGAACCAGTATCTGTGCGTGTTCAAAAGCATCTCAAACTGAGCTCACGCTGATTTTCCTATCATGACAGAGATAAAACAACCTTGAATTATGCGAGGTGAAGTCTGCCGGCGCGTCCATATCCCATACGCCACACTGATTATATGTAGTATCATGGGCTTCCCAATTACCGGCGAAGTACGTCTGAATTGTGTACAATATCCCTATTGCTGAAGTCTGGTTTAGAGGTACAACCTGGTTGCCATGGCCTTTTACATCGGTATATTCTACATAGGGTTCTCAAGTCTCTCTCTCAATAAAGCTGTGATGTTCCACAGGTTTCCTTGTATGGGAGTTCCCGACAATGTTCATCGCGCATAAGTCGAGATTGGGCAAATACCTGGGGATGAACGTAGTGCTGTGGGGTGTCGTGCTGATGCTTCACGCAGTTCCTACGACGTTTGGGCCCTTTTTTGCCTTGCGATTTATTCTCGGTAAGATGCACTTCATTCCGGAAAGAATTTTCTTGAGAAATTGATAACGAGATCTTTAGGTATGCTCGAAAGCTGCGCCGCGCCAGTACAGATACTTATCACCACAATGTTCTACAAGAAAAATGAGCAGGTGTGCTTGTTAAAAGCAAGATTCTCTGTTTGAAGCTCGCTGACATTGATCAGTCCATGCGAGTTGCATGGTGGTATCTTCAGGTTAGCCGACGATACCGAAGCTTTCCCGTTGAGAGACCTGACGGTGTCGTCAGAGCGGCACAGCAAGCGTAGTAGGAGGGCTCCTAGCCTACGTGAGTACACTCGCCGGGTTTTTCGTCGAGGGTCACTTACGGGGATAAACAAGGGAATCTCCTTTACCACAGATGGTAGCATTGCCGCCTGGAGGATACTGTACCTCGTATTTGGCGGCATGGCGGTCGTTGTGGGGATCATGGTTCTCGTATGGCTACCAGACTCTCCTTTGCACACATGGATGCTCAGTGAAGATGAGAAGATCATTGCGCTTGAACGCGTCAGAGAGGATCAGATGGGAACTGAAAACAGGAAGATAAAGAAGGACCAAGTCATCGAAGCTTTTACCGATATCCGGACGTGGATAATCGCCCTCATGATTATGCTAAGTGAGTGCGATCCGCTGAATCACGTAGCATGGCCGTTATTCATGATTGCTAGCGAGTATACCCAATGGCGGACTTGCTAACTGTGGGTCTTTGTTAATTGCTGCGTTTATGGTATCACCAGAGTAACCTTATCCTTCAGTCAGCAACCTAATTATCAAGGTTAGTAGCGGGGCTCGTGTTATCCGTCGCGGACTAACATGTATTTGAACTGAAGAGTTTCGGATATTCGTGAGTACAGCTTGAACCGCGGCAATTGTTCTACTCACTAAGTTGCTATCTAGGACGAGAGAAACCTTACTCCTATCGATGCCTAGTGGGATCGTAGCAGTACTTTGGCTCCTGCTTTTATCCCACATCTCTGATAAAACTGTGGGTACATCAGATAATGTACCGCGTCGCATTGATACATCAGCATTACAGGGAGAACGGATGGTACCCATTGCCCTGACAGTTCTTCCTACTGTAGTGGGAGCAGCTATTCTTATTGGCTTAAACGGCACCGATCACAAGGGGGCGCTGCTTTTTGGTGAGCTCATCTTCGTCCAGCTTTTGCGGATAAAGGTTTGATACGCGCTGTCTAGCAATTTATATCATAAGCTGCTTCGGTGGATCTGTGTCCTTCATATACGCGTACAACGCCGGCAACATCAGCGGTCATACGAAGAAAGTGACCGTGAATGCCCTGACCCTCGTATCCTTTAGCATCGGGAATATCATAGGAACGGAGACTTTCCAAGCCAAGGATGCGCCCAGCTACATCCCAGGGAAGCTGTCGATAATGATACTGCTCGCGATTGAGTTCTTCCTCTGTTTCCTGATGCGCTGGATTAACGTCCGGGAGAATCGGAAGAAACGTCTGGGGCTAGAAGAGTTGAAACGAATAAACGAGTGGTCGGACGAGGATATGGCAAAGGATAGAGAACGGCATGCCTTTTGGGACATGACTGACAAGCAGTAAGCGTTCTTTTCTGAACCGTCAGATGTCCCAGCGGTACAAACTCATACTCTTGTCAGGAACCCGTACTTCACGTATACATTATGAGAGTTCCGGTAGATACGGACTGTATATTGCGACGATGCCCTTAGCACAGTCAGGATAGATATGGCAGTAGATTGAGTGCCAGTGATGGTACCAGTAGCTGCTGTTAATGCGAAGCTTGTACCAAAGCAGGATCACTTTAGATGATTCTACAGTACATATTTGCGATTAAGAATTGCGTCCGTAAAGGTCCCGCGTCGGCAGACCTCGGCGTCCCTTTCACATTCCAAGGGTGATCGTCGATGTTCACGCCATGTGCGGCGATTGCGTCCCTAATTTCTGGCCACCTTGTGATTTGCTTAAGGTCTTGCACTCTGTCCGAGACTTTTCCTAGCTTTCGCGTTCGTCTTGAGACCAAATCCTCACTCAACGATGACCTTGGAGCCTCTGACTTCGCCAAACCTACGTCGAGTCAGCAGCCCAAAGCTAGACAGAGACGCATGCACCGCAAAGTATATCCAAGCCCAGAAGCACTACATTCATGGATACGCTCGTGATGCTACTAGCAAAACGCTTTCGGCCTCTATACACTCCCAGGATTCCGAGCTTGCTCCGTTCAAACAGAAGGCACTTGAACCCGGCTTTGCGACTCCTGTCCTCAAACCTAGAGCACCGAAACGACAGGACAAAGAACATACCAAGCCCGATAAGCCAGTGATGTGCCTGCCTTCGAAGCATACATCTGCTGCCGCCTCAGTGGTGACGCAAGGCGAATCAACCAGTGTGAAGACCGCAAAAGATATACCACAGAAACAGTCTGCTGTTGCGAAGTTGAAAGATGGCACTAGATGTAACAATAAACGTCGGTCAAGTGCTAATTCTGACGAAGAGCATGCCGCAAGTGCGTCTTGGTTTGTGGCCTTACTCTATTGACAGGTTCGAATGGATTCATAGGACTAGCCGAGAGGCGGGAACGTAAGCGAGCGAAGAGAGCCATCGTGAGACCGCAGGAACCAGCTAGGGATTCTCGAGATCTAGTCCAAGATGCCAAAGATCGTGAAGACGAAGACACCACAAAGGATGCCAAACCGCGAGGCAAGGCAAAGGCCGCGCAGAAGGCAAAGGCTTCTGCTGGACTTGCCTTGATGAATACGTTCTTCGCCAAGAACGTTAGCAAGAATAGACTCACCGTAAGTGGGAAATGGTCAATGCCTGCCTGGATTCTGATAGGATCACGTATGCTCAGTTAAAACCTGAGACCCAAACTGGCGTGTTCAGCAAGGGGAGGGCATCGGCCAAGACCGTAGTTATTAACAAAAAGACTAAGGCGCCGACCGAAGGTTCGTAATCTCCAAACCCTACTGGTGTAATTCTTTTAGTGATTCGATTTAAAGAACGAAATAAGAAGGTATTTTCTGAGGCCCGATTCTTGAATAGCGGTAAACCACCCGCCAAACTCTTGTATACTTCATCGGATTCGGAATCAAGTTCCGAGGACGGGAGTACGCCATTAGATGATGCAAGCATAATACTCCGTAAGAACAGTACGAGTATACCCGGTCCTACAAGGCCAGACCGGATGAAAGAAAAGGTTGTCGACACTCAGGGTTCTGATGACCAGAGCAATACTCGCGTCTCTCGGAAAGTCCGCCGATCACACCGATCGCAGGTCAAGGAAGCTGTGTCTGAGATCTGGGACATAGAAGTCGACGGACGTGGTCTCCCATCTGAGGTCTCTTCTGTAGGCCCAGTCAGCCATCTCCAGGAAGGAACCGTGCTGCTGAATATGCCTGCCTTTCGCTTCGACTCGGAGGGAGGTGAAGATGCTTTTGCACAATCTGGAAGCGCGCCAAAGGTGATATTAGTGCAGGCCGAAAGTGGTAGCAATATAGTCAAGACTAAGGAGCCCGGTACAGGCCAAGCAACTCGTAGCTCCTCAATCGGTCCCTCTGATTCTGCCTCTCAGCTTCGACGAGAAATCCCCAACACTACGACATTCTCTGGGGCTTTCTCTAGATATTTCCCAGTGGCTGTCTTGGATGCGGTACGACCGGCCCTCGAGAAGGAGCCTTACTCCGAGACATACTCAGTTGAGGAATGTCCTTCTCCAGGTGGTGGCCTGTGTACTCTGGTATCTAACAACGACCCACAGGATGCCAATCATGTCTCCAAAATAGCTCCATGTGCACTCTCTCGACCAAACTTTGCCGCCGAAATCTCTGAGACTTGCTCCCTACTACTGGATGCTGAAGTCACAGGTAGAAATACATATGCTATTCCTGGTCCATCTATTGATCATATGTCCATGTTGGAGGACCCCGTCTCTCCAAGTATGTCGGTCAATTCGCTCGAGCTTGCGCTGGAAAACTATGAAGCCGATCACGTCCTAGGAGCTCACTTGAACCCACAGGACATGGAGATTCTGGAACTGAACTATGAACTTCGTACCTCCCCCGGGCGCGAGCATCAAGACCCGGTCCACGACGATGCGGATTGGGGAGACTACCATTACTATGAAGATGATGCTGGCGCTGTTGCACCCCTAGACGCATTTGGCTTAGACGATATTGCGCACGATCTCACTGCAGCCTCGGCTGACTGGCAGTACTGTGGAAGCCAACCTATCGATTCTCGTCCACCGGACAGCGAATTCGGCCACCTGACATATGATAACTTGGCTGGCCACGATGTAGATTATCGGTGTGTACACAATGACTCTCCAACGGATATGGAGCAGTCAATGGACGGACCTGATGACATGTACGTTTGTGTTCATGATCTGGGAGCTGGCGAGCACTGCGGCGACTACACCATGGCTTCAGACATCGAAATACGGGACGTCCTTTCCCGCCCGCAGACCCCCCGCTCAGAAAGCATTCCGGCTTCGGACCCTACGTCAGTCTCGGACTGTACCTTTGATCAATCGGGTTTGCTGCCGCTATTCAGCGAAGGTCGCTCATTGTTGCTTGGGTTTTCTGGCGCGCCGTCACGCACTGGCAATATCACCACTCGACCCCTGGCCCGAGGTGTGTCTAAAGCCGAGATGGACGTGGTAAAGAGTATGAAGGATCACTGGTTGCCACAGAGACTATAACACGCTGCAAATTCATCCACAATAGTTCACGGGTCGACCTACGCCTTGCAGTGGCATTGTATGTTGATACCCTTTTGCGTCACTCCTTTCTGTTCTTTCCAACGTTTGTTCGTCCTTCCGTGGATTCAGACCATACTGTATGATAGTGTAGTTTAAGCCGAAGGCAATGGATTATGTTACAGAGTTCGTAGTGGTTTTATACGTACTTACTGCTATTTGCGGAACATAAGGCGGAGCGCCGCTTTCGAGGCGCTCCAGACAAGAAAACTCCATAGCACTGGCAGGGCTTGGATTGACTCAACAATTTGTACATGGGGTTTTCAATATAGAAAAAAAAATGCGGTAGCGAAGGAACAGTGAAAATCGGCCCATGAGATGTCTGTAGACTAAGGGTGCCCTTTGCTACCACATTTTTTCTATATTGAAAACCCCCATGTCTGGAGGCCATCTCGCGCCTCGAAAATGGCGCACCGCCTTATGTTCCGCAAATAGCAGTAAAGCCAAATAACTAAACTTATACAGTGCTTTGCATACTATCATTGAGGGGGTTCTGCAAAATTTGCAGAACCCCCTCACACCCCTATATCTCATTCCACACTCAACCAAAAAACGTTGGGTAAGCTCAGGCAGGTATATATACACTAGAATAGAACCTCTGCCAAGTCAGAATGGGAATATCTGCTGTGGTTGAAGAGAGGGAGAGAAAATGGGTCCTGTAGGCCATGGGAAAGAAACAGTGTCCACTAGATCTCTCTGTTGAACTGGGCGCTGACTTAGCTGCCAGGTTCTACAACGTACCAGAACGTACCGGAACCCTCTGGAACATTCTGGTATATTCCATTATTGTACAAGGCATAGAGCTCATGTGGGTCAGTGACATCATAGGTGGAGCTCAGTAGGATTATAGATATTCCACATAGCTTAGTCAGCCTATGGGCCACAGTGTATATACTATCATTGGACCAGTAGTGAATAACTATTCACTTCCCGTCCCTTTTGTGCACTGGGGACCTTGTGGCTACCCTATACCTTCGGCAATTTTTCTCTGTAATGATAAATGTCTGTAGATGCCATGTTCAAGTTTGTATGTGGAACAGAGGAGTGGTCATCGTTCAGGATTTAAAACTGTCTTGCATCTCCGAGGTCTAAGCGTGACAGAGCGTGACCGCTGCCCCGCCACAGCCCTATTGTGACACGTGTGACATCTTATTCACTTCCCGTCCCCTTACGCCGTACAACCTCTACACCCTCTGGAAAAATCTGAGAAATTTGCAGAGGGTGTAGAATAGTATCTGAACCATTCACACCAATTTTGGGGTACGCGCAATTAGAGGAAGATGACTTAACTAGGGAACAGTTCAAATCATTCACTACTGGTCCAATGATAGTAAA